TGGGTACCCTTCACCGCGAAACGAGATGATTGCAGCATACATCTTGAAGTTCTCGTTCGTCAAGCGATGGGTTGAGTCGATAACCAGTTTCGAGCGAAGGATAAGTTCGCCATGTGCATCTCACGACACACACTATCGGCGACCTGGTCCAGCATAACTGAAACGCAGAGCACCTTCCGGTTGCCGTGCGGATGCAGTTCCTTGAAAGTGCACCGTGTCGGTTGTTCAAGGTACAACAGTGCCGAAATGTACGGATCGCGATGTCACCGAAAATGTGCTTCCATTTTCTACGATATGTATTGCGCAAAGCTAGTAATATATGATTAGTATATGACAAAAAATATACCTTTCTCCACTGATATGATATTTGATTCATTGAAGGGATGTCGATAACATCACCCTTTTCCTTCAGCTTCAAGAGGGCGTCGCGAATTTTTGACGGCGTCATGTTCAAGACATGCCGTTCAATGAACTTGCAAGCTACGGAGCCCATGGTCGGCGCAGTGGCACTCCCGGCGTGTGGAAACGCATGAAGCACGGACACAAAAACGTAACTGTCGGTTGACGAGATTGATAACAACCCTAATACTCAAAAGTGTAAAGAAGTCGTAAATATATAAATTATTTATATTGCAATATAAGTATATTACCCCTGCAGTCGAAGAGCTGTTTAGAACAAACATTTCGTCGGTTTTGAATTGGAACCCGCTGGGCAGCCTCTGCATAGCGCGCACTGCGCAGCTCCATGCAGTCTTGTCTCTGTGGACAACGATACGTCGTTTGCATAACTGTGAATGGGTAACCACGAAGCTGCGATGACTTGTTCTTCCTAATGTATAGTGTACAACAAAATACAATAATACATGATAGTAAACACTGATAAATGAAAAGAATTATCTATTACCAAAAGGCGTAACCGTTTATCTCGCGGAGTTTATTCTACACAAACAACACGTCGCCTTGGTGTACCATCGCGTTCGCACCAACCGAACGCCTTGCAATACAGGCGATAACCCGCTAACGTGAGCTTTCCGCAAAGGCGTCGTACGTGTCGTCTCTGTACGCATCGGTGATGTCAACGTCCGATGCATCGTTGAAATCAGAAGCCACTTCCTTACCTGAGTTGCGCCCATTGATCGAATGGATGATGTCACGAAGCATTGCCTCGTGTAGGGCAGCCTTGAAGACGACTATTTATGTTGTTGATTCTTGCGATTGCTGGTCCGCACTTCGACGCCGCACAATCCGTCCTTTCGCTCCTTCATGGCTTTCAGTCGCGCTGGTTTCGACAGATTGTTGTACCAAGCAACTTCATTCGCTAACGGACGACCATCAAGAGTAAATATATATGAGTAAGTTGTACTTACGGTTTGGATATCGGTACACAGGGCCTGGTTCAACTTCGTTGGGTGCATGGAGGCCTTTGTGCCATTTCTGGTGTGGGTGATACTTGCCAAAGTAACCGCTGTATTCAATTTAGGCAGGTAGGTATAATTTTGTACAGGTTATGCTAACGGCTGCTGCCATCGTAATCGTTATAATCACCGGTGATTTCACCGATGTGAATTTGTCATTTCACCGTTGAAAGGAACAGTCAGTGCATCGTGTGGAATGATGCAAATATGGCTGCTAGGAGTGTGGTGGACACAGCACTATTTTGTGTAAAATTGGAGCGGAGGAGAGCAAACATATGTTTTACTTATAGCCAATAGAAATTGTGTACTACTGTTGCGAACCAGATCGGACAGCCGCCATGAAGCGGACGATTAAGTGGGCTAACTTTGCTTGAGCTTCGTTGGGGTTTTCGGTCGTGCCATCGTATCATCCATCAAGTATACGTACTGTATGGGTGAATATGATTACTTTGCGGACATACTTGTGCATTGTATCCGGAATTATAACCAATCCGATCCGGGGACATGATTAACAGCCAATTATACTTGCATTTTTTTGTTTTTCGAGAACACTTCAGCCAATCGATGTACACGTACTTGCTAGGGCAAGATCGGACCAGTTCGGACCAGTTCGGACCAGTTCGGACAGATTTTGTCCGAATAGATCACGAAATAAATATGAATATGTGCAATACAAACGCTATCATTAACACATTTTATCTGCATATAATATTGTGTTTGGACAATTGGTAGCAATCACTTTGCATAATCATTCTGCATGGGGATCCAAGATCTTGTACCTGCCAACACGACCAAGGTGAAAACTACAGCGATCAAGTCGTTTACGCGCTTTGTCACAGAAGATAATGTAACAATTGAATACATTCATGCACAATTTGCTCTTGACCCTACTGACGTTGCCATTGAACGTGTGCTTGACAAGTTTGGGTCGTACTTGGCATTCCTCGACACCAAGGGTGGGAAACAAATCGCTCGGAACACAGTTATGTCGTACTACGGCCACGTTAAGTTGTGGCTGATTGAACTCTACCAACCGCCTTCTCCGCCAAGCTGTTGAAAATGGGCTCAACCCTCGACGGGTACTGTATGAAACGCAACTCGGGCGGTTTATCAAGAAGGCCCCAGAGTGTACCAAGGACCACCTCCGTACTCTCATGGTCTACCAGTACTCAACCGCGAAGAATGCTACCGACTACCAGGATGCCGCTCTGTTGTGTATGTTATGGTACCTATTTGGCAGTGCATTGGACCTGTCGTCACTCCAGAAGGCAAACCTCACGGTCAGCGCTGCCGGCGTACTAATCGTGCGATTGATGCGAATGAAGACATCAGATGAACAATGTTTATCGTTGTATTCCGATGAGAAATTCCTTGGCTGTCCCCTTACCGCAATGGCTGCTGCTGTGGTGATGCAATCGACGCCACATGCCGCCCTTCTTGGTAACTTACCATCCTTTGAAGCGCCAGAACAAGCGGAAGCGATGCCGTTGATCCCCTTAATTGACTTGCTCAACCAACCACTCGGAGAGGTCGTCGAGGTGCAGCCCATAGATGCAGCGGCTACAATGAAGGTGTCAGTTGCAGCTCTGCCCGGAGTCCACAGTCACACCAACGCCTGCTGAACCGCATCTGCCAACCGGCTGTAGTCTTAGCTGATTTGACATCCCATTCCTTCCGTCGGAGTTGTCGCCGCAATGGATCTTTAACCGCGGCAAATGGAACATGACATCTACAAACAAGGCGTTTGCTTACGTTTTCAATACCTCCAATGAAGACCAGAAGATTGCCCGCGTTTTGAGTGGTTGGCCGGCTGGGGCGACCGTGGTGGCTCCGTCGCTCGAGATTTTCGATGCTGCAACGAAGAAAGAGCTTGCACGGATGCAAGCGGTACTTTTTGCACCTTGCATTGGCATGCAAGACAAGACAACAAGTACAACATCAACAACGAAGTCGTCACTCTACTTATGGTGTACCTTACACGCTCCTACCCTATGCTAAAGGCGTTGCGTGCGTTGGCGCCACTTGTCACAAGAATCGGAACGGTGGCCAAGCAAGTTGGAGTCGACATCGAAACCTTCGTCGCGTGGAAAACACTGCTGCGTAATCGTAAGGTTCAAGCAAGTGAAGCGGCATCGATGTCTACCACGAGCAGTTTTGCTGAGCAGCAGACTGGCATGATACAAGTCCTCACCGAGCAAAACAAGCGCCTGATGGACCGGATCCAAGATGTCGAGGCGACGTTGGCTGCTTCCGTGTTCCAACTCGCTCGCGAAGGGTGCAAAGCGGGATGCCAATGTACCCGAGTCGGATGTGGTACCGGCGAAGAAGAGCCGAGGCGAAGCGATTATGCCGTCCACGTTGTGGTTTGAGTGGTTCACGCTGGCCCCACGTCCACGGAACCAAGGCAACGACGACAACCGTCAACGCCGCTCGGACATGAAGCTGCTTGTTGACTTTATGCGGCTTTTCATCGAAGGTGGATACAGCCTACATGAGCACAAGGATAGATACGCGACGAAGTACTCAAGCTAGGGAAGTCAGCAGAGGTGAAGTTGGGATTATATTTGAAAGAAAAATGAATCAAAGCTACGGCAGGCGGCGCGTGCTTGAAGAAACTTCGTGAGCTGCACTGTGCTGGGCACTTGGATGCCCACATTCAACGCTTTGACGGGCTGTTTCGTACCGGGCTAGTCGAAGACCCATCGCCTTTGTCGTCGATTAACCAGCTACGACCATTGTAATTGAACGCGCCAATTTGATAAGTTTAAATTGATAATACTTACCTTTTGAAATATGTTTGCACTGAGCGCATGGGTCGACAAAGTGCAGCCTAATTATATAGTAGGTGAGTGTACCTGATGAGTTACTGGTTTGAATGTTGAAGTACCATGCGGAACCGCCGCAGGATTTCGCCACCTTAGGTGGGGGGGGACTTACATATCAGATCATTCTACTCGGGCCCCCTTGGCGAGTAGAAGTTGCTTTTGAGCTCGCAGTAAGGATTGTTAATCAGTACGCGCAACACAACAAAAGAAATGACATAAAAATTGTTCAATTAAATTTTGAATTTTAGACCTCCAGCGACTCTAGCCGGGGCCTCCCCACGGTTGTCGTTCGGGGTGCCTTCATCAGGATCGATGGTCGGCTCTAATCAAGCTAGACATGTTAGTATATTTCAATAAATCATATAAGAATGTAAAATTGTCGTACCGTAACATTGTAGTTCACCATTCCTAAAACAATACTGCTCCCGCGGTCGCCACCGTTGCCGCCGCGATCAAGCTGTCTTTTTCCCAAAAGTGTCCATGCCGCCAACGCCGTAACCTTGCCGTCACCGCCGCGTCGATGCCAGAACTGCCACTGCCACGGCCATGCTGCCACTTGCGCCGCAACCATCACCATGCCCATGCTGCCACTGCCAGCACAACTATCTCAACATGCATGGTGCCAATGCCGTCACCACCACCGCTACCATAATCGCCACGCACCACAGCTCAAATTGAGGTATGTGCGATATCTAGTTAATTTCTCAAATCCGATCATTCTATTAATAGATATTCTCACCTTGAAGTAGATGACAGGTATTGTTGGTATGTAAGTTTCACTATATGTAGAAGCAAGGTAAAAAACGATCCAGCAGAGAATAGAATGTATGAAGTTCCATAATTGAAACATGTATTTAACTGTAAGGTTCGGTCACCGCCTTTATAGCTGTTCTCCTAGTAATGGGCATGGATGCCCGTCGAGGTTGCACTGGTGGTTTTGCTGCTGTGTGTGCGATATCACAACCACTGTTGCAAGTGCAGTGTTATTCCAATTCATTATTATAGCTACCAAGGCCATTGAAAATACTCTTTTATACTTAATTCTGTGCTCAGGGGGGCAAGATTATGTATTCGACAGCGCCTTGGGAGCTGAGTTATTTATTCCCGCGTCCTGTCGTGTTGAATAATTTATTCGCCCCTGCGTCCAAGGCGAATGAATTATTCGAATATTTCAAACAAACATCATGGAAAACAATTACGCAGTGATTACACCTCCTATTTCTCGTTTGCTTGCATGATTTTCTGCACTTCATCCATGCTCCACATGTCCACGTTCGCATACAAAAAAGATTGAGACTCAAAGTTCTTCGGAAGCGAACCACAACGATGATCTCCGATGGCCCTCTTCGTGGCAGAGAAGAATCTCTCACAAATGTTTGACGTTGGGATAATGAAGCGGCAATCCAGGAACTTGTCTTCAGACGGCACGCGACGTTGTCGTTTGAGCGCACGCTCCGCGTAGGTCTCATGCTTCTCGGCCACCACGGCTTCCAACGGTGCAACACGCAAACACTCTCGGTTTCACCAACACTCATCTGTCCGGATAATGGGTTCTGGATTTTGCACACCCCATTTTCAAAGTTGGGCTGCTGGACAATGGTGGCGGATGGAGACAGGTAGTGCACCACCTGAGGGTAATCCTCCATCACCGTGTCAAATAGGATGCGCACATCAGACAAAGACATCGTATCGCGCTGCAAGGCCAACGTCACAGTGTCAAAGTTCTCCAGTTGGGCAAGCAGCATGTCGACCTCACGGTCTTCGCGAGTGGACAGGCGTAGCTCGTCGAGATCCACATCATCGTCGATAAGTGCGATAAAGGTACGGATGCCCACATATCGTTGAACCATGTATAAACGGAACTTTAACGAGTTACGTTTATCGTGCGTGCTTCAAGCAGTGTGTGCCGACGGAGCTTGGAAGTAGGAAAAATGTTTTTCAACTTCCGCATAACGGTGTTGATTTTTGGGATCAAAACGACATGGGATTCCAAAAATTGTCGCATGAACAGGTTGAAACGGTGGCTAGCACAACCCACCAATGGGCGTCCAGTCCTATGAGCAAAGCCACATTGGTCGAACAATTGTCCCCCACAAACGTCACAACGTTATCCATAGAATTTCCATAGTAGTCCAACACAAACTGGATGTAGTTGAGATGAGCGTCGGCACTGAGAGACTCCTCGTCATTCATTTGTGCAAACGACAGTAGGACACGTTGGTAGCAAATCACATTGTCTGATGGGAACGTAGCGAAAACAGCAACGTAGTGAGTTGACCCAGACGTCCAGCCGTCAAACACATGTGCAAACTTAGATGATAGGGTGCGTCGGAGCTTCGCTTCCACAACTTGGCACACCAAATGTATGTACTTCCACAGAGTGTTGGTCGTCATGGACCCTAAGGTAGTATAACGTTTGGCGTACACGTTTTCACAGAACGCGAACGGTAACAGGGACATAGTGATCCAAGCCAACCATCCAAATACGTTGTGCACAGTGCTGGGGACCATAGACTCGAAGTGATGCGAAGGGTTCGCACCAGGGGTACTAGCAAGGGTAGCGTGCTCAGGATGGTCAGTGTTGATGTGGGAGCACAAGTTCGTGTACCCCGATGCATTTTGCGTCCGGTGGACACCATAGTGACACTCCCAGATGCGGCTGTCGGGGGACATACGGGTGAAGTAAAGCTCAGCAAGAGCCTTACCACGGAGGGCGTTGGAAGGGGCAGACGACATCAAAAGAAAATATGAGTGGTCGGCGAGAGGCCCTTTTAATTTAAGTGGTTGGAAACTCTTTGCATGCTTCGCCAGTCGTTTTTCGTATTGTTGATTATGCCAATCAGGTGCTTGTGGTTCTTCTTATTGGTGGAATTTCTTCAAATGAAATCCAAGCAAATTGTTTACGAATTATTTGGTCGATACGAATCATTTACTTTACGGACGCAAAAACCAGAAGAATTTATTTATATATGGAAGCATTTCGGATTATTTATTCAATGACAGAATTTCAAAGAATTATATATTTTATTTATATTATTGAATACTATTCGTTTTAGATAATTTTTTCATAGGCCTTGATAGCTACCATGCATTTCTTCACATTGTATGGTGTTGACAAACACCGTGTTTTTATATAACGATGGCTGTTAGCAGGGGTTCTCAAAAAATAATCTATTTATCTTTTATTCGAACGGAAAATAGATTATTTTCCGGCACCACCAACATAGATAAGTTATCTTTTCCCATCACCAGAAAAAATAAATAACTTATCTTCAAATGCAAAATAAAAAATCTTTCCAAATGACAGGATAATTCTCATTGGTGCTTGAAAATGGTTGGTCATAATTAGGATTAGAGTGATAACCACCAATTACTTTTGACACCCCGATTGAACATTGACTCACTTGCCATGTCGACGAGACCTCCAACCAACGCGCATCGTGGAAAGCGGCTCGCTGAGCTCTACTTCACGAGGACCACCCCTACCGGCAACGAATGGAAGTGTAAGTATGGGCACGTGCACCTCAAAAAGACCACTGGTTACACAAACCTGTGTTCTCATGTAATGAGCTGCCATCCCGAGTACGTCCACTTGAATGAAACTGACGCTGATCACCCTAGTATCATCGCCAACATGCTAATCCCACATGTACATGGCATCCGACATCGAACCGACACATTTTGACCAGGGGATTGGACGACCGACAATGGAAGGCGCAATGATTGGATGGAAATTTTTTACACAATTGGATTGGTCGACAGTAATGTCGTTCATGAACATATCAAGAACATAGCGCAATAACACTATCCTATTGGTAATAATAGAAAAGCGGTTTCACACCGTCATTGTCGAACATGCCTCCCAAGCGCTCGGTGGCCACAGCGTCGAAGCAGACGATTGAAGAGTCGTTCCGTGGGACCTCAACGAGGCGTGCCTATGACACGTACCAGAAACAGTTTGAGACCTTTCTCCAAGCGAATAAACCGGGTACTGCACTTGAAGCAGCAAGTACAGAAGACTGTACCGATTTCTTCCACGCTTTATACTCGCGCGGGACTACCGTTCTCCGTGGACGATCTCGGCAAAGCCGTCGCCAAGAGTCTACAGGAAGGGGGTGGTTAGATTGCCGGCCCGCCCAAGGCAACGAAGTAACTGTCCTTGGATGGTTTCGTGGCCCAGAAGACGATACCCACTGCTCGTTCAGGACTGCAAGCATGGCAACAGTGGTTTGTGGCTGATCCTGGCGCGGGCTTGGTGTGTGCGCTGAAGGACTACAACAGCGACATGATTCGCCTCGATCGGAAGAAGTATTCCGAGCGACTGACCTTGGCCAGTGCATTTGAGAAGTACCAATCGTATGAACAGTTCGAAGCGGCGTATTCAGGGTATACGAAATCGTACGCCAAGCTGCTGCGCGAGGTCCGTCACAGAAAGCGGCTAGGTTCGTTGTAAGGGGTAATTGATACTGCGTGTGAAAACGGAGCGAAGCGACCAGGAGCGCAGCGACTCACGAGCGTTGCGAGTCGGCGCGCAGCGCCCAGCCCCGCAGTGAGCAATTTTTTGTTGTTGTTTTCTTTGAAGCTGATTTGCGAGAGAACGGGCGCGTATTAAGGCATTCTGACTAGTGGAATGAGTGCAACGTCGCTCAAGCTCCATTTTGGTATATCTTGGGTGCTTGGGGGCACCTTTGTGATTGTTTGGTGGATTGTCCAAGGAACATGCTGATATTGTAACTTTACGAATAACTTTACCGGTGCAGCTTGACAGAGACTGACGCGCTTGGAGTAATTTCCTTCTCCTTACGTATGTCGTGCCAGTAGTACTGATACCCGTCCGGGCCGTCTAAATTAAACTTATTTTAATCACTCAACACGACACGGCTTCAATCTTGAGATCGGCTTAGCCAACGGGCACAAAATTGAGCGCGCGCTATTTTGTGATGCGGCTTTAGGGCAGGGCAAGGTTTACGCTTGATATACTTTGTCGTCTTCGTTGAATTGAGCCATCGACGAATAGTAGAGGCTTTGGCCACGTTATCCAATGCCTCGGCAATGCGTTTAGATGAGTAGTGCTTAACAGTGGCCAGACGAAATATACGCCTAATGATTCGTTTAGTTACTTTGGACTTTCTTCCGACCTTTTTATCGCTTTTCTTGGATTGACCAATCATATCGTTGTCGGATGAAAGTGTCGGATTTGCAGAGTTACCCATACATGCTGTGCGAAAAGTATTCGGGTGGCTGCAGTGGATTATCTTCTCGTTGCTTCCATTTTCGTTTTGTGAGAATGATACGGCTAGAAAGTACTCAGTGTTGGATTCCATCTCAACGAATACTTTCATTAAATATATGTCACTTCTCACTGACACCGTGGAGAAAAAGATTGCTGACATGCTTCCAAACATGTTCGCTATAGTATGTGATGGTTGGTCTATTGGATCGAGTCATTTTGTTGCAGTATTTGCTACTTTTGCTACGGATGATCTGATTGGCTATACAAAAGTTCCATTGTCATTTTCCCCAATCAATGACGAGGATTCGTTGAACGCCGATGCTCATCACGAGTACTGAGTATTTATATTGGATGTATACGGAAAGACGATGTCGAATGTTATTGCTCTAATCAGTGATAACTGTTCAACTAATGGCGCAATTGCTAAGGTAGAATGCCAATTGTTGGGATATGTGCCAATAAAAGTCGTATCGAAATCCACCAATCAGGAAGCTATTTTGTTTGGCGGCAAAACCTGCAAAACATAATCACACTTTGTCAGTGGCACTTCCGTCTTCGCACCCACGATGGCCTCTCCCTGCAAAGAAGCGCTGGTACACGCCCGAAGACCTGAAGCAAGCAGTCCAGCAGGTCGTTGGTGGAATGCGTGGGACAGAAGTCGCTCACGCTGCCACATTCCGTACGAAGTTGTCATGCGCAGGGTTCGACTCATCAAGGCCAGCAAGGAAGTCCGCGTTCAGCGCCGTGGACCAAAACCAACCCTCGCGAAGTCATGTGAGGAAGACCTGGTGGCATGGATTTCGGGGATGCAATCCCGAGGTTACCCAACTAGCCGCTATGCCATTTTGGTCAAGGCCAACCAAATTCTTCAGCACTTGGACCCTCTTGGTTCCCTGACGGGTGGCTGGTATCGGTGATTCTTGCAGCGACACCCACAGCTGACCAACCGCGTTGCCCAGGTCATATCATCCGCCCGAACCAGCATCGACGAAGCAGGAGTGGCGCTGTTGTTCGACTCCATGGGCGAAGCGATGAAGGAGCACAACTTTACGGCGGATCGGATTTTCAACATGGACGAGACGTCCTTCGCATCCCGGCGGAAGTCTAAGGACGTCGTGGCGTTGAAGGGCTCACGGAACGTTTGGGCTAAGACTGTTCCTACAAATTTTCATATGTCGATTGTAGCGTGCGGCAGCGCCGATGGCATGATCCTGCCTCCGTTGTTCTTTTGCCTGGTGAATCTGTCAACAAGGACTTGGGTACCTACTGTTCGGTACCTGGTGCTACTGTCACTACGACCCCGAAAGGGTTTATGAATGAAGATTTGTTTGAGAAGTGGATTGAATGTTTTTCTTCTATTGTCGGTGAAACCATTCAGCGTCCGAATTTGCTTGTATTTGATGGATTAGCTTCGCATTATTCCACAAAAATTGTTACATTGTGTGCGAAGTTGGACATTATTTTAATGTGTCTGCCTTCGAATGCTACGCATCTTTTTCAACCGTTTGATGTTTCCGTGTTTGGTCCGTACAAGAACGCAATCCGTCGAGCAAATATTTGACGCCATGGTTGCTGATGGTACAAATGATTTGCTCAATAAATATGTTTCAATTGCTAACATAAATTCAACACTTTTTAGAAACGGGAGACATGCACTCCATCTCGAAGGCTGCCGCAATCACAATCGCTTCCAACGCATGGACATCGCACATCCTGTCGTCGAATGTCGTCAGCGGGTTTCGTACTGCTGGCCTTTTCCCGCTATCGTTGGAGCAAATGATGAAGCGATTTAATTTGTTCCAAAAGGGGGGAGTACCAGCAGCGTATGTTCACGCTGAGTGGCTAGAGCAACAAGACGCCCTTCGACGTCAGCTGCTGGCGTTGCCTGCAGAACAAGCAAAACGCGTAGGTCCGAAACGAATCACCGTAGCGGGACGCATTCTTACCTTGGCCCTGATGCAAGTGATCGACAAAACGAAAGAAGAGCGCGCCAAGGCTGCTAAAGAGACCAAGGCTCTGAAAGCAAAGCGCGCCAAACGAAAGGCGAAGCGACGTACCTGTGACGACGACAATGCGGCTGAAACTGAGGAAGACAACGAAGGACCACCGGACAACGAGGGAACACAGGTGGCTAAAGCGACCAAGCCAGTGACAGCGAAGCGCGCAAAACACAAGGCGAAGCGACGAACCTGCGACGTAGACGACGTGGACGGCGCGGCTACAGCCCAGGACGACGACGAAGGGCCACCCGACAGCGAAAGAACGCAGGACACCGCACGCGACCAGCAGGACCAAGGACCGCCGACTGCACTTGACCGCGTTGTCCTACAAGAAGCAGCAGTTTAATAGATCGTCTTTTCATATCATTTGCCTCCTGAACTTACTTCTCACAAGATTTGGTCTTGACGGCCCGTGGAAAATTGGAAAATGATCTTGTCCACGAACCGACACGCAGAATTCACCTGCAGAATACATAACATGTCGCCTTGAATCTTTTACTGGCCATAATTAATAACCTAACCGCACAAATTGTAAGCAATTCATTCTAGTGAATCCAAGTGTTAAAGCTACAACTTTAACTGGCACAGCCAAGTAGAGCATTTTCGCGTATAAAGTGGTCAATTTGCATGTCTCGACCACCGCAAAACATGATAAATTGACGATGCCGCCGTTGACCTTCAAATTCTATAACGATAGGAAGTTGCAGAATGCGATTTCGATGCCTCAGTCCCAAGACATGCCCATTCCCCTGCAAGGGAAAAAAGTTGTACTACATTAATTGGCATTCTACCGATGTGGTGTACCTTTGGTTGGTTGCGCCGGTCACAGGTTTAACGTCTTCGTCACCGACATTTTGACTCAATACGATCCTTTGATTAACACTGTCAATGAGTTAATGGAAAACCAAAAAACCTGAAACTAGCTGCAAAGCTACGTCGCTTGACACCATTAGGTGCGATCAACCGCAGTGTCACGCGTTGGAGCTCCACCTACTCCATGCTCAAGCGCTACGTCGCCATCCGCACGTATATCAGGCTCCTGGGCGATCGCAATATTTTGAACCTCACCCCGACCGACGACCAAGACGACGAAATCGACGCTTTGTTGATCGTGCTTGACGAGTATGAATCGGTGACGTTGGCGCTCCAAGAAGATGCTCCATGCTCAAGCGCTACGTCGCCATCCGCACGTATATCAGGCTCCTGGGCGATCGCAATATTTTGAACCTCACCCCGACCGACGACCAAGACGACGAAATCGACGCTTTGTTGATCGTGCTTGACGAGTATGAATCGGTGACGTTGGCGCTCCAAGAAGATGCTACCTCCATGCTGGATGTCCGAAACCTCTTTGATGAGTGTATGCTGCTTCATCCGTCGGCTTCCAAGCGCTTGACGTCTAATTCAGGCATCCGGACACGCGGATTTTGAAGTTGCCATCACCAAGATATTGGACCAATCAGTTGCTACTATACGTGATGGTCAAGTCGCGAGTGTTGATCGTTTGAAGATACCCCCAAAGGTCTTGGATTCAAGCCAGGACAAGCCATTGACGCTGGCGCAACATGCGAAGAAGTGCCTCAAGGTCTCAGCCGATGCTGACTCCTCGGTGGACTGTCGATTTATCCGTCCGACGTCGAATATGTGCGACCGATTGTTTTTTCTGGGCAAGTATGCATCGATCGTCGTCGCGCCACAACCCCCCAGAACTTTGAGCAGCAAATGTTCCTCAAAGTAAATTGTAGTCTTTGGGACGTGACCGATGTAGCCAAGTCAATGACTACATACAATGGACTTTCACCGGGGAGTTATTCGAATAAGTTATTCTTTCTGTATAACTGGAAAAATAAGTTATCTTCGTCATCCTCCATAAAAGATAAGTTACCTTTCAACTCACTGTTTGAGAATAGGTAAAAGATAGATATTTGAGAACCCCTGGCTGTTAGCGTTGTTGCTGGTTGATGTTTAGAGGGCTGGCGTTGGTGTTAGATTTTAGGGTTGTCACGGGCGAAGTAGTTTTGTCGCCGACCCTCTATCACTGTCCGGATCGCCGCGAGTGGAGTGTCCGTTCTAAACATGTTAGTAGTAGTAATAGCTTTTGTTGCGCAGGATGGTGTTGAAAAACAGCAGTACTTTGGATGACCACAGCTGATATGTGAGATGATAATGAGGTACTTTTCGATATTGCCGAATGATGTAGCAACATACCGTAAGTCGCTGTCGCCGCAGTTGTCATCATCGCTGTTGTCGTCGTCGCCATAGTTCCTAAACATGTTAGATGCGATTCAATTCCTTGTATTCGATGGTGGTGATGAACACCGAGGAAGTGTCGGCTACGAGTGAAATTGGGAAATGACTGCAGAAAGACATTTTCATCCGCATAAATTTACCGTACGAGTAGTCGGTTGGCTGCTGTGTTAAACCTATCCCGTGTTGCGATGGATTCAATTCTCATTCTTCAATTTGCATTGTTCGACGCACTTCGATTTTGTTCGACCGCACACACTAACTTCGATTATCCTGTTCTCGGCCCACATGCCATTAGAGCCAAATCTAAATCGCCTAACCAAAGCACGTGTAGAATATAATCGAATTTCGTAGCAGCAGTTGACTTGCGACATCCGGAGTACTTCAGTCAAAATAGAATTAAATTTTCTTGTCTCAATATAGTTTATATACAAGTAATGCTTTGGAATAGAATATCTCTTTTTATATTTGCATATGTTTTTTGATGTTGCAGGACTGCAGGTTCCAAACCTGCAGTACAGTGTAGTTTACCGGCAGCCTTTGCGAGCGTGATGGATGAAGTAGTGCTTGTACTACGTAGCAATCATTAACGCTTTACCGATTTGAGCTTGGCCACTTGGTTACTACGTTAGTACTAGTAAGGACTTGCGGTTGTCGTTGATGTGATGTCTCTAGTTACGCTGCACCCAACTTGAAGTATCCTATCATTGTTACTTTAATTACGTGAAGCAAGCTTGGAATTTGTATGCAGCAATTATATTAATTTCTCAAATATTTCGCTGTCCGAAGCTCTGTCTTCACGTCCGAGTCGTTGTGGTATGGCAACGCAAGCTTGCTTACTACTGTACCATGATATACAAATACCAGCTATCATGATCAGATAGCCTGTGATACTTTCACGTTCGTTGTTTTGAGACGCGAAAGAAGCACCAGTATAGAGACCATAACTTGATGTTCCTTTCAAGGATTTGAGAATTCTCAATGCTGCATCCCAATGCGTTTTGTTGTAGCAAGAGAGAAACTTACTTAGCTCTCGTACTGCATTTGCAATGTCAGGTCTAGTACCTCGTACTAGGTACTGCAGTGAACCAACTAACCCTCGATAGTCGTATGGTTTCTTTGCAATCTCACCCTGCGTCATGATAGCTTCAGCTACTAAGTCGACTCCCACTACTTCGGGTGTCGAGACTGCTGTGGAATCTTGCATGCCAAATTTGGCAAGCAGATCATGAATGTATTTCGTTTGCGACAATGACATGGTTTTGTCGACACGATTTCTTTTAACTTCCACTTTCAGAATCTAATTGAGGTAACCAAAATCCTGCATTTTGAATCGCTTGTTTAATTCCACTTGGAGATTCTTTACAAGTCGTGCATTCCGTGACACAATAGTAAGGTCATCGACGTAGACGACAATATAAGCCAATCATCATTACGATCTCCCACTTTTTGAATTGTATACCGCTTACGTTTTGGGCGCAGTCTCCCTGTGAATTGTTATACTTGTAAGTATTACTTTGTGATCCTTACAGTTAGTACTTCGAGGTACTACTTTTGTGGTATCGCCAAATCCCTCTATCGATTTTGTATGGAAGAGTAGTCCTGTTTTGAATGTTACTTCACTTGATTAACGTATACTACCTCCGATTGGAAATGAAGGGTAGTACAATGTACAGTACTGTACGTACACTATGTAACCTGTACTGCGTATTCAGCGGCACATATCTTGAAGAATTATTATTACGTATTTCGGACGTTACTTCACTTGAATAACATATTCAATGCACTGTATGTATACTTGGTAGCATTCAACTGCACATATTTTAAAGGATTATTAAGACGTCAAAATAATATTGCTTCTCAGCGCAGAATTAAAATCACTCACCGGACTTGATTAATGTATGGTCAAATGGGTAACAATATGCATATACAGAGGTAACGTAAACTCTATAATATAATTATCTTATATGAGTACTCTTCGCTTGGGTTCTGCTCGAGTCAGGCAGACATCCCTGCCATAACCATGGAGACAGTCCTCGTTCTCTATATCGACAATGCTCATGTAAGAAGTTTGGGCCAATTGGCTCGACCACTTGCTTGTTCACAAGAGGCAGTTTACGCTATACAAAGATCATCAGTCTGATTTTGGAGAAATTTAAATAAATCCTCGTAATTAAAATGACTTTGCGGCAAAACTTGAGGTGAAACGTGGAGGTAATTTGGGACAGAGGAGTATTTTTAATGTTACTGATTAACATACACAATATACTGTACAGAACTGTTCGTATACTCTGCACTGTATATTCAACTGGAAATATCTTAAAGATTATTATGACGTATGTTGAATGATACGTAGTTTTCTTTAGTCCAAGCTCTTTAGTTAGATTTAGAGAGAAGGGAATTAAAATGTTTGGAATTGAAGTAATAAAATTGTAGAGATGGCCACTCCAAACAGTGATCATTGATATGCCGAAATATAGGTTTTATTAAAGTATTGGAAATGCTTCGAACAACGATACAAATATCAATTTATAAAAGCAAATAAGTATCATGCGCTTAACGTACCTCTGAATAAGGTTGAAACTCATAACAACTTTCCCCGAATAATACAACTAGCCAAGGGTTTCATTGCTACGGTAATAGTTTTTCCAATCATATCAATTATGCTAACCGTGCTACATGGGCATACACATTATCACAGTCAATTCCAAACGTTTGGTGACTGCCTTGTGCAACTAATCGCGCTTTACAACGATCGATTTGTCCATCCGCATGATATTTTACCGTAAATACCCAGTGGCATGGAATCGCAGTGCGACCCGGTGACAACGAGGTGATTTTCCACGTCCCATTATCAATCAATAAATTGTACTCCGCATTCATAGCGTTTTGCCACTCTCGCCGATCAGGGCCGCGGAGGGTTGCCTTTACTGATCGAGGAATCAGAATCGTATCCGGAACCGGATGAGACTGGACGATGTTACTCACATTCACATCAGTGGTAACGTAAACAATCAATTTAAGACAAAATGTACATGAGCCAATGAAAACGTCGTGATATTTCCTTGAGCCAATGAAACGACGCGAAATAACCTAACCACACAATTTATATGCAAAGTGATATACCTTATTCAAGATAAAAATATGCGTCCTAGATTGATTGTTAACATGAGATCAAACTTGCTTGTTTTTGTTGATTTAGTCATTGGAAATACATCGAAACCCAATATAATTGATATGAGGTTGTTCCCCATTAATTCAGCTACAATCTCCAAGTTTCAGAGGTCGAAAAATATTGTATGAGCGGGGAGCTTTGAACGTTCTCCCCAGCCGCCTTCCTCAGATGCGTCTTGAATTGATTGTTTACGTTACTAGTACTAGGAGTTTGGCTCGTACGACGACGAACATCAATACCACGCAATCCACCAACAAGTAGATTCAGAACATTATCAACAGCCATGGAATGCAAACTAGGATGCGCTTCAAATATGTGAAGCGCTCTAGTTCTTTGTCACACGCATGACCACAGGATACATGTCAACATGCAGTCATTCAGACTAGAAGGACGTCGTGCAATCCGCTTTGGACGCAAATTAGGTACATTGGTGTTGTCCAAATCCTGTGAAGTTGAGTTGAAAGAGCGTTTGCGCTTTACGCCAGCTCTCACTATTACTGGTGCTTGCCTCTTCTCATCAAGTGTAGTTGATCAACCACGTCTAGTTGATGCTCATCTAACCCGTCGGTCAGAGCGCTACTTTCGTTGGGCACAATGTGATCAAGTCCAAAACGATCAACATTCGCACTACAATAGTATGTATTAGTAACGAGGGTAGTATGTCTTCAGTCTCAGTTGCAGAAAGTACTGTAGCCTTTTCTTAAACGCACGACGCAGAATATGGTCGACATGTTCAAAGTCAAAACTGACATCACGTGAAACGAAGAATCGGTTATCATAGACATTAAGACGGCGATAGTCTTTGTAGTCTTCCGACACGCCAAGAAATCTACACTTAATCGATCGCAAAGAGAGTTTCTTGTCTGATCTCGTTGCAGATGGAACATGTGCATAACATATGCAACCCCAAACACGAATGTAACGCATGTCAGGTACTTTGCCATACACTATCTCGTAGGGTGTTTTATAACCGAACACCACTTGTACGTTGAGTTATCATCAACGATACTGTAGGAGTACCTAATACCAGAAGTAGTACCGTAAATACCAGCTTGCTTCATCGGTCCACATGTATCTACATGTAGTGAACCAGCTACACGAGTAGACCTGGTTCCAGAACTGTTTCTGTAGCTCATGCGAATGTGTTTGGCACGAACACAAGTTCGACAATACAGTGTGACTCCATGCAAACTATCCTTAGTATATAATGCGTGGCACCCCAGGGAAGTTACTACCGTATTTGTCGTACCTTTGCACCATGGGATTAAATTTGAAGAATATATTTAAATATTCGAATTGTATAATTGCTTCAAGATTGTATTGAATTCTAGAATTATATTCGCGTTTTGTATTTTTCATGGTGCAGATCAACGACAAATACGGTAGTACTGTAGTAAGGAGTCGAGCGAGTGACGCAAAGTTGAGATGGCCAAGTCTGACATGCCATTCTTTGAACAGTTTCGTCGCCAGAGTAGTATTGCTAACTGCTTTTACTTCTAATACGCCTGTCTTGACATTATGACAGCGAATCTGCCTCTCGAGTACAGTAAATGCACGCACGTAGTATGCACCCTGAATAGCAACCGCAACAAACTGAAGTCGGTTTTGCTTGAACACATACTTGTAGCGCCCACATGCACTGTCGCTTACGACATAACCGGTACATTTTAGTGCATTCTCACTCAGAATATTTACTGTAGAGCCTGAAACAACAGTACTACGAAGCTTATTCCCATTTCCAAGTGAAAACTGAACGAAGTATTACAATCCAATTTACAGTAATCTCTCCTAAGGGACTAGAGGCTTCCTGTCATGTGATGGCCGAATCCACTGTCGAGAGCCCCATCATTCCTAGACAAAGTGCGTTGACTTAGTAGCTTTGGATAGGACTTTCTTACCATATCGTCCATGTCAACGGACATTGTTTGCATAGAACGGCCACATCTTCCATGCGTTCATGGGCGGGCGTGTAGTACGGACTACTCGGCTCAAAGTCATCATCGAGGCCAAGGCCAAGGTAGTCGGCCAGGGATTCTTCCGCAGGGCTCGGGCTGGCTGGGAGAGGCAACTCCGGCTGCCGTGGCAAGGGAACTTCGGCACGGATGGCGCCGCAGGGCACGTTGTTCTTGGGCGACCGTGGCTCGATCTTTTCAGGTATCGACCAGATGTTTTTGCGCTCGTATCTGTACCACAGGTCTTGGCTCATTTTAGGGCATTTCCCCTAAAATGGCCCGGCTGACCACAGTAAAAACACATTCCAGCGAGGGTCAGTCCTACTTGGTCCCGCAGGTCCAGATAATTTCGGACGTTTTCCATTCAATACAGGACCCTGATTGGTCGGACGCTTCTACTCATTTCTATTTGTCGAATAGAATTTTATACGCCATATCCGTCGCCGATGATTGGCCAGCCATGGCTAATAACGCGCGTTTCGAACGCTGGCCCAAGATTCCGACAAGGATCTGTTCGATTGAATTCAGATTGAATGAGTCTAGTGAGTATTTCACTTGAGCACTGTAGAATTGACTAGGCAGTTTTCAACTCTCCAAACCACGACTCAATTGTATCGAATGATTTACCCGCTGTGCGGATAAATATTCCCATAAGGGCAGTTACAGATGCAGCATTCGAAACTCCATAACATTTCTGAACCTCACTCCAAATTTCATGCACAGGCATTTTCGAATCGCTACCATCACGTAGTTGCTGGATAATACTAACTGAGAACAGCGACCGAACTTTCTGGTTCTGTCGCTTGCGATAAATATTCATTATAGGAGAATTATTCTCGTTACCATTCATTTTCGCAAAGCCCCTAACCAGTCATTTTCGATACCAACACAATTCAAATTCTGATGTTCACGCACCACGATCCGTCGCCGGGGCAAGCCCCTAGCGGTGCTCTACTACACGCGCATCTCGCCGGAAAGCTCCATTTGGGTGTGCAAGTGCGGCCAACACCGAGCCCAAGATGGAAGTGGCTACAGCAAATTGAGATCGTATCTTGAACGCGACCAACCGAGTACGTCCACTACGACACTAGAAACCCAGACGCGCAACAAGGCGTGTTCGCGTCGCTCACCTCCAAGCCAGTGCAAGCAGTCCGTAGATGGCTGACGTGAATTACGGCATCTCTCATGCCGTTTTCATTCTGTGAGAACGCCATGGCCTGGCGACTCACCACCCTGGAGAACCACCAGTGTCAAAACACTCATGTAGTGGATGCACGCCATGTGTCGCTGGATGGAAAGCGAGATATCTGAGACGCTATCCGACCGTTTGCAGTCGACCAATGACGGTTGTACCAGTGGTTCCACCCAGCGATTGTCAAAAATATATTGTTAAAACAATTATTTAAATATATTGCAATAATTATTTTATTATATTGTTCCTGAACAATAAAAATATTTATTGGAAGAGCGAAATATATTGTAATAGTTATTGTTTTCCACGGAATTATTGCAATTATTTTATTGGACCCCAAGTAATATTGCCATAGTTATTGGTTTCAAGAGAATTATTGGTGTTATTTTATTGGGCCCCATAAATATTGCAATAATATTGGTTTTCCGAATCCAATAACCCTGATTGGACAATATATGTCACACCCTACAATATGACTGGTCAAGTTTTTGGCTGGCTCACATGTTCCCAATCTTCTCTCGCATTGGGGACTTGAAACAGCTCGTAACATCCACGCCACACCAAGACCAAATGACCGTACCACGTCAGCAAGTCCTTCGACCCCAGCCCGCGCGTGAGTCTTGGACCACGAATGAAATCGTGGACGTTTTCTTCGGCCCCTGGATCGTAGACCCGTATGCGGGGCCATGACATTCAAGTGCTGCTTTAAGAACAGCGGCGTTCACAAGAACGGCAGGTAGACAGAACATTAAGCAAACATCAATCGGATTTGAACCGATACCTCTGACTAATGTCAGCGCTCAACCATAGAGCTTTGATGTTGGGGGTGGAGGTGGAAGGCCAAATGGATAATGAGCTTTGACATTTGTCTTTGCAAATTGAGAACAAATATTTCACACATGCGTAATCATAGCGTGACATGAGGATGAGATCATCAAAATGATTGGAGTTAACGAATGATTGAGTAATCGAATACGCACCTATATGGACTATTGGGTTGTCCATACCCACCCGTGTCTTAACCTCATGGCCAAAATACCTTCTCACTAGGACTCTAAAAACAAGGCCCTTCGATCTGTTACCCGAGAAAACGCCATTTTAGTGTTTTGCCCCAATTATAATAAACACCGTTCCAAGTGTAACAAATTCGAAGTAATACTGTCTCCGTACGTATTCCGGATAATTACTTATATCCAGATAAAAGGCACTTTGACCGCCAAAAACTCCCACCAAAAATGTACGCAAGTCAGGTTTTGATGCCGTTGTGCTAGCTGCGGTTCCATCGACCGCGGCATAAGGGTTGGATCGTACTTCGAACGATCCAAACTTCCATTGTCGAAGGCGGTGCTGCTAATGTATGCATGGGCCTCGCGCAAGCCGGTTACGGTCGCCGCCTGCAAGACGGAAGTCTCAAAAGTTGCCACATTTGACATGTTCAATTTTTGTCGAGACATTTGCTCTAACGAGATGTTGTCCAGTGCTATGATGGTATGTCGAATTAGAATTAGATAGTACTACGTAGTATTCATTTATGTAATTAATATATCCGAGGTTGTTGAATTATTCTATATGTATTTCTCTAATTAACACATCCAAGGGTGTCGTATAAAATTTATGTATGCTATTGATATATACAAGGTTGTCGTCCAAGGGTGTCGTATAATATATATGTATGTTATTGATATATACAAGGTTGTCGTGTTATACAATTTTATTTCTGTATCTAAGGTTATCGAATTATATAATACTAATTCCTGTAATTGTTATACTCAAGGTGGTTGAATTATGTAATGTGTATTTCTGTAATTAATATATCCAAGGTTGTCGATTTATAGTATATATATTTCTGTAATTAATACATCCAAGATTGTCGAATTATATGGCATTTATTTCTATAATTAATGTATCCAAGGTTGTCAGATTTTATGATATTTATTATATTTCTGTAATTAATATATCCAAGGTTGGTGGTGTAGGCTCGTTCGTTGAAATCGGTGAGACATCACTAAAAAAATCCAAACACAACTGCAGAGCCCAGCACCCCGACGTTTGGTTGTTCGGCGGCGTGGGCAGAACTACGGGCAAGTGGTTCGGGCGCCTTAGGTTCCACGACCGTATGAAGCCAACTTTCTCTGCCATGATTGGGCAGCACATCCAACCAGGTACTCTAATCGTATCAGACAAATTTGGTTCATACGTGTCGTCGGACGAAACACACACATTGTCTAACAACCCATTGCTGGCCGACAAGAACTATGGTGATCATTGGGTGAACCATTCGGAAAACTTCTTGGATCCAGCGACCAGCGCACACCCAGACGATCGAGGATGTGTGGGAAGTTCACATCATTGGATATCGAGTTGGATCATTTGGAAGTTTCCTGAGGCAAAAAAGAGCGCCAAGTCGGTGACGGCACTCCGGCAGACGAAGCAACGAGTTCCACGTACATACTTCTGCATGAGTTCACCTCGCTTGATGCGCGTGAATGATGTCGCATGACGGAGAAGCATTCTTAGGACCATGGAGCGATTCAAGTGGCGCTGGAGTTTGGATGTCACTACCACATGAAGAAAGGACATATGAAGAAAGGGCAAGCAGGCAGCGGCGGCAACTCTCGCGGTGACGACGACAGAACAATCCACTGAGTCTCATTGGGGGAAGTGTACTACGACAAAACCGCTAGGTTTGACCGTTTCGTTGAGGATTCGTGACGCTACCAAACGTCGCGTACGCGCTCATGCCGGGATTCCAGATCCACATCGCGCGGTTCGATGTCGAGCCCGCGGATGACATACACCCGTGCATTAATGACGCTCCTTTTGCAGCTGGCGGTGGGAGTCCCCTCTCAGCACATCCCCGTGCGTCCCTTGTGCCGAAACCCGCCCGTCGAAATTCTGGATTTGTCACATCGGAGGACTACATGACGTGGTTCGAATACATGGAGGCTGTGTGCGGCTTTTTGTACGTCGCGGCGTCCATTGCGTCGGGTGTGGTGTATCTCCAGGTGCTGTATCCGTCGTTTGCGAACGAATTGACGTGGCCGTACTTCAACACGTCGACGCACTTGTTTATTGGGGACCTGTGCAACCTGGGGCTACCTACGCAGTATTGCTGGGTCGACTTTGACAAAACGTTTGAAATGGCACACACGGCCGCCCGCCAGGCGCGATGTGCTTCCATGTACCACGCCAACGCGGCGGTGCATTACGAAGCAATGTTGCGCAACATCCCATGGGCCAAGTGGGAGACGTCCTTTGGCGGACCAAATGGGTCGTTCACACGTGCTATTGCGGTGTGATGGAGTTCCCAACTGGATCGGCGTGGCTCAAGGCGGTGCAAAACGCATTTGTGGACTTGCCATCGGAAGCAGTGTTGTGGCGAGCAAAGGGGATGGCGCAGTGGATGCTGCGATGGCACAACGGGTGGTCCCCGGGGGTGAAAGAGATCATTGAAGTCGTGGACGCATACGGTTTCTTCAATAAACTGATTGTAAAGAGCCTGTCGTACATGCCCCAAGCCACAGGCTCCAAGTCCACAGTGCTCAACAGCGTCATCACCACCGACATGCCGTTTGCAAGATTGCGCAACTACTCCCTGGTGCGAGGCACGTCGCGGCAAATTCCGGACGAGCTGATTTTGTTCAACTCGGTCATGGTCCCCACGCTAGTAAGTCAGTTGTGGGAGACCAACATTGGGCCGTACGGGGCGATCGACGCGGTGTGGGTGCCCGTGCCACCAAGCTTGGCTGACATCGTCCATTCGTTCCAGGGAGATGTGCTGTCTCAACTGACGCGCAATGCGACAGTGCTGGCCGCGGTGCAAGAATTGGGCTACGAGTGGGCGCTGCCGACCCCACGTGCCTGGTCTGGCGGTGCGTATGAATTTAGTGGGGGCAACCCTATGTGTGACAATACCCACAGGACGTCGTTTGTCCAAGAAACGTTCGGGTTGACGACATGTGCTTGACGTCGTTGCAATTGAGCGTCGAAATGGACGCGATGAGCGCCTTGTTTGCCCTGTAGTGTCCTCCCAAGCACAACTCAACTCGGTAAAATCTTTACCAAGACAGCACGACCCGATCTTTGTATCAAAAGTCCGCCAAACGCTGACGGGTATGGTGCCTGTGCAAAGTATGTCGACGTCCTTGCTCATGGAGCTTCTCGTGGACGTTCGCGACGTGAGTGTATTTCAGTTTGCCTTCCACGACACGTCTGAACTGCCTCTATTTTTGACGCAACCGCTCTTGGATCCAAACGACCATGCTTGGAGTTTGTATGGCTGGGTGATGCTGTACGACTGGGCCATGCAACGTCGGGAAGTGGTCCGGTTTGACGGCGATGTCGACTCGATCACGCTCGTGTCGAAACGATACGACCCTCAGCCATTCGTTCCAGGCAGCCTGGATGCGTCCCAGCGACCGGACAACTTTAGCAAGTTTTTCGCCACGTATGTCACGGTCGTGTTGTCGTGTGTGGGGGCCGTCATGGTGGTATATGGATGCATCACGCAGTTCCGCGTGATGGGTCGCAACCTCTTTCGATTCAATCGGGTTGTCGGGTCGGTGTGGGCAGGCAAAATCATTCAATACGAGCGTGGCATCACGGCCGTGGCGTTGCTGAGTTCTTCGACGATCGAACTGCGCAAGACAATGGGGCTATCCTACTTTGTGTCGACGCGCCGGTCAACACTAGAGCTCTTGTTGGTGGCCAGCGAAGCGACTTGGGTGGCGTATACCCTCCAAGACGTGTTGGCAGCGATTTTCACAGAGCATTCGTACTACGCGGCCCCAGTCAGCACGGCCTTCGCCTGGGCAACATTGATCGTTTTCGAAACGTTGGTTCCGTCGGCGCCGTATCTGAATTTAGAACGGACGTGCAAGACGTTGGTCGTGGGGACCCAGGTCGAGTGCCGCAGTGGCCAACTGCATTTCGGCCATCCCGTCCGGCTGAACGTCCTCGTGGGGATGGATCGTCCTCGTCTATGCGCTAGCAATCCTGTTCCATCAGAAGCGCGAGCCGTCTCGTGTGACGTTGTGGATGTCTGTAGCGTCCCATGCGTTCCTCGACAAAACGCTCGCCAGCGACCACCACAGTTTCTGCTTTGACCGGGTCACGTGCATCATGAGTGGCTTGATCACAGTGCACACGGCGTACTATCAATACGTGTTCGACGTCAAGTCGTGGTCAATCTACCGAGAGCCGTTTCAGCCACCAGAGTTTAATGGACCACACGCAGCCCAAATACCCGCGCGCGAAAGAGCGACGCGATCGTTTCATTCTTTCGATCGATTCATGGCCGTGGCTGGACTGGCGTACATGGTCATATCGGTGGCAGCTAGTGTCGTGTACTTGTCAACCTCGGCCGCGGACACGACCAATGACTTCTGGTGGTCTCACTTCAATGCGTCGGGAGGGTACGGGTACCTCGCAAACGGTACTCCACCCAGCTCATGTTGAATCCCATAGAGTTCAACACGTCGTTGGACAATCCCATGTACGCCGACTCGACGCCGTACAACACGACCAGCACCGTGTTCAGTTCCAGTGCGCTGTACGCCAACATTGTGCAATTTGAAGTCGGGAACTCGCTGGCCATTGCCATCCAAGGCTTGAAGAACATGGACATTTGCGACGTGGCTCAAATCATGACGCCGTATTGCTGGCTGGACTTTCACCAGCAGTTTCCCATGGCAAACAGCGTGAAGCGACAGACGCGATGCGAGCTCGAATACACGAGCAACGGCGCCGTGTACTTGTAGTCGGCGCTTCGAAATGTCGGGTGGCAGGGCGAGGCGTTGTGCTGGGACTTCCCGCCTATCTTGGGCGATGACTTTATGGCGAGTGCTCACGGTGCCGAGTGGGTGCAGCGCATCCAGACAACGTTGACGACAGTGGAGGACGAAGTGCGGTACTGGCGTGCGTTTGGTTTGACCCATTACACGACGCAATTCCAAAACTACAAGACGATGGGGCTGGTCGAGTCGTTTCGTATTCGAAACGCGCTGGGCTTCGAGTATTCGTTGCCACTCAAGTACGGAAACGCGTCCATGCAGTTTGGGGCTCAAACGTCCATGAAATTGTACTGGAGCTTCGCCATGGACCTCTCCGTCGTGTTCAACATGTACGGCTTCACGACGCCGACATTGTCGCCCAGTTTGCTGGCGTCGAGTCCACATTACGTTTACGCCAACGTGTCGCTGCACGAGACGTTTGTGCAACTTGGTGTGCTGCACGCGCCACTTGGGGCAGTGTACACAACGCTGACCAAGGTACTGGGGCCATTTGGGTCGATTGATGCGCGGCATATTCCAGCGCCGCTATCGCTACGACAGTTCTACTCGATAGCGTCCAACACAATTTCGGCGCTCATGACAACCAACGCTGACGCGCAACTTGCGTACAACGACCTGGCGCTTCCGACCCAGTGGGTGCCTTGTCCGTTGGCCTTGATCGGAGTCAAGCGGTACTCTGGAAGCATCTTGTGTCAAGATTTGTCGGCCACGTCCAGCACGACCATGTTGTCGCTATGGACGCATAATGGCTGCACCAGTGCGTCAGAAAATCTGCATCCGACGGGCATGTCCAGTTTAATTGCCGCCACGGTCAGCTAACACTCCAGCAGTTCCATGTCGACTTGTAAGAGCGAAACGAGATCGGTGGGCCGATGCCATTTGTTCCTGGACGAAGCAGCCAACTTGTCGCAGGCGTTCTATTCCCAACAGAACCTCTCCACGCATGCCGCCTACGCCCGGGCCGCCCAGCTCGACATTTACACGCTCAATGTGTCCTTGCTGCAATTCCGGCACGACGACGGCACTGCGCTCGTGCACAACTTGTTCGCACCAGACGCGGCTGCGTTCTGGTTCTTCTCTTGGGGGCTTGTATTTGAGTGGCTTTTGGGTAACCGGGACGTGGTGTCGTTCGAAGGAGACGAAGGGCGACTGATGCTCATGAGCTCAACCGCGTTTTCCGTCGAGTCGTTGCCCAACCCCAATGTCATTCTGTACCTCATGTCCAGGTACACCCGCAACGTTGTTGTGTACATCACAGTCATGATTGCCGCCGTGGCGGTGGTTACGGCCATGTATATTGTCGGCAGCGTCGGCCGGGTCGAAGGATGGAACGTGCTCGAAATCAATCGCGTGGCCGCCGTGGTGTGGGCCGGCCGGCCGCTTCTGTTTCTGCGGAGCCTCGTCGCGTTTTGTTTACTCAGTAAGTCGCAGCTGCACTTGACGCAGTTTGGACCCGTAGGGCTCATGACTGCGTTTGAGTTTGACCAATTGGAATGGTACCGTGTCGTGTTGACGGCAGGGGAAGCCACGTGGTTTGTCTACGTCCTCTGCGACGTACTGATTGTCGTGACCAAACAGCACATTGCCGCATACACGACGTATTCCGGCCTGATTGTATGTGTCATTGCCATTACGCTCAGCGTGTACAGTCCAGTAATAGGCACGGCCGTGGTCAATCGCGTATGCTCGTCCCCCGTGTTGGACTTCAAATTGCAATGTGACGCCGGAGTCGTGAGCATTGGCAGCGTCACTCGCGTGTGGGAACTCGTCGGCATCTCGCTCGTGACAGTGGGCGCCTGTTACTTGTTCCAGCTGATCCGACACCTGAGCTTGCCCGACACAAGGCATTCTGTGTCGCTCTTGCTCTCATGTGGCGCCACGTACTTGTTTACGATGGGCAATTGGAAATACAAGCACGGGTACTACTTGGACAAGGCGTCGGCCGTCATCACTGGCCTTGTCTGCGTGCAAGTGAAACGCAAGTTTTACATCCTCGACATCAAGCTGTGGCGCATGTTCGTGATCGACATTCCACCAGACTTGCAAGTCCCCAAGACCCACCCCATGTACGACCGTGTTCGTTATGCGTTTCCCTTGCTAAGCAGTGCCACTAGTGTGAATGCGTAAATTCTCCGTCGCTCGATTCGTACCATGCGTCAATACTCTGTGGTATTTTGAAGTCCCAAGGTTATCCCCAACTTGATAGCAAAAATTGGGAGGGGGTCACGGCATACACACTTGGATGCGAATAGTAGCCATGTACCAAGTGCAGTTTGCAAGTTGTTTGGGGGACTAGTTCAATTGATTCTCTTTGCACATTGCTCGTCGCCATCGATGCAAAGCTTTGCTTTGCACAGCTAGCTCACGTATTAAGTGCCCATTTTGCACCCAAATATAAAGACTAACGTTACTGTCATAAGAACACCTCAAACACGTACTAACATATTCACAACAGTCTTGTGTTGATGCGTTCATGTTAAAAGCTACGACATGTGCAATTTGCCATGGGTAGTAGTTACTGTATCTACATGGACGCTCCCGTGCCAAGCAGCGGAAACGCGCACTTGACTCGGTCGTGCATGGGGTGCACAGGGGGCAGCTTGGACGTGCGCCGGCACTTTCACGGCAAACACCCGCCACAGTTTGATGTCAAACACATAGCAGACGTGGTTATATTCGACGCAGAGCAGCCCCGTGATGACAGTCGACGCCTTGTCGAGGTAGTACACGTTCTTGTTCTTCCAATTGTCCATCGTGAACAAGTACTTGACAGAACTCGCGAACTGCAGCGACACGTCGTGCCTGTCGTTTTGCAGGTGTCGGTGACACTCGCGCTGGAACGCGTAGTACACGACGACGGACACGCCAACGAGCTGCCCGAACCGGACGTAGCTCCCGATCACGACCCCGCCCGCGTCGCACCGAAGCAGAAAGTCCACGACGTCAATGGCACACAGCGGTCGACGATCACCGAGTGCGCAACGGGGCTGAACACGCTGAGAGCGATGGCGACGACCCAAACAATCATGCCACGTGTGTTGCTTGGTCACGACGATCACCACGTCACACAAAACGTACACAAACCACGTCGTTTCCCCGCTTATCAACGCGCCCTCCGGCGACCAGCACGGCCGATGGCACGGCCGATGGAGGCCCTACGTTGCTCAGGGCTGACTCCAAGTACACAGCCCCGTTGCCCGCATACTCGCGCACACACCTCACTTGCCGTCGCTCGCTGTGCGCCATGGGAAACTGCTGCTTGAAGTCCACCCAGTACTACGCCGTCATGATCTCCGGCACGGCGCAGTAGCCCATGCATCGCAAGCCCCGGATGGCCGTGGGCAGCGCGCTGGCGTCTTGGAGGTTGGCGTAGAGCGCGCTCGAGCTGATCACGGTGCTGCTCGAGTTGTATGGCATCGAGTCGGCAAAGGCGAGGTAGTCCAGCGTGTCGTTCAAGCCTGACGGGTTCAATAGCAGCTGCGTCGAAACCCAGCTACCGAGGAACCCGTACGCCCCCGTGGCGTTGAATTCGGACCACCAAAAGTCGTTGGTCGTGTCGGCTTCGGTCGTCGAGATGTACAGCACGCTGTCCGCGACGGAAAACACCATGTACAGCAACCCCCCCACCGCAACCAAGCGGTCCGCCGGACGAAAGGACGACTTAGCCACCGGGGCTGCGGGGGTCGCGGGCGGCTCGTCGAATGTCGGGGTCTCGAACAAACACGAGTACCACCGGTGGTGGGGCTGTGTGGTGTCGGTGGTTGGCTCCCACTACACCGAACACGACTTGATGTCAAGCAAAAAGTGGCTCTGCGCCGTGTGAAACGTCAGCAGACCGCTCATGATGCACGTGATGCGGTCAAAGCTACGTTGCTGCATCGCCAACACGGCAAAGTATACGCTAAAGGGCGTCGTGCTCACCGCGAACGGCTGCCATGATGACACATGTCGTCAAAGCCAAACGCATCGTGCACCAAGGGTGTCGGGTCCGCGGTTTCGCACATGGGATTCCCCCCTCGAAAGTCGTGGCCAGCCCACGCTTTGGGCATGATGTAGGTCGATTGTGGTAGCGCGTGGTCCGCCATAGCCGCGAGGGTGACGGGATGTTGCTGCAAGCGGCGCATCAATTCTGCTTGAAAGTGCAGCACGACCCTCGCTAGAGACGGCGGCAGGGATACCCAGATGGCGTCGATGGCGCCGTACGGACTGATGTGGGCAGCCCACAGCAGCGACGACATGGTCGGCTTGACGCCCGAGTTGGCCAAAATCAAACTCTCTGTAACCGACCGCGACGTGCTGCGCACGAGCGAGAAGTTACGCAGCCGCACATACGACATGTCGCTGGCGATCACAGCGTTCAACACGGTGGACTTGGAACGCCATGCTTTTCACGGTGACGTCTTGGCGCGCCCGAACGCATTGACGATTGCGATGCTCTCGTCCACGCCCGTGGCCCACCGGTTGTGCCAATGAAGTTGCCACGTCATGAGGTGCTAGGATCGCCAATACGCGGTCTCGGTCGCCACGTCCTCGAACGCATGTTCCACCGACTTGAGCCTGGGTCGCGCCTGTTGGAAACTCCAGCAGCCCCCCAACGATGGCCCCCGTGAACGAGCCATTAAACCCACCATAGAAGAATCCCACTGAACGGAACGTTCCGCAAGATGGCTTCCAAATGCACAGCCGCGTAGGTCGTGTACGAGGCGGCACATCGCGCTAGACGGACGGCGGTGCGGGCCATCTGGAAGTGCTGGTCAAAGTCCATCCAGCAGTAATGCGTCGGCAGGCCCGTGTTGAGCTCGTTGGCGTGGAGGCCTTGGACGACATCTTCCAAGTTGGTCGTCGTCGGCAGGACCAACATGCGGGGGTACACGTGGACTCCACGGACGCCCCCGGACAACGGCCGACGACGACGCCATGAGTGGGATCGTAGACGACGCTTGGAGTCCCAAGTGCAGATTGCACAGCCCCCCAGGAACAACTGCCCAGCTCAATTGGTTGGCCAACGTCGGAAACAGCAGCAACACGTACACGACACTGAGCGCTACAGTCTCCAGCACATACACGAAGCCAGCCACGGACTCGAGCCTCTGCATCCCCGTCATCTAGTCGTCACGACACGACGTGGTTGTGGCTGGACTGGTGCGGCTTGACGACCAACGATATTCGCACCATTGGGGAGGTGGAACCTTTGGCGGACGGCGGGTCCTTCACTTCGGGGGCCACTTGGATGGAAAATCGGGCCATGGTCTCAAGCTAATGTATCGAACGTAACTCGAGAGGCAACTTGGAAAAGGGGGACGCGCCGTTTCGTAACCGACGGGTCGAAAAATCGGTTTCAGTGTATGTACTGTATGTGGCCGATTCATAATGCACGAACAAGATGGAGATTTCGCGAGGATCACAGGAGTGATCGACATTGCACAGGGAACATGGAGATATTAAATTTGATTCAAGCTAGATTTGATAAAGGTAAAGCCACTTCTGGCAACCTCCGCTTCCAAAGGTCACAACCTGTTTGGGTTTCAGGCTGAAGCGAACCTTCTCGAAATTCTCCTAGAGCCGCCACTCTTGGTTGCATTCCAGGCTACGACAAGCCGACAAGAGCTCAGACGCCATACAAGCAATGCAGGTCGTACGCACAACTTAGATCATGCGGATAGCCACGGAAGAGCTTGTAAACACCCACAACGGCATGGGAAGCAAGCATCGCCAGCCATAACCCGCGCAACAGCTGGACACAGGGTTGGAATAGCCACCATCGTGCTGCTGCCTCCACGATCGCTCTCCATTCGAGTGTGTGATTATAATTACAAAAGCTGCTGCATCGATCAAAAATTCTTCCGACGGGACGCCGCCGCCTATGTCGCCTTCTTGTTTCCGCGGCGTTTGAAGGCCATTTTGGGTTTGCCTGCACCCCCCTTGTTGCCGGGCTTCTTGTTCGAAATGTGGTTGCCTAGCAAGCGCTTCACAGGGTGCTCAGACTTCTTGTTCGTGTTGGTGCGGTTCTTTCCAAGAGACAGCCCTTTCACGCCCTTCATGGTGACGTTGAAGAGAACGTTACGCTTGTCCTGGTTCTGGGTGGACTTGGCCTTGTTGTTCGACGGAGAAATCGTCTTGTGCGCTGTGTTGCCACCGTTGCCACGTTGGATCTTGATTTGGACATTCTTCTTCTTCTGTTGTGTTTGGGGTTGTTGGGTGTTGTTTTTCTTCTTGGGCTGGTCGTTTTTGTTTTGCTGTTTCTTAGGCAGGTTGTTCTTGTTGTGTTGTTTCTTGGGCTGTTCGTTCGACTGGGACTTCTTTTGGGAGTCGATCAACGTATCGTTACCAGACACCTTTTGCGCCTTGCTCGTCTTCTTGCGAAGGCGCTTACGTTGAGAGGGAGTTAAGGATGACGCAGCAACATCTTGCGTTGCGGGCTTCGTGTTGGCACCGCCTACCTTCTTCTGCTGCTGCTTCTTCTTCTGTGCAACGGGTGCTTTGTCAGGCAGCCCTCGCTTTTGGTTCAACGCTTTCGTCTTCTTGGCCTTGACGGTCAAGTGCTTGGCAGATTTCGCGGCGTCGCCTTTCTTGACTGACTTGTTCTCTTGCTTGAAGGCATCTCGGCGCTGCTTGATCAAGTCGTCGAGGGACAGCACCAGCTGCGCTTCCACGGGCTTGAATGCGTTCACGTTGACTGCCGCCATGACGTTCTGGTGATTCTCTGGAACGACTTGCGATGAAGGCTGGAAATTTAAAAATGGGAGAAGCTGCAGGGAACATCGTCCGTTGACAGAAATAATTTCGGCCACCCTCATACAAATTGCAAGTGTACGTATCGTAAACGTCGATTTCGAAAAAATACCTTCAAGTCGATCTCCCATTGGCTGATACTCTCCAAGCGACGATTTGATTGGTCTGTCGAAATTCGAATGTTCTGCAAAATCTGCAGTACTGTACTACTGCACCTACTGTACTCCTGTGCTAGCTTGTCCTTGGCATCAAACTACATGTTTCCTCTGCAGATTACCGTCGAGTCGCGAGACTCTGGAGCGTCTCGCTTTAGAATGCAGTGTTCAGCCCTGCTTATAGCAGAACTCGTGGTATTCACGGATTCACCCGTCAAGTTGCATGAACACTGGCGTGTGATTGGTGGGTTTGGAAATAGACGTATTTGATTGGTCCGTTTCATGTTGCCTGTGTAACGCTTGAAGTGAGCGTTTTCCAACCAACGTAGTGTTGTGCCAGTCAGAAAAACAAGATCCAAGTCGATGCTGTCGAGCCACCACCACGGCCTGCACAGCATGGCAAGTGCGACCAACAACCAGCTCAACCTTGCAGATGCAAATGACGTCCACCGACGAGAGCGCGACAGGTTGCGACATGGGGTACATGCCCAAGCGCATTTCACCGACGATCCGCGAAGAAAACGGTCGTCGCTCCATCATCCGCAGCATGACGACGACTCAATGGAGCAGTCGTCGCAGCACCATCATCAGCACACGATTCCTACTGCACTGCACATGGACATCCTGTCGGCACACCAGCAACACGAGTCTACGATTTGGCGCCGTCGGTTTCCCGAATCGAGTTGGCGGTCGCCAAAGCTCCGTCCGCCTTCGTCCTCCACCGCATCCAACCAAGACGACGGTCATAAACGTCATCACCACATAGGATTAGACCTGTAGACAACACCACGCTGGAAAACGACTGTAATACATCACAACTAACTCCGTATCATTGTGTCTAGTCCACTGTACGACCTCGCCGTTTCTCAAAGGTCTCAATCACTAAGCCTTCGTTGCCCACCGTTGCCGACCCCGCATGAGCGTACCCCCTGTGGACGTAGAACGCCTTCGCCGCTTCCATCGTGCCGAGGGTGTCGAGCACGATGGACGTATATCCGCACGCATCAAATGCATGCTGCTCCAACGCGTCCACCAATTTCGACGCAATGCCATGCCGTCGCATGTCCCTATGCATTGCCAAATACACAAGGAAAGGTCACTTTACATATCAGATACTGCACTTTGCACCTAGCATAATAAATATCCCTTTAAACATATTGTCAAATCGATTCGAAAAGAGAATGGATTAAAGAACTGCCTAAGCCAATCAAATCACGTCATATATCGAATTTCTGCCAATCCAAACGTTTGATCATATATATAGTAATCGTTGTATTATATAGTTTGATCAAGCTTAAATGAGGTCAAATGGGTGAAATGCACAATATATATATATATCATTTCATGTTGACTAGATACTGCAAACATTCGATAATATCAACATATTAGGTCATTCCCCTGCAGATACATTATTTGCATGTTCACGTACGATGCAACGCCGAGACGGCACAACTCGGCCACCGTCCCGTGATGGGGTTTCAGACCCACGCACCCCACGACCTTTGGAAGAGTACTAGTAGTAGTACTAGCACTACTGTCGTGGACAGTAGCTACCCAAAACCCCGAGAGCGGCCCTAGGTACACTTGGCTGATGTTGGCCATGTCCGACTGCAGCGCCTTGGCCACCAATTTCCTCACGGACTTGGACGACGTGGGCAAGTGGCCTGTTTCAAAAAGGTAGCGGACGTCCCGTTCGTCTCCTTGTTCGAACGCCCGAATCGTGACTATTGCAGAGTCTGGTGATTGGTGGTATGACGTGGAGCTGCCGGCGACAGTGGACGGCCACGCCAGCACCGCTTGCAACGATGACGTGGCAGCCGCAGGGCCGTTCATGTTGTTGGACGCTACGAGCACGCCATAATGGTGGTTGGTCAGGACCCAATCCTCGAGTTCGTCAAACGGCTCAAGGGTATTCACCCTACGAAATCGAAACGTCCTTAGGACCCCTACTACTAGTCCATCAAAGTAGTAACTACTAGCACAAGTATTGGAAAAGGTACCGGCGCCGCTCGGTGGAGGTCGTGAGGGCGTCATAGATGGCGTTCATGTGGCCGAGGCGGATGCAGCGCCAGCCCACGTGTCGAAGGAGTCGGGCGTAGCCTTGCACGGACGGCATGATCGACGCGGATCGCAATGCACACCCTTTATTGTCAAAGTACTGTTGCAATTGCACCCCAAATGTCGACGAGTCGGTCAGTCCAATGGGGTCGTATGCAACAAACATGCACTCGGCCACCGCCTCCGCGGCCCAACGCAGCAGGGACGTGGATGCCTCCGGCGTCAAGTACGCCTGTCGCATATATATATATCAGTTTGGGATACGATGACATATATCAGTTTGGGATATGTCACGATGACATACCAACACACATTCCGCAAGCACGAGCGTCGGCAGCGTCGGGTCCAACCCGTGGGCTGCCAAGTGACGGGCCAGCAACGTCACGTTGCCCAAGTCACACGCAAACGCGACATACGTGGACGTGTTGCCGTTGTCGTGACGCACGGTGGCTGCTAACGTGGTCGTGTCGGTGGCGGTGACTTGACCGTTGGCCCCAAAGAACGTTGAGGGGGATGCCTTCAACAGAGCCACCTTTTGACTCGAAATGGATTCGCAGTCCACCTCAAACATGCGCACAGGCGGGTGGCCGGTGTCGGTTTTACCGGCGAGGCGGAAGAAAAGCGTGTCGAAGCCTGCGCCAAGCGATACAATTTGCACCGGACGGCCATCGCCGTGGTGGTCGGTGGCTGCTTGGAGAAACAACGACACGGCGCGTTCCACGGCAATGTGGCGGAGGTAGTACCCGCGGTGAATCTACAACGCATGGGCGAGTGGGCATCATTGTGAGCATGACGTTGTGGTGTATGATATACAGCACCAGTGGGATGCGGCGAGTCGCCTTTTTGTCGAAGTGACAGGCAAATGGATCGTGGAAATAGCCTTGGTTGACGGCAGATCTAGATTGATGGATGTCGCATGAAGGATCTCATTTGTATTCGCATGGTTCGTACATCTTGCAACGGATGGCGTCGAACGCCGTCTCGGCCACGCCGTGGTCGCTTGTGTTGGCCATCTTGTGTTGTTGATTGGATGGACATGGTTATCCGGATGCCACGTCGTATCCGGCTGTTTATTGAAGTTCGTACAAACACGTAATGAAAAGTCCCAAATGCTTGAATTCGAAGTGGATGGACGGGAGCTGTTTTAATTTTATAATAAACGATTACTATTAATATAGTACTATACGTATTACTTCAGTAATAGTACGTCATGTCAATACCAAGAGGCAACTTGACGTTAATAATTCATGGAGGGCAGCAGACAACGTCAAGCTGACGAGTTGGGGTGTTGCAATTTCTGGAACACAATATCACGGATCGTGGCAATCATTTTCGGATTCGAAAACACTTGGCACACCTACACATAACGTTAGGCAAGTTCACGCTTGATCACTCTGACGTTGAATATTATTCTCCATAACACCACGCACATCATACAGGAACGTACGGTCGCGTGCAAAGCGTTCTCTACACGGTGCATACCTAGAGTCGCAGCGTCCGCCTCGCGAGGGGGAAGCTGGTTGACACTGCGGCCTTTCTAATGAAACCAGCACTTGTCCGCCAACATTTCAAACATCCAGAGTCCATCGTACCTGTGCCAAGTGCTGAATGAACTGGATGTACTGCTCATTGAACGCCATGGCGATTGCCGGATCCACAGTCCCCTTCACCGGTGGAATGTCAGTATTGGAGGTTGGCGCGACCGTTTGCGTAGCCACGGTGGCCTTGTCCTAAGACATTCACAATTTCATCTGTAGTATACCATTTCAATAGTTTACTCTTACGACAAGGCGGGGCTTTGGCTGTGCTGCGAGCGACATGACGAGATGGCAAAGCAAGTCATCGTTGCTATGTCGTTTGCCCTTGCTCCGACGAGTGTTGGTCGAGTGGGGCGCGGAAGTGCTGAGGTTGGGGGCGTGATTGGCATGTGGTGGCTTTGCTCTTTCGATGTTTGCCTATGTACAGTACATCGTTTATAACGGACCTAACCGTGCTTTTATTATGTACCAAGGTGTCAAATATTTCGTGCAGCGGATGTCCTTGTTTCGGAATAATGTGCAACGTGTCGTCCACTGCAGGACGTGGCTGGCTGTGCGATTCCAAGGTTGATTGCATTGCGGTCACATGATCTACAAATATGTACACGGTCAGACGTGAGTCAGTCAATCCGTTGGCTTACTTGGGAGCGCGAATGGCATTGGAGGCTCCAACGGAGGTGGTTTGGAAGCGGAAGGTACAACGAGGTCGATTGTTGGCACGTAGGGGGAGCTTGCAGCGTCGATATGATCTGGAAAGACATTGCCCCGTCGATATACCGCAAGATTTTCTCTCTGGACTGCGTGGTCGTCATCAAACGAACTTCGTGCGTAGTCGACGCTCATGTCGATGACTGTGGTTGGGGCCACTGTTTTTGCTGGTTGGTCCATGTGGGTTTCACTTGGGTCGGTGGAATACGTGTCCATGTTCTGGTCTGAATCTTCGGTATGTGCATGCGCAGTCGGCAATGGCGCGGTCGAAATGGATGGTGCGTCGTGGTGTTGAGGAGCAGCGGGCATAGCGTTGTCGTCACGCGGAGGTTTGCCATCGTCGCCAACACTTGCGTCGAAGTCATCGGTGGAGTACCCATAGCTATGTTCTGCTAATGAATGGGCTGGTGGTTCCACGGCCACTAGTAGCTTAGTTGGACTCGTGCTTGCGTCGGCATCGAAGTCATCGTCGTATTCAATGTCCGACATACTAAGCTTACTAGTCCGAGTACTTTCTTCGAAGTACTCGAGTAGTAAACAGTGAACCGCGTCGGTTCAAGATCCAGATTGCCCGGATATTTGATTTGCAACCGAACGGAGTTTACATTGTAAAGTCGTCACTGGTAAATTCTTGAAAATGACCAACATTCCAACCAAAGTGATCAAAGAGTGAATTAAAATGTAATTTCCACTTGTTTTGTGTTATTTCCAAGTAAACGCGCTCATCACTTCTGATTGGCTGAATTCGTCGCCCATAATCACGAACAACACTGTCATCATATTGTAATAGCATGAGGGACCCGGAGCGTCACTTGGACGAGTCGCCTCCGCCGATGGGAAGTCCGAGCGAGCTGTCTGCGATTGCCTCGAAGATGATGAAACACCCCAAGACGTTGACCCACGCCGCTCCCGACGACGACTCGTCGCTTCATCCTGGCCACTTCAAGAGGAAAACCAACAAGCTGCCGACGCCAGTGTGGTTTGGTGACCCGTCGGCCGCGTCGGCCGCCGCCTCTGCGTCGACCCTTGCAGGTCAACTGACAAGTGAAGTGCATGCGTTTGTCGCGTACACGAACACGGAGGTTGAGTCCGCACAGAATTCGGTCCAGGACAGCATCGCGCGGCTGAACGCAACCTTGGACAAGAAATGGCCCGAGGCCGCGTGTCACGCGACGTGCTTTGGGTCGTTCGCGTCGGGTCTTTGGCTTCCTACCAGCGACGTGGACGTTGTCGTCCACGGCATTCCTTCGACAGACTTGACGTCAACCCAAGAGGTCCTGGCCGCGCTGTTGTCGACCGAGCCATGGGTGCGCCACGTGTCCGTGGTCGGGACCAAAGTCATGGTGGTCAAAGTCATCTTGAAGCACTGCGGACGTCGCATGGACATCGCGGTGGAGACGGCCGACACGCAGCATGGCCTGGCCGCCACGGAGATCGTGCGCGCCGCGGTGATGTCGATACCGGTCATGCGGCCGCTGGTGCTCGTGCTCAAGACATTTCTACGCGAAAAGGGGCTCAACAATGCGTTCACGGGGGGGCTGAGCTCGTACGCGCTGGTGCTGCTGTGTTTGCACTACCTCTTGCACCGCCCCCACAACCGCGGCATCGCGAGCTCGTCCAGTTCTGAAAGCGACGACGGCGACAACGACGTCGACGAGCACGACGAGGTGGGCACAGTCCTGCTGGGCTTCCTCGAGTACTTTGGAACGATATACGATCACCGCTGCACGGGCATCACGTGGTTTATCAACCCCGTAGGCCACTTGGAGTCGGTCGAGTACGAGCGCAAGGTGCGCCAAGGCCCGCTCGTCCTGGACGACCCCATCCATCCACACGACCGAGGCGTGTACAATGTCGGCGCCGGCGCGTACGCCATGGCCCGCGTGGTGACTGCGCTCGAGAACGCCTTCTACGCCACCACCTTCCACCACCCGTCCCGCTTTACGCCGACGCCCCTCAGTCAAATGATTCATTGGTCGGGACCGGTACCTGCCGCCGTGTAGTAGCTCCGTAGCTATCAACGTATCGTGTTAATATGAAAACGAACCTCCACTGTTAATGGAGTTTGGATATGGGCCATCTTCCACCGATACAATGCATGCAAAGGAAGGATGGGCGGTGTTGACCGTAGGCACCCGTCCGACCAAATATGCTCCTCGAGGGTTGAACTATTAATAGTGTTGTGTATAGTCAAATTGCACCGATTATGACCATGGACAAAAAACAACCAAAGCGGTGGGGGGGGCGTACTGTACGATGCTCCTTGCACTTGAGCGTATAACGTGAGTCAATATATTTCATCGTTCATGAATCAATGCATGGAGATCCGATAAAGTGTGCATGCATGGAAGCTAGCTACTCAAGGCCTTTCACACGCGAGATTCGTAGGCAGGGGCTGGTGGGGGGAGAGTGACGACGTGGCGTCACTGGGGGAAACGGCGCCCGGGAAGCTGTCGTACTTGTCCAAGATGACCAGGTCGAGCGACTCGGCCTTTTCCGTCAAGTTGGTCGGGACCGCCTTGTCGTCGACGTGGTGGCCCAGAAACACGTTCGCCTCGATGTGTTTGTGTCGGCCTTTCAACTGGCCCAGCTCGAGCGGCTCGTCGGGCACGAGGTACGCCACGAGGTGCTTGAGGGCCACAGACAGTTGCTCAGCAACGATGAACGTCACCCACTTGGTCGTGGAACTCGTCGCGTCTGACGTGACCTTGTCGTTTGGGTCGTACGTGAACAGCAAAATCGAAATGTTGGTCACCACCGCCAAGCTGTTCATCGCGTGGAGGAAAAACGACCTAAACACAAATATATATATATATATATATATATATATCAATCACGCTATGAACCATCGGACTCCCCAACGGATTGATTCCCAAGTACTAAAGGCACAGTGCACTTGGCTAATGTCGTGTGTGTCCACCATACTGGTATGAATACATATGTAGTAGTCCATACCATGATCCGATGTCCGACGCTCGATGGGGAAACGGCCGGCGATGCGCCGTGCACAGCTACACACAGCACCAACCACCCCATGGCATCAGCATATATATATATTGGACAACAAGTCGTACTACCTTGAACGCATCGACGTGGATTTCGAGGATATTGTTGGCAAGGGCCATGACGGGGGTGAGTGGGAACGCGACGACGAAGAGCGTGACAAAGCCATATTGAATGACCATTTCATTGTAATCTTGAAACGCTTCGGATGCTTCGTACGGCAACAGCATCGCTTGGAGCTCCTCCTGGGAGCAGTGTTCTTGGGCCATCTGGAGCTTGCGTTTCGTGTCTCCGGCAGACTTTTTGGGTTTCGACGGGTCATCTGAGGCGTTGCGATACAAGTGCAGCATCCGTGTGGCCGTGGGGAGCACGACTTCGACCAAGTTGCCGACAACCACTTGCATGCCAAACAAGATGAACAGCTGGAGCCGGAGCTCCCCGAGGCAGTTGTTGTCGATGCACGGGTCGCCCACGTAATGCTTGACGTACGCAATGTAAAAGAACGACGCAAACGAGTTGCAAAACTGAAACAAAAATACTTTGGTGATCAAGTTGTTTTCAAACTCCACATCCGTGCGGTGGTTCTCCCACGCGTTTAGGACGTTGGCCACCCACCGATACACCTACACACACATATATTTATATATATATATATCGGTACGTGCAGCAGTACGGCAGCAACACACACAAAGCGTAGTGGATTTTATCGTACCATGTTGAGCACTGTGATTTGCACGGAATTGAGCGCCGACACCCCCACAGCTGCCCACGCTTTCCACTTGGGCGAGTCCATGTTTGCACTCAAATGTTTCAAGTAAAATAGACCCGTCAGCGCCACCAACACGATCAAGACCATCACAAACACGACCAAGAACGACGCGCGAATACGCCACCGCGCTCTACAACCATGTATTCGTCGTTGTCAGCCTTCCATTCAATGATTCATTGCATACCACAGTACTCTTTGCTAATAGAAGAGGTGGGTATCCAAGGGAAAGCGTATTATTACCTCACGGTGGACTGGACCCACATTTGGTGGGTGTTGTCCACGGGATTCAATCGTCGGACGCCGCGAAACTGCGTCCGGGGGACAGACTTGATGTTGAACTCGTCCGTGCCCCACGCGACGTTGTAGATGGCGCTCTTGCGCTTCCACAGCTCCGTAAACAACGTCGACCACACGACAATCGCGACCGCAAATGCAATCTTGAGGGTGCGTGAGTGTGCGGTCGTAAACACATCTAGCACGTAGATGGCAATCCCAAACACTGCCGGCATGACCAGCATCTTGGTGTACAGCTCGAGCCAGACAAAGTAGAGCGCGATCTTCTCGCCAAAGTAGTCGCGGATGGCGCCGATGGGCTGCGACGTCATGGCTTTGTTGAGCGCCCACGATGTCTTGAGCGCGTCGAGGGCGGCCGTGTCGTGTAAAGCAAACGCATCTTGCAAACTCGTCGTGGCCTTCAATGCGTCCAGGTTGAGATGGCGGTTGATGATCGAGTTGGTCAAGCGGATGCGGTCCACTGGCCGAAACAGCGTCCACGTCGCCGAGCTCTACGTAAAGACAAACGGTGACCAGTGGGCAATAGTCTTGCCATCAGGTCAAGTGTACGGTGAGGTAGCGTCGGTAGTACGGCTGCAACTTGGGGTCGCTCTTGTACGGAGTGTACAAGGCAAAGTACGTCCACGGATCGCTCGAAATGTAAATCAACCCCGACAAGAAACGCTGCCACAGCGACGGTGCCACTGTCGGCACTACGTAGAAATGAATGCATATGGCCGTGTCAGGGCTTGCATGCGACGATGATGATGATGCCACCACGTCACAGATGTGTGTGTACATGTAGGAAGGTACCTGGAGGTGTGGTCCTTCCGTCGGCCAACTCGTTGTGTCCCCACTTTTCTAACGCCGTGTGCAGCTTCATGTGGTGCACTTTGCCGTGGGAGATCAAGAGAGGGTCCATTTCCGGCTCGGGTGCGATCTGCGACGTCGTCGAGTGGCGCTGGATGTTGCTACACGCAATGAGTTGAGATCATAACCATGCATCATCTGCGCGCGTACTTGAGGTGCGCCTTGGACTCGGCCATGACCACGTCGCCCACATCTCGGGCCACCGCCTCCAATTTGGACGTGTGGATTGCGTCAAACGGTTTGTTGGACGTTTGCAGCCGGTACTCGGTCCGTTCGGCTTCGACTTTCAAGTCGCCTTCGTCGGCTTTCACCGTCATGATGATCTAAGTCCAATGTATAGACGCGCTCCGAGGAAGAGGACGAGCGTACCTCGTCGCCGCGCTTGCTTTTGAACATGCGCACTGTAAGCCCACACGTGAGTTGCAATCGCTTAGCCATGGACCGCACCACGAGCTCACAGAACTTGGTCTCGGTCGTGTCGTTGGCACTCCCAACGTACGCCACGTACTCGGCCTGAAGGCATGCCATTTTCCGTTCGAGCTCGCTTTGGGCCAGCGCGTTGTCGTCGTCATCGTCGTCGAGATGAATCGCGATCATGGCGGCGTTGGTAGGGGGGATGGGGGCGTCTTGGCCGAGTGGCGGCGAGAGGTCGAAGGGACGCCCGGAGTCGTCCAGGAAGCATTTGTCAGTGCGGAACACGGACTTGAGTTCGTTCACGACGGGCTTTTTGCCTCGGCAGAGCCCCAACATGCGTTTGACGAACTTGGCTTGGGTGAACCGCTCGGGGTGCTTCACTTCACCGCCGCTTCGAAGCGAGAACACCATCACGAGGTCGATGGCTGCAGATGACGACGCCAGCTGCGACTGGCGATGGCTGTCTTGCACGGTAGGGGAGTCCGCCACCATGTCGATGAACGGCTCGGCGAGCGAAGGCCGCGGAGGTCCGCGAGGCTGCTGCATGGCGAATTACGTGCAGTGCCACGTCGTTCAAATTCACTGGAGTCTATTTTTAGCTCACCAAAATAGTTTGTATCGGTGAAACTACTCTGGATGACGAGGTTTGGGGGCAACGGTACGCTGCCGTCGTTCATCTTGATGCACACTTACAGCTCCAAATCAACTTACAGTAGTACACACGGTAACGTTAGTCTGCTACTAGGGAAGTACAAGTTGAAGGTTAACATGAGTTCGTACAAGTTGAAGGTTAATTTTATGAGTACGAACTAGGACAGTATGATTTTTCTGCCCATCCTTTTTGTCTTTTCCAAATAACGTAAAAGTCCAATTTAAGGTGCTCGATCCAATTTAAGGTGCACGCGAATTAGCCAATCAATTCCTGCAAAGACTGTTTTTAACCTACCCGCCCAAAAAATATGCAATTTGGTATACAAAGACTAAGCTTAAAATGATGCACCTTAAATTGGACCGCTTGTTTTACGCTGCTTCTGGACAAAGTGATGTGAGTGATAATGAATTATAACAGGAATCATATCGCATTCATAACTCCCGAATAGACCTGGATTTTGACTTCATGTAACATATTCTAGAATTATAATCCGATACCTACGACTCGAGTTACATGCCTTTCCCGGCAGCGTCTCAGAAAAAGTGTTCTTAAATTGGACTTTTGCGTTAACGTTTATAGGGCGGACTTCCGAAATATTATTGCCTTGAAATAGTTAGTATCCGGCATTCGGATAATCATTCACAAACACCAACACTTGGATGGGTTCGACGACTCCATGGATGCAACTCCTGGCGCTGATCGAAGGCGGTCCTTGTAGTGGCAAGCCACATCCAGACGCTAACACTTCCATCGTGGGGTGTCGCTTTTCAGTCGTCAAGAATCCGCCGCGGTTCTGTTTTGTGCCGTGGAGGCGGCGGCCGCCCAACGCGACACTCTTCTTGAATGTCGGAGCATGCGTCATTTCTGTGGACACCAAGTCGGGAGGCTCAATCGAGACGATTAATGCCGTGGATGTGCATATGGAGCCGATGGGGGTGCGACGGGTCGAGCTCTTGCATCACGCGGTCTTCCCCACGACGACGTGCACGATATACGAGTTTGAGAACCCAGTGTACACCGTCGAATTTACCGCCACGGTGCATCTCATGCAGCACATGGTGTACATCCGAGGGCGAAAACCGAAATTCTTTGAAGCGCGTCACGACAGCATGCTCATGACCCACATGCAGAACACCATCGCGTATGCCACGACCATGTGGACGTTGGCTCTATGGAATGCCCTGTTCCCGTACAGCCATCTCAAGGAGACGCTAGAGGATGCGCTTGCTGCTCTCCACACTGACGTTCATCTCGCGCTCACCCACTTGGACGCGACGTACTGCCAATTTTACGCGCATGCTGCCGTCACCGACGTCGCGTACGACGCGGCATGTCCACGGCATTATCGGGCGTCGTACGTCGCCCTGCTCGTTGCAAAGGTCAAGGCCCTGCATACACATGCATCCCAATACTGCAAATCCACGGCCACTTCAGATGCTATCTCACCGTCAATGCAATGACAAGCCGGCTTAGTATTTATTTTACAGTAACTATATAACGTTAACTATTAAAAATTGAAACTATGGTGGTTTGTCCTTATTTAAATAACGTTAACTTAATTTGATCAAAAATATAATTGCATGCATTTTGCAATACGTAATAAGCATTTAAGTACTTACATGAATTTAATTAGTCATACTAAAAAATGCAGTCACATTTTAATTCACTGCTGTGGATAGGGCCTTGTGGAGGCCATCCACTTGTTGCGAGGAGCAATACACTGCTGCTTCTTTGTCTATGGTAGAGATGGCTCTAAAGTGAGTACTTCCATGTATGACGTAGTTATGCACAACTGCCGTGACGCTCTCGTAGGCATAGTATGGCGGGACAGCGTCAAGTTGAAATTCTATTTAAATACTTGTATTTTTTTGTTTGAGATTGAAAAAAACTGACCAGACTTCAGCATTGTACGTGTAATAAAATATAGAGACGAATATTATCATATCCAATCAAACAAGGCCAACACGAAATATCAAGATGCTATTGGCTAAAAGTCAGGCAGTCATAACGTAAGGGGAAAATTGTGCGATATGATTGGTCAAAATAGATTTTGTAAAATGTGCTCGTAGGGAAATTCGTGCAATATGATTGGTCAATTTTGACGTCAATTCTGAGAGGTGTCTCATCAAATCCAGAAACCATCGAGCCATTGCGCGCGCGCAGTGTCGGTGGCATGTCCAAGGCGGATAAGGGGAAGGTCGAGAAGAAGGGCCGGTTCACGATCATCGACCTCCCGTCCGACGAACCAAGCCCGCTGTCGTCCTTCCGCACCGGTGTGCGTAGTGACATGATACTGTCCGCATATCGTGATGAATTTGTGTGCACATAGGTGTTGCCTATGAGTCCGCTCCGGGGTACCTCTTCAGGCGGCAACAGAAGCTTCCGACACATTGACGACGACGAGGAAGATATAGTGGCGCCGGAACTTCCAAGAAAGACGTACGCTTGCCATGTCGACTGTGTCATCACACTTCGTGCGCGAAAATAGGCGCGTGAAGCAGAAAGGTCGCTTTACGATTATTGACTTGGACCCGAACACTCCGTCGCCAGAGCGAGGTCTTCGCAGGGTAATTACACATGCAGTTCAACGTTATACATAGACTCACCTTGATTCGAATCCGTGACCGCAGGGATTCCGAGACGACGTGACCATCAGTGAAGCAACAAGTGACGTAACGCAACCGCCGCCGTCGTCCGTGGAGCCGCAAAGGACTGCGAATCGTCCCGTAGCCACCGATGTCGAGGAAGGCAAGAAGCTGCATCCTCCTCTTCGAGCGCCATCGCCCCCATCACCCCCTGCCGTTGATTTAACAGATGCACCAAACACAACCAACCCGACCAATCCTCCCGCCAACGCATCAACCTCCGCCCCGACCAAAGCTCCAGACTTTAATAGCACTCATAACCCTGCGTGCTGCATGTTTCGAAGTCCACTCATGCATCCCCAGGCCCCACCATGCCCACCGCCATGCATGGTCCACTTCGATCCGTCGTCATTGTGCTCCCTGCCGTCGCCAGCATCGTTCGTGGCCGTGCCAGTGCATCAATATCGGGACCACCAAGACATGTTGGCAGCATTGCTGCAGCAAAACAAAGACATGCGCATGCTCATCCAAACCCTGCAAGCCCAACAAGGGAGGATTCTCCAAATCGCCAAAGGCATGTCGGTCGAGCCAACGACCCCCGACGATCCACACCGTTAAAAGGCCATCATGTACACAATAGAAGTCGCTGTATTGCTCACGAAGTTGCTGTGAAAAGTGCATTGGGCCATACTCATGTGTTTGGCACAGCAGCGTCGACGGATTCTCCCACGAGCAACTGCATGCGGGGCGATGCCGGCGTCGGCATGTCCAAGGGGTAGTCGTCATGTAATCGAACGCGGTGCGAGCCCGACGACACAATTAAGATCTACTCATCGACCATGTTCAGGTATTTCTACGACGACAAACGCTCCAACGTACAGTACATACCTGGCTACCCACAGGGATTCCCTCGGCAGAGTGAATGGCCCGCTTGAGGTCCCGCGTAGTCTTGATTTGCGCAGTCCATGGAATCTCAATGCTTTTACGACTAGTCATGCAGTACACTCGGAAAGAAACGGCAGTCGCGCGGTCAGAGGTCGATTCTGAAGTGTGTGGAGATGGACCCACTTGTCGCCGTCCGCGCTGGTCGTCCAACTGGATGTCCACCACGCTTTGACTCTGGTGTTTTGGATCACGTTTGTGTGTCGTCGTTGATGGCGGGGTTGGGTGGGATGGTTGATCTGGGGTAGATATCGTCATCGTCGTCGGTGCCTTGTTCGCCGAACCTTTGTGACGCTGAACGGGGGTTGAAGGATGATGTGCTTGCTTAGGGGGTTTTGCAATGGGTGGGGACGAGGTCAGTTGAGTGGACGGAGAGGGGGATGGGGGTGGTGAGTGGGGGTGGTGGGGGTGGGGACTGGCCTTGTCAGCCAAACAAGCAAAGAGTCCTTCTGCAAAGCTCGCACTCGCCTTGGCGCTGTGGACAGCTTCCACGGCTTGCACGAATCGTTCGACATCGATGCCTTGGGCTTCGATGGTAGTTCCTTGGAACTCGTGCAACATGCAGTGCCATTCCGCGACCGTCCATGGCGCCCCCAGAGCCGCGAGGACGCGGCGGAACTCGGCCACCGACACAATCCGCGGCAGCTGTTGCTCACGACAGGGGATCTCCTCCCGGAATGCCCAGTCCACGTACTCGGCGGCAAACTTGCCGCGCCCTTTGCGTACTCTTAAGCTGTACTGTTTGCGGTCATTGGCGCTGGAGCGTTGGAACGCGATGAAGTCCGCCTTGGACCGGTGCGTGGTCGAGCGTTGGAGGTGGTCCACCAGCTTACGAATGGCCTGGTTTCACAAAGCAATGGATGGATACTCGACTACATGATATGGCACGATGGGGGGGAGTTACATACCCCCGCAAGGGCCACGCGCGTTCGACACGTGTACGTTTGGTCGAGAACGACTTGTTGGAGGCTGGCTTCGAGGGGGTTATCTAGTCGTACAAAACGCGCAGCAAACCCCATAACGTTATTATGATCATCGTTTTAGCAGATCAATAGAAAAGTATATTTATAAGAAACCAAGTCAACTTGCCGTCGAGTTTGAGGGTTTGCAGGATGAGCGGGCCGTGGGGGCGACTCGCGCGATGGTTGAGCGACGCCGCCCACGTCCGCGGCACAGTGCGGATGCGGTTGTGACTCACATCCAGCACACGCAGCGACGCGTTGAGCGCCGACGGAAGCTGCCATACAGCAGTTGTGTTTCAGTTGAGGGCATGCATGGGTTGTTTATGATTGATTGTTTGCATCAATATATATATATCCTTATAGGAATAGAAATATGTAGCTGCGACAGGGTGCTTACGATCGCAATGTGGTTGGTATGGGCATGCAACGTCTCGAGAGATGGCGCCGACGCTAGTTCCTGTGGGAGTGCCACCAACACATTGGCCTGTACACTCAAGTGGGTCAATTTCGGCATGCAAAATAGCGACGGCGGCAAGTGGGTGAGCCGATTCCGGCGCAAGTCCACCTCTACGCACGATACGAGGGACGAGAAGTCCAACGAAGCGAGGTCGCGGAGGTCGTTGTGACTGAGGTCGCACACGCGCAACGACCTTAACGACGTCAGCCCGACCGACGTCGGAACGTGTCGCAGGCAGTTGTGGGCCAGCGAGAACGTCGTCACAGATTGCAAACGGTGGAGCGTCAGCATCTTGGGCGAGGAGGGCACCATTGGGGCTGGACACACACACACAGAAGTGTCAAAAGTCACATAAGCGAACGAAATCTCAAACACTGTGTACTTGAGAACAGGTCGTCCAGTTTGTTGTGGTGCCACGTCACATGAGTGAGTTTGACAAGTTGCGACAGCATCAACGGCAAACTCGTGAGGCAGTTATGGTGGCACCGCAGCACAGAAAGAGCTTTGCAATGCGAGCCAAGGCTGTCGGGGATGGCCACAAGGCGGTTGTCGTGGACGGTGAGACTCGTGAGCTTTGGCCAGTGGCGAACGGCTTCGTCTGGGAGCTTGACCAAGTTGTTAGCTGCCAAGTCGACCGTTTCCACGTCCTTCCACTGCTCCATCACCTGGTTATGAATCATGCAAAACTACGTGAACATCATCACAAGGTATAGGCGAAGGTAACGGTACCGACGGCACCGCAGACAGATTGTTTGATGACAAGTTGACGTGCTACATATCCGTTATTCATCCCCAATATATGAGCTGTGAAAGTAACATACCTTGATATGAACAAGGTGGGCCGCGGACGCAGGTAGTGTCGAGAGTTGATTGCTATTGTAGTGTTTGGCAACCAAATGAGGACGAAAATGAGGAGGGCACTACTATAGTAGCGTACTGCGACGCGGACAATGTACGCAAGTGCACCATCAGTCCGAGGGACGTCGGCAGCGCCGTCAAGCCCACGTGGGAGACGTCGAGTTCCACAGCTCCTACAAGGACAAACGCTTCCGGCAGGCAGGACGCTACGGGGGAGATCGCCACGAATGCGACGAGCTGCAGTTGCTTGGCCACTTTCTCCAGAACGGACTGCGACGCTGCGTGCAATACATGCCCAGGCAGGGCTAGCGACGTTGCGGTCGCGGCTCGTGTGGCCAAACTGTGCGTTGCTTTCGCCATGGCCTCGATGACAGAAGCCAAGATGTCGCGTAGCTTGGAGCGCCGACTGCAGACCTTTTCCCCCTCGAGAGCGTTGTTCCGCTGATCCAAAATGGATTTGTAGCTGGCGGTGGCTTTGATATCTTCGTCGCAGGTATGACGTGGACGCGTGAGAAACGACCACACAGTTTCTACCAACATCGAGGTCCATCATGTCCACATACGAACTAACACTGTATATATTATATATATTATATATATATACCCAAGTACAAGACAAAGTCCGCATCCGAGTCAAATTGGTCACTTTGTAGTCGATGGAATTGCATCCAAGCGAATCGCGTCATTGTCGCCGCGGGTTCTAACTTTCCACATGAGATTCCGTGTCTTTACTCTCGACCATCCATTGTGAATGTGATCATTTCGAGTTTTAACAGCGTACGTGACTGGAGCCATGTCAAGACGGAAGTGAGATGGTATGTCGTTCGCCGCGACGCTTGGACATCGCGGACCATGGCGATGAGCTTGAACACGCGCAGTAGTGCTCCTCCGTCGACAGAGTTGCGGTGGTGGTAGTTGCTTTTCTTCTCCAACGTAGCGGTGGGGGCGATCACGTCAAAGACGTGGCTCAGCAACGTCTCCCGCGGAGCAGACACGGTTTGCACAAGATGCAGAAACAAGTGCATGTCCACGGACCCATTGCCGTGGGTGTCGCAGTGAGTCAGCATGAGGCCCAGTTGGCGATCCGACAGCGCCGACGACTGCCCTGCTTCGGGGATGTCCCCTTCAAACAGCAGCGCCAACACCTCGGCTTGGCTGTGAAAGCGGTGGCTGGCATGGAATAAGCCGTCGATTGGCGGTGTCGACTTGGACGCCATGTGACCACGGAGACTGCGGAAACACTGGTAGAGATCCCGCAGGTACGGACCCGTCTTGTCCTTTAATGCTGCGTGCAACGGCTGCAGGTCGTCTTGGGTAAAGTCAATAGGAAGAACCAATTGGTCAGCGGTAGCAGTGGTTGATAGCACCTTTGTGTCGTCCTCCAGGATTTGTTGCACGCGATGGAGCGACTCAAGATGAGTTTCCCCCGTCAACCACGCTTGTATGGTCCCACATGGGCGTGGCGCTGCACTTGACGGTACTGCTGTCGATAGCGCTCCTGTTGCCAAGTCATCCACAGTGGCATGTTGCTGTCGGTAAAAGGTAGCGGCTGCAACTTTGAGGCGCTCGCGCGGCCCGACTGCAGTTTGAGGTCGCTTCGTCGGTGACTTGGCCGCAGCAATGTCCCTACAGACAACGTCATATGCTGAGTGTACACTAGAAATACTCACGATGACAGGAACTCCCTGGCCGCTCGGACAGCTTCCATCGCGGCCACGTCGATCGCAGTTGTTGCCGCCATGTTGGGATGGTTGTTGAGACGAACGAAACTGCAACAGTTACAACGGGTTTTGATTGGAAGAATTTTATCCAATCAACACTTTTTATCCATTCAAATACTGTTTGATTTGTGGTATCTTATCCAATCAAAGTCTGATGCTAGCATTTTATCCAATCACAGTTTGCTCGTCGTTTTTTCCCGTTTGCGAGACCACTCGGCGACCATGTCTGGCGGCACGACGGGGTCTTGATGGAGGTAGTGTCCGCCGTCTGCCAAGATGGTGTCGCCGGTGACGTACGCTCCCGCAGACGAGACGACGAAGACGACAACTTGCCCGATTTCGGTCTTCGTTCCCATGCGTCCGAGCGGCACCACCTGGGACGCCAAGTCCTCCATGCCGCCCGACAGTTTGGCAATGCCAGGGGTGTCAGCAGTAGGTCCTGGTGCGACCCCAACCACGCGGATTTTGAAACGACCCCACTCCAGCGCCAACGATCGCGTCAAACTGTCCACGGCAGCCTTGGCGGCGGCGGCGTGAGCTTGGTACCATGTCGCGTGCTGATGCAGGTTCGCGCTGATGTTGACGATGACCCCGCTGTTGTGTTTGAGAACGGGAAAGGCAGCAGTACTCATGTTGAACGTTCCAACCGCGTCGATATCCAAGACGGTGCGGAATGCATTCGTCGAGAGGTTTTCCGCGGTGCTGAGGAAGTTCCCCGCGGCGCCATTCACGAGCACGTTCAACGTGCCAAAGGTTTTCACGGCGACTTCGACAGCGGCCTGAGCATCCTCTGGTCGACGGACGTCCCCTGCAAAGAACGCGGCATCGATGCCGTCAGCCACCAGCGAGTTCACCGCCTGTTCGAGGACTGCTTGTCGCCGTCCCATGATGACGACTTTGGCGCCGTGCAGTCCAAGTTGACGGGCGACCTCATGGCCAATACCAGATCCACCACCTGTCACTAACGCCACACGACCTCTGCATGCTGTCGGAGCGAACGCGGACATGGACGATGTTGCCCGTCGAGAATTTATGTGAATCGAAAATGCTAGTTTCAAGATATAGTGTGTGTACGCATCAACATTCACTTGCTAATAGTGTGATTTTTGTATTGTGGAACCAAATAGTGTTGTAGTAGTTGGAGTAATCACATACTAGGCATGTGCATGCCACCACTAAGCATCAATCATGGCAAAGAGACATCTGACGAGAGAATGAGACTGCTTCCATCTACACGTCGATGAAGTTGCGGGGCGCCTTTAGGTATACTACGAAGTATAATCGACAGGACATAGCTAGTCGTCGGTTCATGTGTTAAAGGCATCGTTGAACACTTACTACGCGACGCCGCATAGACGAACAGCATATGGGGCATCGAGGTCATGGGTCTCGTTAAGTTACGTGTCTAGTCATCCTTGGACTTCTTCAAATTCGAACGCCACTGCACGGGGTGGCGGTTGTAGAATGGCCAGTTGGGCACGACGACGAGGGTGGCAAGTGCGCACGCACCTCCGCACGCGTAGAGGGGGTATGTGAAGTCGTCTTGCGTCCATCCGTAGATCCATGCTGGGATGCAGATGACGACATAGATTGCGTTCATCAGTTGCTCCGCGAGCTTCTGGCCTTGGTAGTCCACCATGATAGCACGCTGGTTGCCGAATTGCAATGCGGACGGACACGTGGAGCGATTGGGTTATCCGGACAACGATGTTTATCCGTACATCATCTGGTATCCGGAACTCGATACACATCCGGAATGGCTAGGGCTTTTTTGTAAATGCAACGTATCTTGTGTCGTTTCGCAAAGTCGTGGAGTCGAGAGGAGGGCCACGTGGACTTGACATCATGGAGAACAAGCGCGAAACCGAGCATGAGGACGAGGCCGAAAGCAAGATGGTGGTGTACGAAGCAGAGGCAAAGCGTGGTGGTGATTCAGATGCGGACGACGACGACGACGATGCCGCGCCGGGAGCGCCATCGCCCGACATCATTGCTTTGCGCGAGGGGTACAATCAGACGTACGTGATCCAATCGAGCTCGACGCACTTGCATGAAGTGCTGTTTCGCTGTGGGAACTGGTGCTACACGGGCAAGGTCGACTTGGGCGACTCGGAGATTACGCTGAGCGACCTGCCGCTGGTCATTCCCGCCCTGCAAAAGCAGCAAGGGTCGTTGCAGTTTCTCTGCGAGTGGAAGCAAATCCCGTCCACGTCGCCATACGCTGTGCCGCTGGAAACGCTGTACGACGCGTTCGACTTTATCGGAGCCGAGTTGGGCTCCAAGAGCATCGAGAAGAAGCTCATGAAGGCGGTCCAGGAGAACGCGTGGGTAGACGACGAGGGCGGCGCCACCGACGGGAAAAACTTTTTCGAGCTCGAAACCGGCGGCTTTGATTGCTTTGACGTGCGTGTCCCATGGTCATGTTCAAGTGTCGATAAAGCTGATGTACATTGTTCTCGTAGGGGATCGATCTCGTCGCGAGCAAGACATTTGTACGTGGCCTGGTGCTGCTGGTGATTTACTACCGTCGCAGCTTCTACGTCGTGCTTCAAGAAGGCGACGGGGAACAGCCGCTTCTGGACGTCCGCTTCCCCGACCTATCGCAGCATCTCCAAGGCGTGCACTTGCGCCATTACGCCGAGAACTTTATGAACATGAAGAAACTCGTGCTGTGGCAAGCCATGCCCGTCGAGCTCGCGGCCAAGTCGCCGCCCAAGTCGTTCCAAATGCAAGTCAAAGACGTAGCTGGGGCCGGGTACAACCAGACGTTCCTTATCCAACGCACACAGCCTCGTAAGCCAGAGTGTGTTTACATTATGACATGTGGATCTATCTAGTGGAAGGCCACCCCGAAAGCAAGTTGCGCGAAGTGCTCTTTCGCTTTGGCAGCTGGTGCTACAACGGCCACGTCGACTTGGGGCCCAAGCTCGAGCTGTCCGACATCCCCGTTGTGATTCCCATGCTTCGACGCCAGCAAAGCGCACTGGTATTGTCCTTTTACTCAATATTGTGGTATATTCGATACAAATGTCCAGTCGAATCGAATGTATCTCGCCACCGAATCGAATCACGAATCGACGCGATTGGCTAATCCATTTTTGAGTGGATGATTTGATTGGCTCTTGCAGAAACGACAAGTATAGTCAACCAATCAGAACCCCGGCGTGATTCGATATTGCTTCGACAAACGAAGCGAATTTTGGACGTTAATTGCGAATTCACAATATTTGGCTGACTTTTGTTTGCTCATTATCGCCAAATCAATTGATCGATTCTTTGGCCTACGTAAAAAGGTGTTTGGTATCACACTATTTGAAGTCATACACTAATTTGACGTTCATGAGGATATCCTGCAATCTGATTGGCTAAACCCTTCTGCCGATTTTTTGGTTGTGTCGATTCATTCTCCATGTTGCCCCGGTTTACAGTTCGAATAAACACATAACAATAACGCTATCTATCATCTACTGGTGACAATATATATATATATATATATATATATATATATATATATATTTCGTTTGGGTGGGTATGTAGACGTTCATGTGCGAAGTGACCAAGATGCCGGCCACGTCGTTGTTTACGGCTACGATGGAGTACATTGCGTCGATTGTGCCGGCGATTCAGCAAGAGCTGGCGGCGACGGAAGAAGTGCTGGCGCATATGGCGCGCAAAGGCCAACAGGACATTGGGCGGTGGCTCGACGACAACAGCGCCGAGTGCTTTTTCGAGCTCTCGATTGAGTCGTCGCCGTTCCTCAAGGTACGTCAGTCAAACCATGTGTGACAATGTGTGTATGTGACGATGTTTGTTTGGTACGTAGCACGTGGAAGCGATTGCGTGCAAAGTGTACACGGGGGCGCTCGTGCTGATTGTGCTGTACTATGACAATGCATTCTTTGTCCACATTGAAGACGGCCAGGACGAGCAGCCGTTGCTGGACACGCGATTCCCCGACGTCACGTGCCAAAAGAACGGGTTCCAGGTATGTACTACTAGTACTTACTACCTATCACGTCATTCTGCGATGACGTGATCTGTCGCATGGGGGGTTTTCAGGTCAAGACGTACCGCAAGGGAGTGCCTGGGTTTGCCGACTTGCGCAAAGTAACGTTGTGGAAGGTCCAGTACAACAACGACGTGGGCGACGACGACGACGAGCGCATGCCGGAGACGATGGCGATCATCGCCGACAAGGAGAAGCACCAGGCGAAGAAGGCGGCGAGTGGAAGCGATGCCAAGGCGACGTCCCCCGGGCGGAAAGTGAATATGCCGCATCACATTGCCCCGTTGAAGCTGGCTAACGTCAAGGCTAAGCTACAGGACCTGGGGCCAGTGGACAAGTCGGCACTCAAGGCGCCATGGGATGAGAGCGGGCGGCCGCTCGGTCAAGCGCGCAAGTGACAAGAAGGAGAAGAAGGTGGTAATAACAATGGGTTAAGCTACGGCAATGTTCATCCAGTCGTCGGTCGAAGAGGAGGGAGAGGTGGGGGGGTCGACGAGGGCGGTGTTCGTGGAGCCATAGATAGACGCGCCGATCCATGTCATAAAGTGAGGCGGAAACAAAGTCGAAGCAATGCGACCGTGGGAAGGCGCGAGCTCGGACGCTAGCCGGGCCACAAACCCTAACAACATGTACTAGTTTACACAGGGCATACTCGTCCAAGCAAAGGAAATGTAGGTACAGTGCCTGGAAGCATGGACGTGCCGCCGATGCACACAATGTTGGCAAGAAGGGCGCGGCGGGTGTCCACTGGACACTTGGCCACGCATTCTTGAATGGCGTCTGGGATGCTTACATGTTCGTTGCCTGCCAACGTGTCAGTATGGACATCAGATGGGGGCTACTACGGTATAGAGGACCTTGGAAGAGAGACTCGACAACGTGGCTTCGAGTGCTGGCTGGTACCTACGCCCATAAACAAGTCAATCGACGAGAAGGAGAACGACGCGATCGAGTACTGTGAACGCGTGACGAGTAAACGCATAAAAGTTGGCGGGTTTGGCCACCACGTCCTAGGACATGTACACAATGGGATCGGTGGTTATTTAGAAGCAGTCACCCACGGATGAAGAAGGGGTCGCCACAAAGCATGCTCGCTCCAGAACGTCTTCGGCGGATCGGACAAGGGGTAGTTCGTTGGAGATGGCGGCGCAACATGCACGTGAACCGACGCTCGTGGCTACGCGTGGACATGAGACGACTCACATGAACGGTGAAGGGGACAAACGTACTGGTGTACGCATGAAGAAGCGGGTGTCGTTCAAACACTGGCAAGATGCGAGTTTCGTGCCAGCCTGCATCGACGATCAAGGCGGTGCGGTGGCACGTGGCATACAGCGCTGTGGTCATCGCTGGAAGGAGTCGAACGTGTTTGGCCTGTGACAAGAAAAGTTAGTGGATGCATGGGATGAACGAAGGAGCGACGACCTTGAGAACGTTGACGACCGCATCGACCAACGCTTCGCGGAAGTTGCGCGGAAACAACAGATCTTCGCACAGGACCACCCGGCGATTCTTGGGGGCGACGCGGAGATGTCTACATGTCCAACGATCATACGCTTGTAAGCTTGCATGTCCTGTGTGAGTGTGGGTGCATGGGCGGGCTCTACATACTTGTAGCAAACGTCGTACAGCTGCTTGCCAATGTATTGGAGCCACGCTTGCTTGGACAAGGGCGGCTGGGTGAGCAACATCTCGGCCACCTGCCGCATGGACATGTATGTTGGACCCTACAGAGACAATCTCGACCCACCTCCCACCGCAAGACGACGCGGGGGCTCCTCTCCCCAGACATTCCGCATTTCAAGTACCGACTCCCGACGTCCACAACGATCGCACTCTTCTCCACGTTGATCATCATGGACATGGATACAGACAGACAGTACAGTCGTAGTCAACGGATACGCCAGGCCATTTATCCGGACATTCTGGGCTTACATTTGAAAAAGGTCACACATGCAAGAACGGATAGAGTTGGTCCAACGAAGCAGTCCCCATCGTGTGGCGCTCTGTCAGCGGCGTACGACGTCCCACGGCGTTCCTTCCATCTCAAAGTGCCTCATCGTTCATGAACGACAACCTCCACGAGCCAAACGAGAGAGGGAAAGCATGCAAGTCTTGTTATATTCTGATACTTGGTGGTGGCTAATGTGACATCAAATACAAAATACGCAAACGCTTTATAGCTTGTCGTAGAAACGATCAAACGGAGGCACTTCCGGGGCCAGACCCTTGCGGACACGGGTCGAGTTGACCAACTTGCCGGCCATGGTGCCGACGTTTTGGGGGTCGCCGTTCACAATCTGGTAGTGGTCAAACGAGCACTGGGGGAACGCCTTGCCTCCCGTCTTGGCGCGAAGCTCTTCCGTGAACCCAAACGATTCGTTCACGGGCAAGTAGGCCTTCATCTGCATCATGGGCGTGCCCACGCGCTGCTCTTCCGAGAACACGTGGCCGCGGCGCACCGTCAGCACGCCGTACACGCCTCCCATCGCATCTTGGGGGCACTGGATGTCCACCAAAAAGATGGGTTCCATCAACGCCGGGCTCGACACGAGTTGCGCGGCAAACACGACGCGGCGGGCCGTGGGCATGATCTGGCCCATGCCGCGATGGATGGCATCAGCATGCAACACCACATCCAAGAGGTTCACGCGAAGACCGCGCACCACTTCGTCACACAACACACCAGTCTTGGTGGCCCAGTTGAACCCGCCGAGCACAGACTCGCGGATTTCGCCCAAGTACGACACCCCCTTGGTTTGGTCCACAAAGATGTTGGCGCCTTCGCCATCGGGGCCGTACCCCCAGATCTTGCGGGCGTCCGTCACGTCCCAGCCGTGGTTGTCAGCCAGGTAGCGCGCGCGGAGCTTGACATCGTAGCGCACGCCCACTTCTTCCTTGCCTTCTTCGATCTCGGCCACGAGTTCGTCCGACAGAGCCGACGACGAGCAGTACAAGCGGTTGTGCTTGTTAGGGGACTTGGAGAGCACTTGCATGCTCGAGTCGGCGGTCACAGTTTCGCGGTACGTGACCACGGGCTCCGAGATCTTGACGGCGCACCCCATAAAGTCTTCTTGCAAATCCTTCAAGCAGATTTCCAAGTGGAGTTCACCGGCGCCGGCAATGATGTGTTCACCCGATTCTTCCGTGTAACACAACACCATCGGGTCCGACTTGGCCAGACGCTTCATGCCTTCGACCAACTTGGGCAAGTCGGCAGCCGACTTGGGCTCCACGGCCACGCGCACGACGGGGGACACGGAGAACTTCATCGTGCGAATCGTGTGGCCCGTCTCCGACGTCGTGATCGTGCCCGACTTGAGCAGGTACTGGTCCACGCCAACCAACCCGCACGTGTTACCCGCGGGGATGTCGGGCACTTGCTCGACGTAGCGCCCCATCATGATGATCGTGCGCTGGATGTTCTTGACCCACAGATCCGTCTTCTTGCCAGGCACGTAGTTGGGCCCCAACATGCGGACCTTCTGGCCCGTGGAAATCTTGCCGGAAAAGACGCGGCCAAACGCGTAGAAGCGCGCGCGGTCGTTCGAGGTCGGCACCATCTTGGACACGTACATGACCAGGGGCCCGTTCACGTCGCAGTTGCGGATACCGTTGGCACATTCGTCGTCCAGAGGACCGTCGTACAGGGTTTCCACGCGGTAGCGCTGGGCCACGACGGGGGATGGCAAGTGCACGACAATCATTTCCAACACGGCGTCGCCGGCGGGCAGCCACTTTTGCATGACACGCTTGAGGAGGGGCTTGCCAGTGAGTTCTTGCTCGTCGGGCTTGAGCTCGACGCCGACGGCTTGGAGCATCTTGGTGATCTTGGCCTTGCGGTCGTTCATGATGGCGTCAAACATCTTGCAGATCGGGTCCATGATGAACTGGACAAACGCGCGCTTCAACGTGCCGTTCTCCGACGACCGCTTCCACTTCTTGGCTTCCGCGTCAAAGAACCAGTCGCCCCACAGCTTCTCCATCATCTTGGACTCGTCGATGCCAAACTTGGCGCCGTACAGCTTGGCAAAGCGCTTGAGGGTGAACCCCCACTGGTGCAATCCCGACCCGAACGCGACAGTGCCCTTGTATGGGTACACTTGGACGTCGCCGAGCTTGGCGTCGTTGTACGTGGCAATGGTCACATTGACGTTTTCAATCGCGCGGTTAAACGATTGGTAGCACTCTTCAGGGGGCAATTGCAGTTCCAACAACGCACGGTCCACCTTGTTCACCATGAGCACGGGCTTGACGCGTTCACCGATGGCTTGGCGCAGCACCGTTTCGGTTTGCACGCACACGCCGTCGATGGCGTCGACGACCACCAACGCACCGTCCGTCACGCGCAACGCCGCAGTCACTTCGGAACTGAAATCGACGTGCCCGGGCGAGTCAATCAAGTTGATCAGGTACGAGTTTTCGTTGATCGTGACTTCGGGCACTTCGACGCCGTCCACCTTGTTTTCGGCCGTGGCCGCGGCATGCGCTTGGTTCGCGGCCAATGTCTCGCCGGCGTCCATGTTGTATTCAAAAAACATCGAGATACCGGTCGACTTGATCGTGATACCGCGTTCTTGCTCGTCCGCACGCGTGTCCGTGAAACGGGCGTCGCCGGCGTTCTTGGCGGCAATGATACCGGCCTTGGACACCAACGAATCGGTCAAGGTGGACTTGCCGTGATCGACGTGGGCAATCACAGACATGTTACGAATGTTCTTCGTGTAGTCCATGATTTCACGCATTTGGGCGGTTGTGAAATTCACCTACAGACGGCACCCATGTTAGAGACATCTACCATCGACACGGCATGTGGCCATCATGTGTACCATGTTTGCTGCGGGGGGGGGTTCTTCGGCGCAAAATGCAAAGTGACGCGCTGCACCAACCAAAATGCTGCTCACCCCTCACCAGCATACCCCTAAACCCCTCGACTTTGACTGGTCATTGACAAACCCCTACGTCGAAAACCTCCCACACTTGATACCTCAACATACCGGATAGTGCCTTTCACAGAACCAAGAACGTGCGCGCCTCGTTGCCGTTGGCGCTGGCGTTGTGTTCCCCAAAGTTAAAAATAGGAGTACCAATAATGATGGGCCGTTTTAGTTTGACTGGCGAATCATTTGGGATGTGCAATTAACGGATGATGGTACAATATGTATGGACTCGGAACTTTTTGCGGGCGGAATGTGTAGAAGTCAGTCGCATGGACGACGTGTTCACTGGTGAAGGCCATATACTGTGAGAATAAATACGAGGGTTGGTGACGACAAGCCTCATCTTCTGGCAACATTGTGGCATCTCCTTCGACCGAAGTTTCAGTGGCTGGTTGGCATATCAAAGCTTCTCGATCGAAAATATGGCCAATCATACAGCTTTGTTTTATTATGAGCCTATTTCATTGGCTGAAATCTTTCGAAATCGCCTGCAAATTCAAGCTTGAGTTTTGTATATGGATCCTTGTTCCGCTTCGATTTCATGGGACCCCCTACCCAGTCTCGTCCCATATCCGAATTTGACATGGGTGCGTGTTTATGTGCCATGTCCTGAGTTTATTAGGGACGAACAGCGAGGAGCTCGATGAGGAAACTACCGGTAGTACTGCACCAGGCTCGGCGAGCGTCGGAAAGTGGCAACTGCAGATGCAATTGGTGTATCACTGACCAGTGACGAGAAAGGTAAGGGACATGTATTCAATCACAACTACTATAACGCCATCACAGTACCTAGCCCCCACTGCCAGTTGAGCAAGGTTCGAGCCAGCTCGCAACTAGTGATAGATGCAGCATGTCTGCCCAGATTGGACTATGTAGTAGGCCACGAAATATACGTATACATGCACTAGGAGTCACTCATGCCAGATCATTCAGCAACCTTGAGTGGCGAAGGTTATCGGTGAAACTTGGTGGAACACGAACTAGACAAGGTTACTGTAATGGATGCTGCTTTCACGACTCCAGTACTACGTAGTAATACCTTGGCCAGTGAAATCATAACCATATTGGCTTCCTGATGCTTGCAGTAGCTAGCTACAATGTGGTTGCCGACGAGCAACACATATATATCAAGCTCACGACCTAAGCGCCATCGATCTGTCATGGATAGAAGCATCACTGATTGGGCAAAACTATAGCACCAGTGACTGGTAAGCGCCCCCTACGGCTACGACATGCATTAGTGGTGCATGTGGAAAAAGACAACTCAAACATGTGATCACATCGGTAACTGTTAGTGTGGGAACATGGAAGATCCAACTATATTGTTCGGATAATGTATCCGGAGTGATTCCTCATGTCACGATATCGACAATTTTTCGGCCCGCATTACTTGCGAAGATGCTGAGTTTCAGCGGCATCCCGCCGCGGACCAGTTCGGGGAAGACTTCAGACGAGCAGCTCTTCCATGCAGTAGATGAAGCCCTCCATGAAGTTCGCAGGCTCCACGGGTCCATTTCGTGGGTGTTTGTCGGGTTTCCTGCAGCCACGGCGAATGGACATGACACCGCGCTCGCAGTGCTAAAGCAAGGTACTGGACCCGTGTCGGACGAGAGAAATTGGCCGCAGGTGCTCTTCGATTCCAGCTCGCTTTGCTACGGTCTATGTCGCCTGGAGGCAGACGACGCCAGCCCCACGTCGCCGCGCACCCCGCGTACGCCAAAGACATCGACATCGAATATGTTCTCGTTCAACCTGACGCCGTATGTCGTGTCGTTGTGCTGGAAGGGCAACACACTTCCATTTGCATTGCGAACCAAGCACACGGAGTACCACAAGAGAATACAAGAGCATCTGGCTGGCATGGCCCACATCCACCTCAAGAGTTCCGACGACCTCAGGTTCGCGTGTCCTCATGCACATGACATGCCCACATGTGTGTAGCGATGAAAGCATGAAGCTCCACTGCCCCTTCACGAAGCGACGTAGCGTCAGCAAACGCTATGGACCGGCGGTCAAGTCGGTGGAAATCTCCCCCGAAGTGCAGCAAGCGTACAGCGACATCCGCAAGGACACCATGCCGTTCAATTGGATGGTCACTGGTTTCGAACAGACGATCGAGGACGAACCGACGAAGCTGATTCTGCTGGAAACTGGCATGGTAAAGCACAAATATCCCCAAACTGCAAACTGGCTTTGCTATCTACCGATGTCTAGGGCGGGTACAATGCACTGAGCAGTCTAGGCGGCATCAACTCGATCATTCAATCAGGCGGAGGCGTCAAGTACATCTACCTCCGCATCGACGTGCCGCTGCAACAAGGTCCCGTGAGCAAGTACATCCTAGTGACGTTCCATCACATGGCGGCGTCGCCGCCTCTCCGCGAAGACGACGACAGCAACCCCATCACGTCGCCGTCGTCGTTCGCACCCGAGTCCAAAATCGTGTCGGCCACCAACGCGTACTCGTTTGCGTCGGAAATCTACAAGTTCTTTCCCCACCATGTATGTATCGTACTACTAGTACTACTACTACTAGAACATCCCTTATGCTAGTAGTATTTGAAATGGCGTCACATTTTGGTGTCCTATATACCTGTCAAATGTGAAGTTGCCGTTCTAACTGGCGTCATGTAGATCCATTTCTTTGCGTCGAGCACGGCCGACATTTCCGAAGATGTGGTCCGCGACCGCGTACGACGGTCCGTCGACTCGGACCGGCTCTTTCTTCGAGTGGTATGTAGTGCCCCGACACCTTGTATCTCAGTTTGATATATATATATATATTTATATTGTCCGTTTACCCAAAATGAGGACTTTTGTACTCCAAATCTATCCATCGATTCTTTGACTTTTGCGACTGTATCTCAGTTTGATATACTGTATATATTGTCGATTTGATAGTACAAATTTGGGGAGGGGGTGCAATCGAATCAATCGCGCCGACCAAACCGATCATCCACAATCGATCTGATTGGTTGAATTTCATTGAGAAGGCTTTGATTGGTTAATAATTTTGAGCTCATCTGAAGTAGCCAATCAAATCGATTTAAATTCCAACGAGAAACCACGCCATAACACAATGAAATTTCACTCGAAAGCACAATATATATATAGATAGTATCCTTTTACCCAAAATGTGTTGTAAAAAAACAAAAAGCGTCCGATGTCACACTATTTTCAGGCACACACTAATTCGATGTTGAATTCATCAAAGAGTGGATAATTTGATTGGCTACTTGATTCGTGTTGTGTGTTTTGATTGGTCGATATATCGATTGTCTGGCGATTTGGTTATTCTGCTCTCTCACTCGATTGAGCACCCCCACTCCAATTTCGAATCGACTTGGCAATATATATATATATATATATATATATACGATAGAATGATAGGTTGGTGGTGTTGTAGGTGTGCATCTTGCCGACGGGGGAAGCGCAGCCGGCAATCTGCATCGAAACCCCTCGGGAAGCGACGCTGGACGAGCTAAAGCACACGATCGAAGCGGTCGTGGGGCTGCCGACCCATCGCCAGCGCCTCGTGTGGTTTCACGCCAAGGATGACGGCGACAAGAACGGTATAAATAAACGTCTGAGATACGGGTAGACTACATCAGCGATATGACGATGCTGTGACAGTGTTTCACGAAAGCCAGAGCATGTCGCAGGCCACGCCGCTCGTACTCAACGGGGCGCGGTTGCAGCAAGACATTGGGCTCACCCACGGTGACAAGATCCACATGGACGACATGAACTCGGGCCCGGATTCGATTTTGGCCAAGTTGGTTGAACAGGTATATAGTACATCCTCTTGTAAATATATCTATTTCCTGGTGGTGGAGTTTTGATCTAACACAGTTCTCACACTATTATGTACTACCGAGCAGTTGAATGCTGGGTCGGAAGTGATGAGTTTGCCCGCCGAGCGGCGCCACGAAGTCGAGTACAACGTGCAGGCGCGGGAGAAGGAGCTCAAGAGCCACATGAGCGCGACCGCCGACTTGATCGCGCAGTCATCTGACCCGACCAACGTCAAGACCAAGGCACTTCAGGTGCACGCGGAGAAGCTGGGTAGCCAGCAGCGGTACCTGGACATTCCGTACGAAAGCATCCGACTGCTGGAAGGCAAGGAGAACGAACTCGGGTGCGGCAAGTGCGCCACCGTGTACCGGGGCATGTGGATTGTCGACCACAACAAAGTGGCCGAGGTATTGCATCCCAAATATGGCAGACTTTTGTGTGCTGATTGTCGCCAAATGGATCTATCGAATCTTCTTTGTACAGACTTTTGTATGTAAAAAGGGATATGTGGTATCAATTCGTATCACACTAATTGTAGTCAAGATATAGATATTGGTTTCCTGCAATCTGATTGGCTAAATATATCCTTCTGCCGATGATTCTTGTGTACATACATATATTTGGTTGTGTCGATTCATGGTCCATGAATCGCTCCAGTTTAGAATATAAAATAACAATATGATGTGTGCTAGATATATATATATATATATATATATATATATATATATATATGGAAAAAGAAGAGGAGGAGGTTGTGATGATATATGGTGTTGCTGTAGGTGGCAGTAAAAGTGTTTCGATATGCGCGACTGACAGACAAGATCATGGATGACTACACCCAGGAAGTGGCCATGCTACGGCAGCTCAAACATCCCAACATCGTGCTCTTCATCGGCGCGTGCATCCAGCCCAAGCTCATGATCCTCACAGAGTACTGCGCGCGACGGAGTCTCTACTGTGTGATCCACACCCACGCCATGTTTGCAACCATGCCGTGGAAGGTGTGCGACAGAGTTCTAACTTACGCTGTCTCATACATATGCGGCGTGGTGTGTGTAGTACAAGGTCCGGATGATGCTGGACGCGGCGCGGGGCGTCGCCTACCTCCATTCCGTGCGCATCATCCATCGAGACATCAAGGTATACAGTAGAAAGTTGAAGATATATATATATTATTCATATGTATATATTATATATATGGGTAGTCGCACAACCTCCTCGTGGACGACGACTGGCGCGTCAAGGTAGCCGACTTTGGCATCAGCAAAGTGCTAGATGTGGACTCGCAAGCGTTTACACAGTGCGGCACGAGCGGCTGGTAACGATCATGCATATATGTGTCGATGTAGATAGATGTATTGAAAGAGAGGCGTAGGGTGGCGCCAGAGGTACTGCTGGACGAAGACGTTGGGTACACGTTCAAGGCAGACAATTGGAGGTGTGTACGAGTATGCCACTGGCTTGTTACTAGTATGTGACAGCGATTGATTAGCTTTGGGATCGTGATGTGGGAAATGATCGCTGGGACCGCTGAAAACCCGTTCTTGGGCATGGCGCCCGTCAAGTTTTACAACCAAGCGTTGAATGGTGTGCGACCGCTGATCGCAGACGATGTACGTGAGATGACATGGACGGAGGGACAATGAACGAACTGTAGGTCGACCCTGCGTATGCCTCGCTCGTTCGAGACTGCTGGCACAACGAAGCGGCACTCCGGCCGACGTTCTCCACGATCGTGGCCAGACTTGAGAAGATCCTCGTTGACCTAGGAATGGACACGGGTCCGCCGCCGACGTTCAGTGGCGGCTATCACTCGTCGTTATCTTAACCTACTGCAAAAGCATTTTTGGTCCATTGGGTGTCCGGATAAAACGTCAGTTACTTGTTCGGATAAAGGACATTTCGACGCTGTTCGGAATACTGTAAAGTTAAAGGACGTTTCGTTCATCGAAACGGTTGCAATAAGCATCCATCACGCTAACATCCGCGCCATCTACTCCGTAGTAGTTACGTGATAATAGATCTTGGGATGAATTACATAATGCCTTACTATATTGTACGAAGTAGTATATAATAGGGGATGTTTACATTATAACCGATCACTTGGTCATAGATTGAGCAACTGATCAATCGGTGTATGTCTGAAGTATGACAATTATCCGTTTTACTTTGGCAATTCGAAAGTACTAGTAGTGGTGTTGCAGATTCTTCACATACAGATCTGTCGATTTACGAGGTCCTCAAATATCGTCGTCCTCAATCTCAAAGTACCAAAGGCAAACATACGATTAAATACGTGCGAAGGAGTATTCACAAGGGCACCTATGGGCTTTGCCATTCAGATTGATCCGACCAGTCTTTGCTGAATGTAGCGTGTACCTACTTCAACACAACGCCTCATCATTACCACCACTGTGCCATGCTATATCAATTAAACGTGTAACGTTATGAAAATGTGACCAACAAGAATGACTTAACAATGAGTTGTTTTTATGTAGAGGCTAGACGTTTGCGTTGACAAACTTTCACATATCCTTGCTGCCCTTGCGCCATGATGACAAGGACTTTTATGGTCGTGTACTCGCTCGCTAACGTTACCAACGTATGGCGAATGAAAAGAAGCGCAAGCGTCGTGCCATGCGCTTTTAGTAGCTAGCTTGGCCTCTAAATTCGTTGATTGTTTCACCAAGTATGTTATTGATCAGTGGTCCAGTAAATAATCAGGTCATTTCGGAAACTAATAACGATTTTTGACATAAACGCATTGCTCTTGATATTATTCTGCAAGGTGAATTCGTGATGTCCCTTGTATTGATTATTTGTACTTTGAAGTATAACTATTTCCGAATTGACATGATTAAATTGGAAATATGGTAGGGATACAGGAAGCCGTATTGGTTTAAAGATCTAATGATAGAGACCTTTAGCAAACCTATAAATTGTGCTTTTCACCCTAATTTTGTTTTATGGCTGACTACTAATCGTTCGAATCTATTTGATTCAATTTAAGCTTGTACAAACTATACTATAGAAACTTTATTATATCTTGTTTTTGCCAGAGCTGGATTCAGTTTGGATTGGCAGAAACTCAACAGAATATGATTTGATTGGTACAAATTCTCCAGTATGTGATTTAATTGGCTTATGTGATTTAATTGGCTTATGCAGTTCATTTATTAATAACACATTCGATTCTACCGTACTACTATTAATAGTATGGTGTACGTCATCTCTAAACTACCAACTTTTCACAAAATTTTCTGACTTCAATTTCATATTCATTACTCAAAATTTCAGCAAATTGAGACGTAGAATCGACAGATCTCAATGTGGTGAAGAAATTCTACGTCTAAGATTCAAATTTGGTGATGCATTGGTCCAGAAATAGATATTTAACCTAGCGGTCCGCTGAGATGTATCTTGATTTTTGTATGTGACTCTTATCCGTATATTATATCCGGAGGCAGTTGGGACTTTTAACCTAGTGATAAAACGCATGAAATCGTATTTGGTTTTTGGGTTTAACTACATTAATTGTACGTTAAATAATAAAACCTCCACCCTTCAATTTCGCCAGTTGGAAGTTTTTAGATGATGTGCACCATACTTGCCTAGAATGACGTGGCATATATTTCGTGGCGTGGAAATCATTTCATGTTTTAACCGTGTCATTTTCCAAGGCCCTGGCGCATTGCGGTGGTGATGTTGTATTAGACAACCGACGACTGCCAAACCGCAGCTTGGGTCTATCCAAGCTGTGCCTCCACGACACAATCGACCACTGAAGTCAGGTCCTGGTCAGCACACTGCAATATATTTGGCTAGTGAACGCTGTAGCCGCATTCCGATTCACTTTCCAGTGCAACTACTGTACCGGTACCGCAAGCGACTGACTGTTGTGCGTCCAGGGACTGCTATTGCCTTCCAGTCGACCTTACGTTAGTTACTGATAGTCCACATCAATCTTGTGTTGTCGACGTGTAATTGCGGTCCGAATGTTCCAACCTTGTCTATGAACCAAATCACACCTGAACGACATCCATGGCATCATCACCAAGTACTGTACCATCGCCACTTGATGAAAGGTCCGAATTCTGGCGACATCGACGCGCTACCGTGATGCGGAGTTTGCACATTCGGATGCTGCTGTGCTGGAATAGAGTGCGACATCCACCACTTCAACGTGGCATGCACTTTGCTTCAGAATCTTGCTTTTGGGATTAACCTGTTTGTCCCGTTCTATATGTTCACTGCCGAATTCTAATTGGTCCAAATTGAGCAGAATGCAAAAAGTGCGACGGGTCATTCCAGTCGGCCAACGTGACACCAGCGCGTCACGTCGATTTTATACGTAGTATAGTCATCTCAAGTCAATCTGTGTCTCGCGTCAAAATTACCTCGCTTGCAGTTGCATGTGATTGGCTCATCTGCACCAATGGCATCCCGTTCCGAAGTGCACACATCACACACCACGCCAACTTCAACGGTCCCAATCATGTGACAGACAGGTAGGGACCTCCTGCGCCTTCTACGAGTTCTCTCGGTCATTCTGCAATTCCCCTTGCATCCCCTCCATCCACATATCAACCATGAGCCACGAAACCTCTGCAGCGTCGCTCGGCCTCGACTCCCTCGGCATCCACAACCAAGCCACCGTCTACCACAACTTGCCCTACGCCGACATTGCCGAGCACGAAGCCCGCTTCCACGAAGGCGTGTTCACTGCCAACGGCACGTTCGCCGTTGATACGGGCAAATTCACTGGTCGGTCCCCGCTAGACAAGTTTGTGGTGCGCCAGGCCCCTTCCGACAAGCACGTGGACTGGGGCGATGTGAACCAGCCTACGACGCTTGCCGTGTTTGACGCGTTGTACAAGAAGGCGACCCAGCACTACTCGACTGTGGACAAGCTGTACGTGTTCGACGGGTACTGCGGCGCCAACGAAAACTCGCGCCTGAAGGTCCGCATCATCACGGAATTGGCATGGCAGCACCACTTTGTGACCAACATGTTTCTGCGTCCGGAGTTCAAGGACGTGGCGGCGCCGTCGGCGTTCTCGGCGGATTTTACCATCATCAACGCGTGCAACGTGGTGGACGAAGACTGGCAAGCCCATGGCTTGCACTCGGAAGTGTTCGTTGTGTTTAACATTGAAGCCAAGGTGGCGGTGATTGGCGGCACGTTTTACGGCGGCGAGATGAAGAAGGGCATCTTCTCGATGATGAACTACCTCCTGCCCCTCCGCGGGATCATGCCCATGCACGCATCCGCGAACAAGGGCCTCAAGGGCGACACGGCGCTCTTCTTTGGGCTGTCGGGCACCGGCAAGACCACGCTCAGTGCCGACCCGAAGCGCCTCTTGATTGGCGACGACGAGCACGGGTGGGACGACCAAGGCATTTTCAACTTTGAAGGCGGGTGCTACGCCAAGACCATCAACCTGTCGCAGGAAAACGAGCCCGAGATCTTTGCCGCGATCTGCCGCGACGCCATGCTCGAAAACGTGTGGCTGGACGAGAACGGCGTCCCAGACTACTACAATGTGACCAAAACCGAGAACGGCCGCGTGAGCTACCCACTGTATCACATTGTGAACCACGACCCGTCCGCCCAAGGCGGCCACCCCAAAGTTGTGATCTTTTTAACTTGCGACGCGTACGGCGTGCTGCCCCCCGTGGCCAAGCTTACCCCCGGCCAAGCGCAATTCCATTTCCTGTCGGGATACACGGCCAAGGTTGCGGGCACGGAGCGCGGTATCACGGAGCCCGTGGCGACGTTTTCGGCGTGCTTTGGCGCGGCGTTTATGACCCAGCACCCCATTGTGTACGCGGACCTGCTCAAGTCCAAGATTGAAGCCCATGACACCAACGTGTACCTGGTCAACACGGGGTGGACTGGCGGCGCGTACGGCGTCGGCAAGCGCATGTCGCTCAAGTACACGCGCAAGTGCATTGACGCCATCTTGGACGGATCGATCGAAGAAGCGGTGTTTGTGGAGGACCCGATTTTCCACGTGAATGTGCCCACGACCGTCACAGACGTCCCGTCCGACCTGCTCAAGCCGGAACTGGCGTGGGCCGACAAGAAGGCGTACGCGGCCACGGCGCAAAAGCTCGCGCTCGCGTTCCAGCAAAACTTCAAGCAATATGTGCTGCCCAACCACACGGACTACTCGTCGTATGGCCCGACCTTAGCCAGCAACTAAAACACACTGCACCTTCCTAAATATATATAATTCAACTAGTATACAATCCCATGGACGTTTTGAATTGCGGATCGCCTTGTTGTCGTTTCGATCTGACGATACGATGCTGTAAGTCTGTTTGTACTGGATGCGTTCATGGCTGCTCCAAATCAAGTGTTCAAGTTGATTACTAGTAGAAAATATGACACAGCTCAAGAAAAGCGACATCGAAGTTCGTCCATTTCGATAACTATTTAAAGTGAACTCAAAATGACCACGGAATTGCTTGAATTCATGAATAGCCAATCGAATCGCTAGAAATACGAAATCACCAATCAATACGCATACATTGTTTAAGCTTACTGTTAAACCGTCCATAAACCGTCCCTCCTATTTTGATTGATTTGAGTCGAAATCGAAGTAAATGAACCCTAAGATGAAGCGATTCAAGCCGATTACTACGTAGTATACAATCAGAAGGCTGTCCAACCTTTCAGCTTCACACAGCATTTTTCAGAATTGAAATCCCGGTCCTGAGAGACGAATAAGCTGCATTCTACGTCAAGGTCACTTTCCAGTGAGCGATAAATTGGCCATTTACGTTAACGTTAATGTTTGTTACTAGTAGGCGCTGGTCCGCAAAAGTAATGAATTATCCGGAAAGCAAATATAAATTGGCCATTTACGTTAACGTTAATGTTTGTTAGGCGCTGGTCCGCAAAAGTAATGAATTATCCGGAAAGCTGATAAGCTGTCAATGTGAAACGGCTGGAGTTTTCTGAATGCAACCAGTGGTATACAGGAAGTGTGCTGGTGCAGCAGCCAATGTCCCTCTCCAACAAATTGGATGACTCTGAAGAAACTCCAGAGTTATCTTCCGCCAGCCATAACTGCCTCGGTTTCGTGGTATGAGTTTTCGTCCAGTTCCCCGATCCCCCAGTGAATGGAATATGAATGTAACCGTTAGTGACCATGTTCTTATTTATGTAAGCTATCCGGATAAACCAGATACAGTACATCAACAGCAGCGCAAGTCGACATTTCAATCGTCACTCGGGTTCTTTTCTTTCCCATGGCGTACTCGTTCGAGGACGTTCCTCAGCTAGGTGGCAAGGTGGCGATTGTGACTGGCGCCAGTGCAGGCATTGGACTCGTCACGGCCCGCGAGCTTGCAATCAAAGGATGCCACGTCATCCTCGCTTGTCGGTCCCGCGCCAAGACCGACGCGGCCATCGCTACTCTGCCAGATGCGGCTCGGAACAACGTCGAGTTCGCAGAGTTAGATCTCATGAGTCTGCAATCCGTCCGTGATTTCGTGGCCGCCTTCGTCGCTCGCAACCTTCCGCTCCACTTCCTCGTCAACAATGCTGGTATCTACGCGCCGTCGACCTTCGCTTTGTCGGTAGATGGAATCGAGTCGCAGCTAGCTACTAACCACGTTGGTCACGTGGCGCTTACACTCGGCCTCTTGCCCGTACTGGAAGCGTCGGCTCCGTCGCGCGTGGTGATTTTGAGCTCCATAGCACACACATTCGGAGTCCCCAAGGACATTGGCGTGGATTTCGAGGCTATTCACAACCACCCCGACCAGTATTCCCCCCTCAGAGTGTACAGCCAGTCCAAGCTAGCGAATGTGCTCTTTGCAGTCGAATTGAGTCGCCGGCTGTCTGCGAAGGGCGTGACCAACGTGTACGTGAACGCGCTGCATCCTGGCGTTGTGCGAAGCGACATATTCCGCAACCAGCCGTGGATTGTGCGAGTTGTCCTGTATCCGTTCCAGCGAACGCCAGAGGACGGCGCCAAGACGGTTCTGTACGTGGCCACCCACGCCGACATTGAAGCGAACAAGTGGCACGGGCAGTACTTCGGGCCCATTGCGAAACATTCGGAAGCGTCGGCACTAGCGAACGATGAAAAAGTGGCCGCAAAATGCTGGGAAACTACGGCGGAACTGATTGCGCGCAGTGCCGAAAACGCTCGAGACAAAGGGACTGCCGACCCTGCCACCAACAACTAGCGAAACGTTCAACCATAGCATACTACAGCTACTGTACTGTACGTTTCCATGACCCACAGTTACTTCAAAGTAATTAGGTGAATGGTGTTCTAGTATATCCAGTCCCACTTCAGTCAAGAAGTATACTATAGTATGTATCTTCACTCTCCTCCAATCCCACATCGACAAAGACACCGGAAAACCCGAGTCCCCCCATTCGGATAGTACAGTTCCCCTATACCCCTGGCGTGAGTTATGGGGTTGACTGCGGTCTGGGGCGTTCAACTCTCATTTAACGAACGAAGCTCCAAAGTTCAAGATCCCACTGAAGAAAGATGGCGCTATCAGGTTGTGCAGGTTGGGGCAGGACACATCGCTTGAAGTTACATATAGTAGTATATCATCAGCACGTACGTACGACCTTCGCTCTAAACGACCTTGGTACAGAAATGTGTCGCAGTGGTCGACTCTCGGGTATGCAATCAACGGCAGCGTGCCTACACCGGTACATAAATGTATCCTGCTTGTCTCATCGTAGAGTCGACTTCATCGACCGAGTGCGACCGCCGCCCGTTGCTTCCACGGATGCTCCATGCAATCGCGCTGGGACTCCCGTCGGAGTAATCCTTGTTGATTGTTCGTACTGGTTGAACTTCAATGTGCAAGTTGCCCTTTCGTCGTCGTGGTGGTTACACGTTTGTAACGGACACCACATCAGGTCAGAATTCCAACGCCGCCGCCTTCTCCGGTGCATTCTTCCGAAATATAAAACTGTATTGGTCCTATAAATAGGACTCCGAGGAGGTAGGTAGGTACGCACGATGGGAGTGTCGACCCTAGGTACGTACTGTACAGTAGGTAGGTACCTACTTGGAGCAGCCAGTTCGCTATAATTAGACCAGCGTTGCCAAACCTCACTCGAGATGGGAACAACTTGGTCGCACTGAACACAAGTGGCCTTACCTAATGCACTGCGCGAGATATTTCGTCCTTTGAGACTACCACCGCCATCAACGTGTTCCGACTGAGAAGTTGAATGCTTCCATCAGAAGCCGCTGCATCTTCAACTTGCGGTTATGTACTCTTCCCGATGGAAAGGGTCTAAACTTACGTCGTACATTTGGACTGTATCATCGTATCGATCGATACACTGTTGACATGTTGATTGATGGTGCTGCTTGAAACATGCCGTTTCAGTGGCTATGTACAGTAATGCGACGTATACTCTTGATGGGCACTGTGACTGTTACGGCGGTTACACATGGACCCAATTTCCGTTTCATTCTAGATTTCAAGTTCAAATTGATGGACAAACATTTTGGTCGCATCGTGGTTGAATTGGATGTCGGCCGGCAAGCAACACATTCAGATGGCATTGGAGATTTGGCCACCACTCCCACACACACATTTCACCTTCAGCAGCCAGCATGATGAAGGAACAACTGGCGTCGATGCAAACGCCGCTGCCTACTACGATCTCATCGCACGGCACTTTCATGGCATTAGCCGTGCCCAAGTCGACTCGATCAGTGTTCCGCACTTTGATTGGTCTCCGCGGACTCGTGGCAGTGGCTGGCGTGGCGCTTGTCGTCGTCGTCGTCGTTCAAGCATCCACGCCCACGATTGCCGTGACGAATGAAATCAGCAACGCAGCAGCCATGCAGAGTCTGAACTGCCTTCTTGCGGACGCCGGAACGTCTCCGCGGTGCAACTTTCCCAGCTCGGCCGCGCAATCGTGGTTTGCGCCACCTCGCAACCTCCACCCAAGCATCCGCCACGACGTGCCCATTCCCACCAACAGATGGTGGGGTAACCTAATCAGCTCTCCCCGCGAAGACACGGTGCCCGAGAAGCGCGTGTGGACCAACCCGTACGCCGTGGTGTTGCTTCCCCAAGGCGTTATTGTCTCGTTTCCGTACGGCACGCGGTACTTTGACGGCGCATCCGGCAACGTCGGCGGCGCCAAGAGCTACAGCCACGCGTACTCCAAGGATGTGACCATCGGCGCCATCACGTCGTCATCGCAGTCGTTTCAAGTCACGAGTTGGGATGACTTGGGCGTGACCGTGCGCCAAGAACGCGCCGCCGACCAATGGCTCGAGACGTCGCTCGTGAGCGGCATGGCATATGTGACAGCGTTCTACTCGAAGCTCTCGCCGCGAGTTTCCACCGAGCACGCGATCGTGTCCATCAACGAGGCGGGTCTGGTCAAGCGGTCCACAGTCACTAGCACCAAGTTTGTACTCCGTCTCAGCAACGGCCAGCAGTGGGCGGTGTACACGTCGTCGCCGTTGACGCTATCTGTCGTAACCGATCGCATGTTGCAGCAAACCGACTTGTTCACTGGCACCATTCGCGTGGCGCTGGTTCGGACACCGCAGGACATTGCCGCCCACGACAAGTACAACGGGTGCATCGTCACAGGAGGTAACCTCACCCTCAACCGCTTCGACTATGGGTTCCAGTGGGCCACCACTGGCCACCACTGGCAGCTGCGACATTGGTCTCCTCCACTTTGCCTTGGCCCATCACGCCGCCATCCTCACCCCGGACACAGCCGCCCCCATTGCGACCATGAGCCGCCTCGAGTCGGCCACTCGCGGCGCGATGATCCCCCTCGCCACGATTGCCAACCAGCCGCCCCAGTGGATCCTCGCCGAGTCGCTCGTGCCCGTGGAGCTGTACCCCCGGCAACGTCCGTCCCGCGAGCGCATCCAGCACACGCGCCTCCTCGCGCACCGCAAGGCCGACATCGACGCGCCATGGACCATGTCCGTGGGCGGGTCGTACTACTTTAACGGCAAGTTGGCGCAGAAGTACGCGTCGCTGTGCTTGATGGAGAGCGACCGCGCGGTCGTGGGCGCGGACGACTCGCTGCTGCGGCGGTGCCAGGCCAAGCTGACGAACGTGCTCAAGCTGTTCACGTCCAACGCGTTCACGCATCGCCTCGTGTACGACACTGTGTACAAGGGCATCGTAACGACCCAGGGCTTTGACGAGGCCAACACGTACGCCGACTTTGGCAACACCATCTACAACGACCACCACTACCACTTTGGGTACTGGGTCGCGGCGGCGGCCGGCGGCGATCGCAAACGTCGTGCACCCGACCATGCCTGGCCTCGCCGCACTCAACCAGCGCGTGTCGTTTCTCATTCGGGACGTGGCCAACGCCGACGCCGCGGACGCCGACTTTCCCATGTTTCGCATGTTTGACTGGTTCAAGGGGCACTCGTACTCGCACGGTGTCACAGCCGCGGTGGACGGCAAGGACCTGGAAAGCACGTCCGAAGACGTCAACTTTTACTATGCGATGGCGTTGTTTGGCCAAGCGACCGGCGACGTCCGGCTCGAGCGTCTCGGGCGGCTCATGCTCAGCGTCAACGTGCGCAGCGTGCAAACGTACTTCCTCATGACCACGTCCAACGAGATTCACCCGCCGTCGATCAAGGTCAACCATGTGCCGGGTATTTACTTTGACAACAAGGTGCACTACACGACCTGGTTCAGCGACGCGCGCAAGTCCATCCACATGATCCAGATGCTGCCCGTGACGCCTGTGACAGAGTACGTCCGCACCAAACAGTTTGTCCACGAGGAGTGGACCGACGTCCTGTCCAAGCTGCCGGTGGTGCAGCACGACCAGCAGCACGACGCTGCTCTCTCGCTCTTGTACCTCAACTACGCCACTGTGCACCCGGACGTGGCCATGGCCAAGCTGCAGACGGTCGCGCTCGACGACGGCCTCACGCGGGCGTGGGCGCTGTACATGGCAGCGTCCCGTTATGTCTAGAAGTAGTTGGCTACAGTAGTGGACTTTCATTTTAACACTATTTTTATTCCTTCGCCTTTCATGTCCACAGTTGTCGCGTGGGTGGGTGGCTGCTTCACCTTGTTCTGTATACTCCATTGCGGCGGTCTTGTAAGGCTAGTAGTACTATTGGACTATCTCAATGCTGCAAAGTCCGACAATCCACGTTCGCATGGTGGACGGGTAAGATTGCCGTGAGCTTAAAATAGCGACGGGCTCTCCGATGATGGTGCTGGCGACGTGGCGGTCACTATACAAAGAAGTGTCAACGAACTCCATCACAGGCTGAACACATTTACAATCATAGGAGGCAAGTACTCAATTCCCCGAGGCAAGTACTCAATCATTGGTGGAATTAAAGTACTCGATTACAGGTGGAAGTTTTCGATCACAGGTTAAAGTACTCAATTCGAGGGAAGTACTCGATCACAGGTGCAAGTACTCAATCACAGTCACAGGTGGAAGTACTCAATCACAGTCACAGGTGGAAGTACTCAATCACAGGTGGAAGTACTCGAATCTCTGGTGTTAAGTACTCAATCAGTGGTGGTAATCAAACCTTCATCTTTGGCGAGCAAGTACGCGTCCCACAGCGCTTGGCGCTTGGGTTTGTCTTGCAAGAGCTTGACCACGTCCTACGTCGAAAGCATGAGAGTTGGAGTGCTAAGTAGAGTCGGACCGGGTACAGTGTCACACGTTGGTGGGCGTTGAACGCCTGGGCCATGTACGTCGTGAACGCTTCGTTCGAGATTTTGTTCTGGCCGTAGTCTTTGCACTTGACCTTGAAATCGTCTGCGAATTGCTCGCCCGCCAACGTTTCAATGGTGGTGATCACGCGGTGGTACACAGCTTGGATGTCCGCGCCTTGGGCGGGGGCCGGCGCGGCGTCGGCGCTGACCCCTAGTCGAAGCATGGACGGGATCGCTGGGATCGACATCGTTGGCATCGAAGGGAGGTTCTTCAACGGGTTGCCCTGCGACGGCAGCGCCAAGATGCGCTCAATAACCTCGTACAGCGGGGCGGCCGCGGTGGGCTGTTCGACCGCGCCCGTCAAGATCTCGGTGGGCGAAATCTCGCGTCCGTAAAATGACTTGTTGATGTCGGCGCGAGCGGCAATCGCCGACCCCTGCAGTCCCACACCACCGAACAGACCCTTGCTATGGCTGTATGTGTAGTTTGGCGCGACACCGGCAGTGCTGAGGTTAGCATTCGCACCCGCGGCACGACCGTACGGACCCGCGGCGAACTCCATGTTGGCGCCGGCCGAAAGCTGCCCCTTGGCGCGAAACGACTTGACTGCCGCGTCCGAGTTGAGGATGATCATGAAGTTGATGATTTGACCCCCCGCTTCAAACCCCAGGCCCATACCGACCGTTCCGATCGCCGACGGAGCCGACCAGCGACCATCCGGCAGACGGGCAATCACGAGGCCCGTGCCAACCTTGCCTGTCCAAATGAACCCGGCCTTGACGACCGTGAGGAACGCCAAGCCCTTCGCGTCTTGCATGAGGTCGACGGGGATACGGCGATCCTTGTCGATGTTCGGGTCGAAGAAGTCGTCCATAGTCTTGACGGCGAATTTGATCGCGCCCTCCATCGTCGTGATCGCTTCCTTCGTGTCCATGGCAATGCTTCTTTGGGATGTCGTGCTGGAATGTGAAAATGTAGGATTCAAACGCCAGGCGGTTTCCGGATAATTCTGGCCAACGGGCGTCCGTCGTCGCCGTCATTTATCCGGACATCACTTTTTCAATCTTGCTCCAGCGCAACATGCCCGCCCGCATCATGTCCGTCACTACGTCATCCACACACCACCATGCGCGTGTTGACGTCATTCCTGGCTTTGGCCGCCGCCGTGGTATGGGGTGCCAAGGTGCCATCGCTTTGCTTTGAGAAACCCTTCGAAGACATCACGTCCGACGGCGTCCGCATCGTCTCGGACGACTTTACGTTCGGCGGGCATGCGGTTGTCAACAAGCACTTTGTGCGGCTCACTAGTTACACAGCCAAGCTGAGGTGTAGTCGCACAGAGGCAAGAACAACATGCATGGCATTCGCATAGGCAATGTAAACTGGACGACAAGGGAAGTGCACACAAACTGGTTTGTCGCTGTGGTACGCCACCTGACTTGTGGGAATAATTTCACGACTTTGAAATGCCTATAGGAAGAATGGGTGCATGACGTACCCATTCGAGCCGTGCATGGCGATCTCATCGACGTAAACATAGCGCAGTTCCGTTCGCCTTTGACACATGTTACTTACTACCATTGCTCAACCATGGAGCTAGCAACGAGAACGGAATTGTGGCTAAGATTCATGCTGCTTTATCCGACGATACATGCGATGAAATATCATGCGGGTCGTCTCATAACACCTAGGACAGCGGCGTTGCAAAGCATCGTTGAACCCCTCCGTTGTGATTTCCCCTAGCCGTAAGGGAGATACTTCATTCAGGTGATACGTGCATGACTTCCCAGAGGTCGTCTGTTGTCAACTCCGACATGCTCAAGCGTACAACCTAGCGGACAAGCACACGGACGAGGACCAATGGCGCTGCCCAACACAATGAATGTCTAGGGAATGGATGGTGTTTCTTATCATTGATACATACTACGTGGGGGCGTGCGAGGGTTGCGGAGCAGAAAGTGGCCCCGTCTTCGACCCATGATGTCCGACCGTCGCCTACTTGGACGACTTGTTGTACGCACGCAACACTAGATGGTTCAACGACGGCTTTTGCTTGCCCTTTTCCTTGAGGGACGTGATGCATTTGGAAATGTCGCGGTACTCGCGGCGGCACTGCGTGATGTCCCAGTCGCTCTTGGCCATGGCGGTGATGTATGAAATGAACTCGGGCTGGCATTCCGTGGACTCGCTGATCACGCGGCGCGTCATCTTCTTCATTTGCTCATGCGTGAAGCGCACCATGATCGAGTCGGACTCAAAACGAACGGAACTGCCGCCAGTCGTCCAGATACACCTCTCTCAAGTACGATCTCGTCTAAGTACGTAACATTCAAATTTTGCTAAAAACGAGTTAAAATGCCTCAAATTTTAGGCAAATGTGATTTTAGGGCATATTTCAATTGATATATTACTTACTATTAATAGTAGTACCACGTACTAATATTAAAATTACTACTTCAGTAGTAGGTTTGGTATAGGTAACAAAATCAAGAAAAAATATGCTTACAGTTAGCCAATCAGTGACATGCATGACCAGACTGTTAAAACACAAACCCCTGTTTGATTCCAAGTAATATTAATAGTTTCCTACTTTTTTTACCCCTTTTGGTGCGATTTTTTACGCAACTCACTCACTATACCAAAAATAGAAAAAGAGGTCCTTGACGTCTTTTTCAAAATCGTAAACTCCCCCTTATTGCTGATGTCCAGAAGTATTAATAAGGGTGCGTCTGGTAACCTTTCAAAAAGAATATTCCATTTTCTGCCAAAATGGGATTAACCAAAATGCCATTTTCAAAATGGAGGTAAAAGGTCCATTTTGTAATGTGGCTCTTGAACGAGTAAATCCCACGTGGAATTATTGGATTTGGGTTAAACCTCTGCAAGCAAGACATTTTTCAATTTTGATCAGATTTGTTGAATTCGGCCCTAAAATGGCGCTTTGGGCAATATTTCCGGTTACCAGACGCACCCTAAAAGTACTGACAGTAGTATTGTCGATTTGATAGTACAAATTTGGGGAGGGGATGCAATCGAATCGCGCCGACCAAACTGATCCACAATCGATCTGATTGGTTGAATTTCATCGAGAAGATTTTGATTGGCTAATAATTTTGAGCTCATCTGAGGTAGCCAATCAAATCGATACGCCACAACACGAAATTTCACTCGAAAGCACAATAACTACGGTAACGTTAATATGGAAACAAGGTGCAAACCCAACATTATTTATTGCCGGATTAAATGGTGATAAACTCCGAGTTGGGGGAGGCTGGACTGGTAGCGTAACCTGGCGGTGGAGGCAGTCGCCTTGCCAGTTGAGAGAAAGCGGCTTCCAAGCTCCGCATCGACGCTTCAAGGCGGTCCATGCGTGCTGAATGCAGGCTGAGGCGCTCGAAAATGAACGTTTGCTGGTGGGCTAGCATCTGCTGGGTGTCTGTGACTCGGCAGAGGAGACCCAAACACCCCGACTCGGACCCCCCACTATCCGTGGCGCTGTTGTTGCGGCGCAAGAGCTTGTCCCTACACTTGGCCGTGTCCGCTTGTATGGCTTTGGCTGTGGCGGCCGCGTGTTTGCCGCTGCTCGTCGCACTCCACGGCACCTCCGTGGCCGACGCCGAATCAGGCGGGGTTGCCAACCCGCCGCTTGGACGCTGCTGCATCAATAGCTCTTGGTCTGTGCTTTTCCGGGTCGAGGACCCGCTGTGAGGCCATGGAACCTTCCGACTGTCAAGTTGGCGATGTGTAGTACTACTACTAGTAGTACTTGTGGATCCTGGCTCATTGGAAGCTTCTTGAATCACAGTGAGCCGCGACACCGCTCGCGCGCGGAACTCTTCCAGCATGTCCATGACATTCTGGGCCAGATAGACCAACATGTCTGTGAGCGGTGGCTCAACGGGCGTCGTGCGGGGTTGGCAGTCCATTACGAAGATCGAGCCGAGGATGTATCCGTCCGAATTGACGATCGGTGCAGCGGCGTAGAATCGTACGTTCGCAGAGCCCGTGACCAACGGGTTGTGGCGAAAGTGGGGGTCGCTGCGCGTGTCGAGCACCACTAGCGGCGTCAGGACCGACCGCTCGAGCAGGTGCGAGCAGAGTGCCACGTCAAGAGGCACGTGTGGTGGTTGGATGCCCAGGCGCGCCTTGTACCATTGCCGGGAGGCGTCGAGGAAGCTGATGGCGGCAACGGCGCATTCAAATGTTGCGGCGGCGGTGTGGCAAATAGCCTCGAAATCGGGGCTGGGGAAGGTGTCCAGTATCATGTACGACTTTAGCACGTCAACGCGTGTGAGCTCGTCGTTGTAGTCGGCGTCTGTCGATTGGGACGACGGCGCTAAGCTTGCGCTGTGCGAGAGCGGCGGCGGCATGGAAAGCATGGACTGACGCATCATGGCGGATGCCGCGTCGACGAGGACGGGAGAGATGCAGTCGTTGCAGAAACGCATGGCGCGACTGACTTTGAACGACAGGGGTGGACCGGGAATGACGCCCGAGTTGGTCGCAGAAGCAGCAGAGCCAGGAGGGTTTTTTGTCGTGTTGGTCGAGGGAGCCGACGATACCCGCACGCGCCGATGACTAGAGCAGTTTTTACAGATGACTTCGCCACAGGCACGGCAGTGGTGCTTTCGCACAAACGTGCTGAATTTGCGATCGCAGAGCACGCACGCCCGGCGCTTGGAGTCGTTCACCCAGTCGGCGACGGGCTTGAGCTCGACGTCCAAGATGTCCATTATGGCTGCAACGACGACAACGATGAATCACCCGCCAGGCTGTAAGTGCTCGTATTGTTGGTGGTTGTTGCACGCTCCATCTCGTAGAGGTGGGCACACCAATATGACGACAGATTCAAAAAAGAGGCTAGGCGCGGGACGATATAAGGCACAAAAGGCCATTGGCTAAAATAGTAACATTATAACCAATCCGTCGTAAGGATGCCAGGCCACACCATCCCATTGGCTAAAATCCTTCGGTTGGAGCCTCCAACCATTGGCTACACCACCTCACTTGGTTGGATTTGAACCAATCAAACCAATCGTTCAAACAGTCGACATTTCGACCAATGGTATATTTCTCCGGTTACGCGTGAATGATCGCAGGTCGGTCTTCTTCAGCAACAGTCCACAAGCTGTCGTCTTCCTGGTCCAGCCGCTCCGCCAGCGCCATGATGGAGCCAGTTTCCAGCAGATACGACACGAGTTTGTCGTTGGCGTCCACCATGTCATCGAGGCGGGACCGCACACGCAGCTGGGCCATGGAGCTCGTCAGGGGCGGCGAATGATGCAGCATGTCGTCGGTGCTATCGTCGTCGTCGTCGTCGTCCGATGAGCTGCACGACGACGTCTTGCTCTTGCCCGTCTGCTGCTGGCGCATCGCTGCCTTGCGTTCCTTGGTCCGCTGCCGCTTCTTCTGCCGCTTGTTGCGCTTGGACGCGGCTTTGGCCTTCATTTCCGACGTCTCTTTCTCCGTTTCTTCCTTCCACAAGCTCTCCTAAGGCCCCATCCATATATATATATAGTTTATTCGTTCTATATATATATATATATATATATGGACTTGCCTGGTATTTCAAATGAAACACAGTGCAGTCGCAGTTCTTGCACACATTGCACTTGCACTCGGCGCAAAAGAACGTGTCGTTCGAGTGCTTGGAAAACGCACCCGAGCAGATTGCACACGTGACAAAATGTTGCTGCCAAATGCGCGTGGCCCTATAAACATCAAATATATAATGAAATAAAAGCATATTTTAAAATATATATATTCATATATATGTACCGTTTGGCCACCGTGGCCGATTTGTGCGACACGAGCGTTTCTATGTTGGCCGACGCCATCAGACTTGCGTACGGGTTGGGGGCGTCGGTTCGCTTGGCTTCGAGCTCCCCAACCTGCAATATCCGTTCTAACCCTTCCAGCGCCATCATCACCATACTCGTCTCTTCCAGCAGGTTGCCTAATATCTGAATGCACCCTTCGTTCACCAAGTACTCAATCTACACACATTTATATGAGTACCATATCATGCATGGTCACCGATTTATTGGGGGTGACGAGAACTACCTGACTGTCCGAGCCACAAGAAGTCGCGTTGAGTACGACCCAGCACGCCTCGCTGCGCACTTCGGCGTCCGTGGCGTCCGACGACGCCAGCCCCATGAGCGACGGAATGCATCCCGAGTCCAACACGCACTGGATCTGGTCCACCGTACCCGCCGCGATGTTGCTTAGCGTCCAGCACGCCTCCTTTTGAATCTCGCGATTTGAATGCGCAATGAGCTTACGGAGCGACGGCACCGCGCCGCACTCAATGATGTGCTATATACACAGTTATGTATCAGTCACTTAACACGGTACAGTATGGGCTTTGGCAGCTCAAGCGCGAGTCGAGTGACCATCGTGGAGTGTGTACCTACCTGGGTGTAGTCGTGGTCATCCTCGGCGCACACAATGTTGCCGATGGCGCGAAGCGCTGGCTTGGTTACACGCCACGAGTTGTGGCCAAGCAGCTCCACCAGTCGGATGCACACTTCCGAGTCGACCACCGCTTGGATGTGCGTACTTGGCCCATCGCACAGATGCGAGAACGCCCAGCACACATGACTCAGCACCTCCGTGTCGGCGCTCGACAGCATCTATGAGATACAGTCAGTTCGCATGAGACAATGGCCGGGCGGGTGGTAGAAACAAACAATACGTTGGACAGCGACGGCAACACGACGTTGATGTCGAAGACGGGGCGGGGCTGGCCATCGCAGAGGTTGCTCAGTGTCCACGTGAGAATGCGAAGCAGCGATAGCTTCTCTGGCGGCGTCTTGCGGAGGTTGTGAATCAACGGTGGAAGCGCACCCGCCGACAGCACCAGGTCCCGCGTCTGCGCGCCTTCCCCCGCGAGGTTGCCCAACACCCACACAGATTGCTCCAATACCTTTGCAAGAGAGAGAAATGTAAGCGATGTGGATGGACAACATGTGTCTATGTACACCTACCTCGTCGTTGGTCGAGTCGAGCAGCGACACCAGGGTCGGGATGACCCCGTTTTGAAGCAACACCGACGTGTTGTCCGTGGCCCCGGCGGCGATGTTGGTAAGCGCCCACAGCGCTTCGACCTGCAGCGTAGGCCGCTCTCGCAACCGCAGCCACTTGATCAAGCGTGGGGTCCAGTTCTTGTCGAGCATCTACATACGTCGTCGTCCATGAGACGAGATGGGCAGGGCGAAGGCGGGGGAACCTGTCGGATGAGGAGGTCGCGCTCGCTTGAGAGCAAGTTGCGCAGCTTCTTGGCCGCTTCGTGCTGTACGTCTTCGTCTTCGGAGGACAACCCTTGGTCGATTTTCTCAAAGTCGCCCTTGAAATCGGCGCTCGCTTGCGCCGTTGCCGACACCGCCAGAGCATGGATGCTACTGCTGCCCAGGTGCACCATAGAGCTGGCACTAATCGAGTGGGAGAAGGCGCTCGGATGCGTGTGGTGCGCGTTGTGGCTGTGCATGGCGCGCGACTTGTTGTACAGTGACGACGACGGCCCGAGCATGTTGGCTGCTGGTGGCGGGACAGAATTCGTGGTGGGGCCTCCTGTAGATGATGATGGCATGGAGGGTTGCAACAGGTGTTCCCTTCCGGCGCGGCGTGATCCAAGCGAAGTTGCGGTGGCAGTCAGTGGTGCGACGTCGCCCGATGCTGACCAGAACAACTTGGGCTGAGCTTCACTATGGGGTAGTCTAGCTCCTGTATACTTTATCGCCCATACAGCAAGACTGTGGCGAACGCAAATTAAAATAAATAGAAAGTTTGGAATTATAATATACCGGTCCAAAACCTCCCACAATCGATATTGCCCCAGCGGTTTCGTGGTTATTAACTGCACAACCCGTCAATCACAAATATGCTCTGTCGCGAAGAATGGACATAACACATAGTTTGCAATGGGGAAGTTTGAAGCGTGTTGTGTGGCTTGAGATTTCTTTGGGTTGGTCACGGTTTCGGTGACCAATTGAACGATGCCAACTACTACTCCAGTGGACTTCTAAGCCAAGTTTGCAGTCTGCGCGTTTGTCATTGGCGCATCACAAACTCTTTCTCGTATATGCTGGAAACTCCTGTGATGTCGTTGAAAGCTTGTTGAAGGCATTCGAATCGGAATGATGGCTGATTCTACCAGACAAAGCAGGTTAGAGCTGGCTTCAAAACACCCTGCTATTGCCCGTATATTTTCACAAGATGCTATAACCCCTATTCGAAACCATGAAGTTCCTGCATGCGATAGCACTGCAAATCCAAAGACAACGGTAACTGTTATGCAGCAAATTGCGTTGGCGTTTTCGCAAAGTCCTGTGGGAGCCGAAGACCCCACAGAAGCCGTTCATGGGACGTATAAGATGCTACAGGTTTTTGTGGTACTTGAATAAAATTACGCCATATTTTTTTAGAAATCTTTCACTCCGGATAAAAGGTCGCCATCATGCCTCTTCGTGATGGTCGTCCGCCTCGATCAAGTCGCCATGATGATTGATGCGTTGGGCCGTGTATACACATCTGCGCGTCCTAGCGTCGACGTTCGATCTACTCGGCGTCATCGCTGCCCAAGATGGTGTGGCTCACGCGAAGGAATGTGTCGACACACTCGTCCAAGTCCCAGTCCTAGATTGAAGTGTCAGGGGGTACATACGTGCATGGTCTCGTACAAGAGACGAGCGTACCACCAACAACAGTTCGACGGCGGCCAGCAGAATGCCTTCAGGTTCGTTGATGGCTTGGCTTTTCAGCGCACTTCGGGCGTTGCCCGAGATCAGCCCGTGCTTGAACAGGCAACCGATAACCACCAAGAGCTAGTCGAATCCACATTCACGTGTAGAGATGCCCAATATGGAAGAATGTGTCGTACGATGTATTGGACCTTGGTGTGCTGGGTCATGGTGGTCGTGACGGATTGAATCTTTTGCTGGATGTCTGACTTGACCGCGTTCACGTCAATGTCTGCCTACACGTTGCCCTGGTTATATATGGGGGCCGCAAGAACGATATGATGGCAGCATGGTCATGATGACAACCAACAGGTACCGAGGGGATCCAGAGTGGTTTCGACAGCACTTTAAATTTCTTTGGGGGTGCTTCCGTGGAAGTCGCGCCTCGAGCCAACGCCAAGAGAGCTGCTCGTTTGTTCAGGCCCTTGGCCTTGGTCGCTTTCTTTTCCAGCCGCGCCAACTCGATCTCTTGGCTGATCTGCGGATGCTTCCGTTCGATGTGCTTCATGCCGATCGTGGTTGTGTTCACGACCTTCAGCGCCTTCTTCCACGACCCGCCAGACTTTGCAATAGAGTCCATGCACATGAGGCAGATGTGCGTCGTTTCCTTCGAGCCCACTCGATATGGCGTCTCCAGCTTGTGCATGAATTCCCACATCTTGTGCCATCCCGGTTGTCGTTCGTACTTGAGCCACGTGGGCACACCACGAACGTCCACGTCACCTAGATCTTCCTCTTCTTCGTCAACCTCGACGTCGGATGTGTCGTCGGTGGAGGCCACTCGTGGCTTTTCAGGGTTCTCGACCTCAAGAGACTTGCGTCCGTGCTCTTCCATTTGTCCCTCGCAAACGTCTTGAATTCGAAATTTGAATGTCAAGGCCTTGAAAAAAATTACGTACTAATTAACCTGTTTTTACCGGGTAAATAGTATCAAATATCCGACAAAGTGGTAGATACATTATTGTGGTGACTAATTAATATATATTACAGTAATATACGTTCAATGCTACTTTCCCATGAGCCTGAGCTTCGTGCACGAACATCTGAGAGATTTCGTCATGGACCCATCGTCGGTGCAGAATGGGGTCAGCGTCAAGTCCACTTGGGACGCTGCAGGCGCGTCGGCGGCAGGTCGACGAGATGCCATGTCATGATTTGTACGAATTTCCAGACCCCGAATCACACCAAAATCGCTCCCATTGGTCAATCTGAAAATTCTTGTTTCTGATTGGCTACATTATTTTACGGCAAGCCAATAACGGAATTGGGAAATTTGTGGTATATTTCGACCAGTATTAATTACAATAATACAATCGAATTCTAATACCACTAGTAGTAATCTACTATTGTAGGGGACAGTGGGGAAGTTGACGACAGTATCTAAGTCAGTTTTAGTCCGTTTTAGATGAAGCAGGTAAATAATAAAACTAGAGATCTATTCTGAAAGTGTTGTCTATAACCATGACTTGATCCGAGTATATCTTCCAAACGTAAATGGCCATTCATTTAATGCAAGTTGACTTTTTTCGAGACGATGGTTAGGGTAAAATTATAATTATTTGATTCGCCAATAATATTTTAGTATTGCTTCATTAAAATAGCTTGAGCGATTTTCAAGTGCAAAGTGATGGACGATCGCAGGCGGCGTTGCCATGCAAGGAACATGCAACTGTATGTAGTCCCAACCTGTAGGTAGCTTTGGCTCAGTCAACTTGAGCTCGCCGAGTATATACCGATGGATACTACTGTGTAGTACCGTACTCGTAGTATAACGTAGATTTCCAATTTAAGAGACATATTTTCGAGTCGCTGTCGGGATATGGTAGCAGCAGCTCGGCACTGAGGAATGGGTTTCGACTTCTGAAAACTGATAATTGAACAGGAAACGCAGGTCTTTCCAACAAGCACTGAAACATCTATTTTCACAGTATCAATCATGTCCTAATATCCCATTTTCTAAGCAGAAACACATCAAAAGTAGGGGACAGTTTAAGGGACATATTTTAAGCTTGATCGTAGTATTGATCCATGCATATATTTTTTGTGGTTAGGGTATAATATTCTGTCAGGTACATATGCAAACTCAACAGGTTATGTATTTATAGAGCCAATTGGTTAATTGATTTATATAAAACACATGGGATCATGAAGAACATTTATTTAAAGAGGTAATTCTACACAAATTTCAAGGTGGGTGATTGGCTGAATCCGATGTCCCTTAAATTGTCCCATGTCTCTTAAATTGGAAATCTACGTTAACACTACCGGTAGTACTGTACTATTAATAGTATGGTTTAGAATTGCCCAAGTGGCTTCGCCAGCAGCATGTCACTCACTTGCACGAATGTGTCGACACATTCGTTCATGTCCCCGTCCTATTGCATGGTCACACAGTGAGGTTGGAAGCAATATGAGAGTTACCATGCTGAACAGCTCGACAGCGGCAGCCAAGATGCCATCCTCATTGCGCACTTCGGCAATGGCTTGGTCTTTCAGCACGCTTCGAGCTTCTGGAGAGATGAATTCGTGCTTGTACAAGCTAGAAATCACCAGCAGAACCTACGTAATTGGTACGTCACGCTGTGATCGCGCGAAATGTTCAGAATTCGTCGTGACCTTGACGACGTTATGGCTCGACGTGGCCGCAAGTTTGAGTTTTTCGTCCACGTCCACTTTGAGTGCATCGATCGCTTGCAACCTCGTGTTCAGATCCTCTTGTGCATCGACCTCATGTGCAGCACCGACGTCTTGGTCCACTGCGGTGTCCTGGAGCTGCCATGAACGCGTATCTTGAAATTGAGGCGCTTACCTCGATGATGTGTTCAGCGATGCTATGCTCGATTCGTTCACCGATGCTGTCCCGACGCTTAAGTTCAGTCCTAGATCACTTGTCAATCCACAAATGTCATCCCGTCAAGCCCACCGCGTCGTCGGCGACGTCAATTCCGCCCCTGAATCCTCCTCCATCTGCAACAACAAAAACGTGTGCGTCGAGTCATCCGGATACATACGTTAACCGGATACCGTGGGCATTTCAACTTGTAACGTTAACGTTAACGGCCTTATTCCATGAAGAACAAGGCTGCGACGACCAAGCGATCGAGTCTGATGGCCTTTACTCTCTGCGTTTCCCGTATGTACTTGATCAACATGCGAATCGTGGAAGGTGAATTATAACTCAATACTACTATAAGAAAGCCTAACTCTCTAACACGTGTGGATGGAGCCGTGACCACCAGGTGACAAGGTCTGCGCAGCTTCGGATTTGAGGCGGCGGTCGTAGTTGCGGCGGGCCACTTGCACGGCGACGGCAGAGAGGACAATGGCCCAGACGAGCCACAAATACGGAAATAGAAGCGTGAGCTTGAGGCCCTGACGGTCCTGCGCACACAGTGGGTTGAGCTTGTTGTCGGCGACGATGTTGCAGTGGGGCGCGGCGCTGTCCTTGATAAGTCCGAGCACAATCGGCGACGGGACGTCCCCAAACACATGGGACAGCAGCGTGTTGATACCTAGCGCGAGGCCGCGGCGGCGCTTGTCCACGGACAAGATGATGGCCACTACGGACGCCGGCACACATCCAAAGAGAAACGTCAGCGCGAGCGACAACGCCGACACAGTGAGCACGAGGCCGTAGTCCAGCAGCAGCCAGCTCACGACCAAGAAGGTCGTGCCGAGCGTGAGCATGACGCACAGCTGGCGGGTCGCCATGTACACGCGGAACTCGTCGTTGTCGGGCTGGGTCTTGCAGTTGCGGTCGAGGCAGAGGCCACCGAGGAGGGTGCCGATGGTACCCGCGACGACGATGATGGCCCCAAACACCATGGCCGCCGACTTTTCTTCGAACAATCCCATGCCAATGAGCAGCGACGGACCGAACGCACCGAGGCCGGAAATGCTAAACACGTACGCGGCGCTGCCCATGGCCACGAGCATAAACAACGGACTTTTCAAGATCTCCCAAATTTCCACATGCAATGACACACGTGGCGTCACGAGGAGCGACTTGGTGTCCCTATCCGAGGACGGACCGGCTACTGCTGGGGTCGAGGAGGTAAGTCGAGGTTCGATGAAGGACAGCGTGGAATGAATCAAGCCATCTTGCGCGGTGGTGGCGGCAGGGTTTGACGAGTCGGACTCAAACGACGTTGGCCGCGTGACGCTTTCTTCGACGACGATCGACTTGCGCGGCTTGGGCTCGTCCCGCATCATGTGGCCCCCGGGAAGGTTGAACCGCTGGGGAATGCAAAACACACACATGAGTACGAGCGGCACCATGAGAAGACCTTCCGAATAGAACGCCCACGGCCACCGAAGCACCGACGTGGCAAACATGGCGCTGTAAAAGTACCCTGACGCGGTGCCGACCGTGATGCCGCAGTAGAACACTCCTAACCACAACGTTCGTTTGGCAGGAGGAGCGTGGTCGTCGATGAAGGATGGCGCGATGGCTTGAAAGGACGACTCGCCGACGCCGCTGAGGATGCGTCCGACGAGGAGAAGGTTCAAGCTTTGCACAGCGTCTGCCAAACCGCAGAGAAACATGGCCACGACCCACACGACCAGCCCCGCCGCGATGAGAACGAACGGGCGGTAGTAGATGGCCCAGTACCCAAAGGCGATGCTAAAGACAGAGTACCCTGCGATGAACGCCGACACCAGCAGACCGAGCCACGCGCTGACACCAGTGTGGGGTGTGGTTGTTGCTGAGGTCGCGTTGTCAGCGTTCGAGTTGGCGTGCAGGACAGACGAGATAAACCCTTCGAACTGCAGCGGTGAGCCCGGGATGATGCCTCGATCAATGTAGTTGAGCATGTTGATGGCGCATAGGAGCACGAAGATGGCCCCAACGGTCTTGACCTCAAGCATGATCAAGCGGAACTGAAACCAACGAACGTCGCTACTCTGTACTAGTCATTCGAACCCAGCACATATCTTGGTATAATACCAGCAGTGTCACACCCAGCTGGTACTGGATTTACCTTCAACTTGAATACAAACGCCCATATATACTTGACCCGACCAGTTAAACTTCGATTTCGTTTGGCTACCTTTGGTCCGGCCTAAACCAAAATCATACAGATTGTTGTTGCGGCAAACTAGCCAATTTTATACTGCAAAACACGGCACAACATACAAATTCCAAGTGTACGAAACCACGAGGTCGAGATTTAACTTGGGATGAGATCTTGGGTTTGACTTGTTTGCTGTACGTATTCACTTGCGCACATGATATGGAGAATCGAACCTTGGGTAACAATCATCCAACACCACACAATAAGCAGCAGCCTGTTGGACGTGCTGTTGCCAGCAATAAGTCCACGCGACATCGCCGCTGTGCTCACTCCCATTCGACGTTTGGCCGAGGACTTGTATTGACTGACGGCTTGCACTTGAGTGGAAGGAACCTTGCCTTGGGCCTGTCTACAGTGTACATATATGTACCGGTAGGTACAAAGATACTTTTCAAAACCCCATATGTCCGTATCCACCCATTCGATCGATCGAACGACGCGTTCGTATTAACATAGCGCTGTGTAAGCGACGGCCAGTACCATTCAGCCTGTACCGGTATACAGTTGTAGCGCCAGGCTTCATTAGAATCCCGATGCCAACCCACCCCTTTGTTGAATGCGCTGAATATCGAAAGAACACATTTTTGTATTCCATGGTGAAAACTAAGGTGATAGATATTATTGGGATAAAGAAAACACCATAGTAAGTGCAAGCTGAAATATACCACCAGATTCAAATACGTTACATTCTCCGATTACATATTGCGAGTCATCATGAAAAGGGCAAATTTGAGAATTTTGGCTCTAAATTTATGAAAGTGAAATAGTGTACGATATGGATATGAACTGTTAATAGTGTACGTTTCACATCTGTGAAAAGGCTCAATGCTGCGCGAGTTCACTAAGGTCACGATCGGCAAGGTCGAACATGCAAATGTGGACAAGGAGTCCGGGGGGACTGTGCCCAAGCGAGCGAACTGTCCACCTGGAGACCACGTGCGGTGCATCGAAGTGACCTTCAAGGCGCCACCGGCGAACTTCTCTCATGTGACGTTCCAAAACTATTACGCGGCGACGCTTCGAATCGATCAAGTCGTGCAAGGCAATATTGCTCCTTTCACCATACTATCGCCATGTTCTTACTTCTACTATCTCAGGGAAGTGTGTGACGATTCTGAACCGATTCCCATTGATGCAAGACGCACACCACGAAGGAGACGCACAGAACTGGCACATTATCAAGCGCGACGAGGTGTGGCTCTCGCAAGGATACCCCACGACATGATGACAACCTGCCATAGTTTGGGGCAATGCTCGATGTAGCCAGGGCCGAACGCTTCATCTTCTATCTCCTCCAGCCATCTCCGCTCTGGGACAAGGTGAGTTTCCAATCCTTGCACTGGTACCATGTTCAAGTGCACCATTTTCTTAGTGGGAACTTCGGTCGATCAAATTTTTCGACTCGACCGAAGCACCAACGATCGCCCCAAAGGCTCCTGCATCTGCCGTTGAAAGCTCGTCGATGCACTTGTACCGCAAGTACACTGTGAACACATCTGGCGTTGCATTAGATTCCAAGGACGTTAGTGGCCACGCCACGCGGTTCATTGATCTGTTGGCGATGCTCCAGGCAAAGTTGGCCAAAGACGTCAAATAATATTTGAGAGGTTTTGTAACTTGTCAAAACTAATCGTATCCGTTCATTTTGGCCGCTTTGAGCAACAGAATCTCCTTGCGCCGCTGGTCGTATCGGTCCGTGGGCAGGCTCTCACACACCACCGTCGAGCATATGTCGTTGGCCGCCATCTCCACCACCACTTCGTAGCCGAGGCGGGTCACTAGCGTCGGCACGGCCTTGTCCTGGGTGTCGCGGTGGCCCAGCTGACCGGCACTGCCGCGTCCCCACGTGAACACGCGGCCGCTTGTCGTTCGCGCCATCGAGTGCGCCGATCCGCAGACGACGTCGGCGATGTCGCGGCCGCACAGCGCTGGAACCACCACGGGCAGTGTCGCACACTGGTACGCCGTGTCCGTGCGCGCGTCGTACCCGTCCGTGAGCTGCGTCGTGCATCCAAGGCGACCATTGGCCGCACACCCCCACGCATAAAACTGACCTACATATCACAGTTGTTGTGATCCAAAACGTGTCACAGAAGCTTGTTTTCTTGAGCGACGTGATGGACATTTGAAAATAGCGAGATAAATATTTTGTACCTCGATCTTTCACATGGAATCGAGCTGTGACGACCATGTGGTTGGTCTCGTCGAGATGGGTGGCGAGGCGCAGTACGTGGCCGTGCTGATGGGAAACCATCCCGACCACGGGCGCGTCGTCTGTGTCGAACGGATGCGGGTAAATGCATGCGTCCCCTGTCGACACGTCGCCTTCATACGCCGACACGGGGCCGGTCGGAGCTCGTTGGTGCAGCAGTACGCCGATGGCGCCATGCTGCAGCGCCGCGCGGATGAGCCGGGGGGTGTTGTCGCCGCGGTGGAAGAGTCGCGCTTCCATATGTAGAGGCCCGTTGAGAGACGCCACGGCAGATTGCACTTGGTGGTATCGGGGCATGTCCAACAGCAACACGGGAATGTACAGCCCTTCGTCCACTGTTCGTAAAAGTGAATAACCAAACAGTGTCACAGCCCGTCGTAGTTCTTGTTTGACCGATGTACTATGTGGTACCTGGCAATTCAACCACGAACGGAGCGGTGTCAAGGATATCGAACCCGACGACGACGGCCACGGCCCCGGCGTCTTGTAACGCCATGACTTTCTGTGCCAGGGAGGACGTGATGCAGTCGACAACATTGTCTACGTCATCCGGTCGTTTATGTGATGACGTGATCCACAAAGTGAATGGATATATATTCATATACCTTGACGGAGAAGCGCAGGTTTCATGGCTAGATCCGCCGGTGTAAACCGCACAAGGGCAATTTGATTCTCCAAGGCCGACGAAAGTGGGGACCCTAACCCGCCAAAGTCCACTTGGAATTGATATATATCATTTTTCAACGACGGTACGTTGGGTCGAGACGTCGATGAGGGGGCACCAGATGCCGCGGTTGGTCAGGCGCCGACAGGTGCTGGTCGGACACGTCGGGACCTCCAACACGACCGAGTCCCCTGCGATGAGTTCCATGTAGTATCCCTCGGGCGGGCACACATCCAAGCACACCATGCTACGACGAGTAACGATCGAACATTCAACCCCAATTGTTATCGTTGTATTACCGTCCGGATATGTCAATCATGAGTTCGTCGACGATGTCGTCGTAGTGGCATGTGCCTGTCTTGACGGCTACAGGCCATTGCAGCGACTGCAGCGACGGGTGCTGGGCTTTCATTCGGTCCAACGTCGGCACAAATTCATGCGCTCGGTTGACCCATAATTGGTCAAGCAACGACGAGATTGCCTTTTCCATTTCCACAGAGTCCATCGAGTCCTACAAATACACATGATCATCATCATCATGTACAGCTGCTCATCACACGCTTATTCCAAGGGGATACAATACCACAGTCGCCGACGTGGATTGGGACGATCGACGGCCTTCGCTGTCCTACGCGATGGGAGTTTGAAAGGGGATGTAAACAACTCTCAAAGTGGTGGTACCACGCGAGACAGCGTCACAGGCTGGGGCAAATCCGATTGATCGTCTTCGAAATCGTCAAACGGAATGTCCAGTGTCACAACTTGAACAGTCGCCCCCTTCGTAAAACAAGCCTTCATCGATGCAATCGAGCACGCGTGAGCAGCCATCATGACAAAGCAGGCAAACGAGTCGCGTTGCGGCAGCTCCAGCCATACGCTGGCTCCTACTCATATATATATAACCTCGTCACACAAGACCATTCTTCGAGTACGACGTTACACGACACTGTATATTACCTTCGGCTATCGTATGCTCGGCCCCAATAGCGACTTTGCATACCCCAAGACCTCGAACCCCTTGTCTTTCCACGGGACGAAACGCGGGTTCCGTCTCTTCGCCCAGCATCCGCTTCCAGTCGCCCCACTCGAACACCCTCTGATCCGCGGTCAGGGCGATGCTGCGGTTGCCATACGCTGCGATTGCTTGCACATGTGCCAAGTTGGCCACGGCCCTCGGCTCGTGTACGAACGTGAACGCCGAGTGCGCGAGCCTCGTTTCGACGTACCCCACTTCAAACGGACAGTCCAAGCCGTGGCCGAGCTGCCCGTCCGAGCCTTCGCCCCACGAGAACACGGTGCCGTCTGTGCTCAGCGCCATCGAGAAGAACTCACCCGCGGCGATTTGACGGATCCGGATCGGAAGCGCGTCTTGCTCCATGTCCCCCGTAAAGTAGGGCAGCTTCACCGGCCAGTCCAAGTACTCCACCACGTTCCCCGTCCGCTCGTCGTAGTACGACTTGTACGACTGCCCGCCATTTCGCGCGCAAAACACCCCCGCCGACCCATGCCCTAAGGGTACTGTAGTTAAGCCCCCAAGCAAACACGAGTACATAGTTGGAAGGAATAGTGACTTGTAGATTTTAGTGACAACTACGTAGTAGTGACCATATGCCACCTGTTTGGCCGTGGTCGTTCCAGCCCCAGCTGTGCACCATGGACGCCGTGTCCAAGATCAGGCAATGGCCACGCCCACATGCGACACTGGCAATGTCAATCTTCAAGTCGATGTGCCGGGGAATGGTCTGGACAAACGACGTTTCGTGGGTTTCCACGTTCAACATGGGGAGGCACTGCCCCCACATCATCCACCCCTGGTCCGTGTCGACAAATGTGCACGACGAGCTAGCAAACACGTTGCGCGACCGCACGCCGCGCAGTTTCAGCTCGGCGACCATGTCGGCGCCTCGAAGCCTGCCGCCGCCATTGGTTTGTTGTGTGGTCTCGGCGCCGACACCGATGCCTGCATCCGCCGCCATTGCACAAGTTTAGTAATCCAGTTTGACTCTTGTGTATAAAAGAAAGGTGGTCAACGTCACCGGATCCGAACGTGAGGAGGGCACCATTCAACGCCATGCGCTCGACCGCCGCGCGTTGCATGAGCGCGACAAAGTTCATCTTTTTCTTGGCATATGCTTGAATGGTGTTGGCGGCGCCGTTCAGCGTCGAGCGCTTCGCCGCCCGCTTGTCGTGGGCCACTTGTCGTGCGACATGGCGCTTCCACATTGCTTGGATCTTGACAGTGGCGGTGGCTTGCACGAGGCTCTCGATGCGCTGGTTCTCGGACGGGCTGATCTCCTCTAACAGCGTAGCATACAGCTTGGCTTGCTTGGCTAGTTTGCCGTAGTATGGCGACGCTTGGGCCAACGACGACGTGGACGGGTTCAAGATGTCGCCAGGAATAAAGTGCCGAAGCATGTACTCCACCGGCTTGTGCATGAGACACCACGCGATGAATTCGTTCCGTGACAGCGACGGCTTGGTCACTTGCTGGCCGTCGACCATGTCGAGACAACATCGCGCCGTGAGGTCCGACGCGATGTCCCGCGTGGACCGCCCCGTCGCGCTCCACGTGTATTCCAAGCCGACCGTGACCTTCTTGAGCCCGTTGATTGTGCACAGAAACAAGATCGCGATGTCACACTCGTTGAGGCACTGCGCGGTTTTGTGCGTGAACAGCGTGCACAGGAGGTCGAGCTTGTCGGTGACGGACGCACTCGTGGACGTACACACAGCCATTGCCGCGAGGAAGTCCATCACATGTACCTTCGTAGACGTCGGTGTTGTCTTGAGGGAGCCGAACAAGTATCGCAAGTACACGTCAAGGTGCGGCCCCAACCCCATCAGGTCTTGGAATTCCTCCAACGTGCAAAACGCAGTCTTCGTCGTTGCTCGCAGCTTCTCCCCTAGTGCTTCCACCTGGCTGACCGTGACGCATTTGACAAATGGAACGAATTGCGGAAGGATCGACACTTGCGCGCTGTCGTAGCGCAGCGAGCTGGCACTGCTGCCCATGATAATGCACGTGCTTGTTGGCGAAAGGACGTTTAGATATCCGGATTATACCTGGTATTGTCCGGATAAAGATCGCCACCCTTTTCCGAATATTGATATCCGGATGCGTTGAGTTCGTTTTGACATCAGAACATGCAGCACCTGCCCACGGACTCGTTCCTCCATGTCGCGGGGTTCTTGGGTGTGCGCGACCTCAAGGCCATCTCAATGACCTGCCACAGTTTCTCCAAGTTGGTGCATCATGGCGAATCGACGCTTTGGAAAGATCACTTTTATCGTCGGTGGAACCGCTTCAATTTCGCCTTGGACCTGTCGCTCCCGTGTGTCATGTCCGAGTTGTTGCGCCAGCAATGCCACACGTACGATTGCACATGTGCGTTTGACGATGTTTCTCACGCGTGGTTGTAGGGACAGCGCTTCGTATCGGTTCTTGACCCATCTCGTGCAACGCCTTCCCGCGTACGCCGACGTCGACCACACCCACACGAAAGCAGGTCACGTTCCCCAGCATCGGTAACCTCTACATCTTGTTTGGTCGAGTTCACTTAACCATGGAGTCGATAGATTCCGAGTCCTGGAGCATGCAGATGGGTTCGCGGACGCTCCGTTGACGATCGCGTACGATGGCAATGTGGTTGGGGGCGATCGTTGCGTCCGGTCCAACGCTCCGTTCTGCACGACACCTCATGCCACGGTCCTCCGGCGTCGCGATAGCCACGGGCATGAGTTTTATCGATTGGGCGTGTCCCGCAATGGTTACTTTGAAATCAGCATTCGTCCATGCGTACCACCACCACCGATGCGCCCCACAGCCGAATCGTCGACGTACAGTTGACCATGATTGGTTCATCAATACATGACACGTTTATGTATTAGGCCTACCGTGTTTCATTTCCAACAAGGCCATCACCCACAGAACAATTGCGTGGCCATCGGTATCGCAGATCGCCAGTTTAACGTCATACGCAACCAACCAGGTACGGTAGCCCCCCCCCTTACATATATAGTCCCTGAAGCCAGCCCCCTCTTGAGTGGACTGTGGCGCTAATAGGGTGGCGCGGAGTTTCTTACGGGTATCACGGCGACGACGGCCACGCATTTCACTTGTCGTTTCGGGTATTGTGCTTTCGAGTGAAATTTCAATGTGGTGTGGTTTCTCGTTGGAATTTAAATCGATTTGATTGGCTACTTCAGAAGGGCTCAAAATTATTAACCAATCAAAACCTTCTCAATGAAATTCAACCAATCAGATCGATTGCGGATCGGTTTTCGATTGCACCCCCTCCCCAAATTTGTATCAAATCGACAATAAACTGCTTTCCTTTGCTTGTGGGTCATGTTGATATGGTTAATTTCATTAAATAAAAGTTTTCTTAAAAAATACAAATATTTAATTTATTATTAAATTCTATATAATTCACTTTATGTTTTCTAATTATTTTTAAAAACATATTGTTATTATCTAGTATATTTTTACTTTTATAAAAAATGTTTTTAGATAGTTTAAAATTATTTAATGAAATAATGTACATGGTGCATGAATCGAAGGATACATATATTTAGCCAATCCGATTGCAGGAAACCATCAAAACAGTCGTCAAATTCGTGTGCGACTTCAATTAGTGTGATACAAAGCATCACAAAACCCTGTTTTATATACAAAATTCTGTACAATAACGAATCGATCCATGGATTTGGTGATAATCAGCAAACAAAAGTCAGCCAAACTTTGGGTAAAAGGACACTATAGGGCTGGGAGTATGGAGAAACATTTGGCGTGGGGGATACGGTCGGGTGCTCGTTCGTGAACAACGCCAGTGTTGTGTTTACTCGAAATGGCCAAGTGGCGGGCCCCCCGATCCCGTGCGCCCCCAGCTCGCCGATGTACCCCATCGTGGGGGTAGATTCGCCCGATGCGATCGAGTGGAACTTCGGGCACAAGCCATTTGCGTTTGACGGGTTGGCCTTGGGTACGAAGAACTAGTAGTTAGTATATAGGACGACCTTGGTTTCAATGTAATGAGAGTGGGGTAGAAGACACGCCTCTGGACGACGCCGATGTGCTGTGGGAGGAAGAATCCTGCGACGAGGTTCAAGATGAGAGCTCCATTGGCGAGGGCTTGGAGTACTACACGTTTGCCCTGGACGACGACGACGACGAGTGGGACGACGAGTTTGTGTACCACGAAGATGAAGATGATTTGGAGTATGATGAACCCTCCGAGTACGAAGATGACATGGAGCCGATGGAAGAGTGACTGTCGTTTACTACTACTCTGTAGGAGTGTGGCCATGAATCAGATTCAATTAACCAAGTACTACTAGTACTTCATGAATATCGTTACTACGTAGTAGTAGTAGTTAGTGGTAGGGCATGTTAACCTTGTCGCTGAAATGCAAAGTCGATTTTAAAGCGTATCCAATATTAATATAATACTACTGTAGTACTAACGTACTAACACTGATCATTTGAACGATTACAAAAAAACATATGATTTTGAAAACCACGAAACGGTAGCAGAACAAGAGGTCCATACTACTACTAGTACGTATAAAAGACCTCTTGTTCACTTAGAGTACGGAACATTTGAACCATCAAGGGCCCACCAAAAGATGTACTTTTGGGGCTAGTATTTGCATCAGTTGATGTAGCTACAGTATAGGGACGAACGTTCTCCCTGGTGATGACACCACCGCGAAATTCCATTCTTGTTCGGTTCTAAAGAAACCTCTACCTCAAGACACAAAACGTGCATTCTGCAATGGCTATTCCCCGGGTTCGAATCTCACTGAGACCAGTGGGGGAGTCATCGGCCTCCTCGACATGTTAGGAGTGAGCGTGGTAGACTTGGCTCATCTCATCCAACAAGAGGTCTAATGCGTGAACTTCGTCGCCGACTTGTTGTTGGAGACGCGACACGATAGCAAAGGAGTCCATGGGTTTCTTCAAAAAAGTGATTGTGAGTTATCACTACGCGCTACTCCGAGTAGGTATTTGGTGTAGAGTCGCAGCAGATATTCACTGTCAGTTGTGTAGGATATTGTCATATAGGTTGTAAATGTGGACTAGCGATGCCATATTGTTTTTGAATCGGTTTATTCTTCAATAACGCAGTCTTTGATCATTTGTTCAATCTCTTCGTCATTGACAACGTTAGTTCGATTTTAGCCAATCCTATCACATTTACTTATTTTAATTCTATA